CGACACAAGTATAAAAATAACTGTCTCAATGGCAAAAAAAACATCTGCAGTTGCAAGGCCCCGGAGGGATTCGAACCCTCGATCTCCTGTTTACTAGACAGGCGCTTTAACCAACTAAGCCACGGCGCCGCTGATTCCGAGCTTCTTTCATATTTATAATGATCTGTATAAGCAATTAATAAAAAATATTTTTATTAATATAAATTCATAATGCATAGGTGTATGTATAAGCGGATAGACAAATGTTTTGATTTCTAGTACTTGGCGCCGAGGATTCTATAGATGCATCTAGCTAATGACGCAAAATAACTGTCCTCTTAACCCATTGAACGTAGTAACTATTTGAATCTAATTGTAATCGAGTAATTAATAAAATAAAAGTAAAAATCGATTTTTGATAGCATTATGACAATCTAATAATGTACAGCAGCAATTTGGAATTTTAAATCTGAAAATTAACTATTTCTATCCCCTATAAGCAGAATATCACTGTCTGACTACACACATTCATTTACACTGCAGCGTTCAACGTATTATGCAACTATTGAAGGTTCCTAAAAATAACCATTTAACGATCATGGCAATATATCTTTATTTATCAGTATTTGAAAGGTAAAAAAATTAAATTCACAATTTATTTCTGGAGGCGCCGGGTATCGATCCCGGTACCTCTCGCATGCTAAGCGAGCGCTCTACCATCTGAGCTACGCCCCCATGTGAAATCTCTTTTTCTTATTTAGGTACTTCAACATACAGTACATTTATATTGAAAGTACTTACATATTTTCAAGTTTGGAAAAACTTTTACATTGATTTGTGTATTGTTGGAAGTATAAATAATATTTTCTGGAATCAGAACAATTACCTAACAATAAGTTACAGGTTTTTAAATGGAATTGAACAAAAAGCACAACATAAATTTTACGAAGATTTAGAGGGATAATTATGGATATGGTTTTAAAATAGTTGATTAACTGTACGTTACCAGAATTAGTAATAATACAGAAAGGAAATACATTTCAAACTCTAAATACTTATTCTTAAAACTATATTTCTCAGGTTCATTTTTCATTTTAATTAGTTATAGAACAAAATTTGGGAAATTTTCAATTAATAATGTTTACTCTAGTATCAATACTCAACATAAGCGTACTAAATATTAAAGAGTTGAAATATTTATTTCATTTCGTACACAAACCATCATTGAGTATATTTATTAGCTAAATAAAAACATTAAAAAATACAGAGAATACCTAATGTTTATATGCTAATGAACTTTTTTGATTCAACTTATATCTTCGTAGAGAAAAATTTCCAAAAGAAACATTTTTCTCTCATTGCAAATGAAAATATAGTTCCGGTAAATGGTAATAAGATACTGAAAATAGTTGATCATGACAATCACCACCTTCATGGTCATATCTCTTATTACTTTTTATCGTCCAATGTTATGTAAATGGTTTCATTGTTATGCAAAGTATTCAAATGCTATTATCCTTTTACTTCCAATGCATTTCTGTTGCGGAATTTGCTCCATTTCAAAAATTGGGAAAACTAATTTAAATATCTGTTGTGTGAGCAGTCTGCACTATTTGAAATGTTAGGTTTAAAAAATCTGCTTATGTTTGTAGAAATTTGTACGTACACGTGGATCCTTTCTCAGGAAATGAGGGTAAGCGTTTAGGAAAAAGGTCAGTTCAGAATGAACTAATGTGGCTAAGAGAAAGTTTGAGAAAGTCGAACTGCAATTTAAGTTAAATTTTCTTCGTTATATCACTGTGGAGAGGTAAACAAATTTTTTTAAATAAAATTCCGCTTTGTTATTTTTTGTTCTGCTCCTATGCAATTTACCAATTCAATCAGTGCGAATATTTATATTAACTTCCATCATTTAGTAGATTTAAATATTTTAATTTTTGTAATAATCTTAATAAATTTTAAATCAGAATCCACAAACTAGAAAAACAAAATTGACTGACATAACTAACAATCAAAATGTGGTATGGCCAAGAAAATATGGCTTTTCAATATACTTCTGTATAAATGTATTGTGTTCAATTTGTGTGAAAATTTTACAGATTTCCATTTTTTTGAATGCGACCTTATTCATTAGGAAAATGTTTAATTTTAATTCATATGTTACGATTTAAATGAATTACATAAAATATTCAAGTTCAATATGATAAATAAATTAAGAAATATATACATCACTTTGATACGAAATATATAAATAAGAAAAATATAAAAGAATAGTTGTATTTAAAATCAATTATATGTGCGAAATACAGGGCGCGTTAGAAGCGGAAGTCATCTTCAAGGGATGAAATGATGGTTGGTATTGGACCTCAACATTTTAAGTACATACATACTGTATGCGTCCACTAAGTTGAAAATGTAAGAAACTTCAAGCGATTGAAAAATTTTATTTCATGTATACGTTTTATATTTCTCAAGTTATGAAATAAATTTGAAACACTATGTGTCACTTTATGTTTTGCAAAGGTCTGTTGCTATTGTTTTGTATTACAATACAGTATGTTTCAGTATAAAATATTGAAAGTTTTAGGCGTTTAAACTTCTTTTCTTCAATTTGAAAGTGTGAAGTATTCATTAGAGAGCAAACCTTCATTAGAGATTGGTACCTTCATAAGGAATAAAAAATTTGAGAAATTGATTATTTAAACAAAAATATATGGGCTCGTCCGGGATTTGAACCCGGGACCTCTCGCACCCTAAGCGAGAATCATACCCCTAGACCAACGAGCCAGATTAATAAACAATCCTTTCACTAAAAAGCTGATGGTGGAGAACAAATTATTGAGAAATCGACCTAAATCCGTTTCCTCAGTCGGTAACATTGGTTCCACATTTTAATTTAGCAAAATAATCCTCTTAGACAGTTGAATCTTCAATTTTAATCAGAAAAGTGATAATACATTTTAATTTCATAAATATTATTTTAAAAAAAAATTATTTAATAAAGATTGTAGGAATAGATTGAAATTTTGAACTCATACAACTTGTTTGAAGGAATTGTGTGATGAATGACTAGATAATACATTTTACTTGATGATTTTATATGTTTATAAATATATATTATTATCTAATTTTAGTTTATCTTGTTAGGAGCTTGGTAGTCATTAAGATGAACGACATTGACAAGTTGGCTCGTTGGTCTAGGGGTATGATTCTCGCTTCGGGTGCGAGAGGTCCCGGGTTCAAATCCCGGACGAGCCCAAAAATTGATTTATTTTTTCAAACCTTTTATTAATTATTTGAATTTCATCGTTATAACCATTTTAATATAGTGTACCATGTTATTCTGCTTATTTTTAAATTGGAAGGTTTTATTGATAGAGAAATGCTTTTGTTTGTTTACGTTGTAAATATTTTAATTTACATGTGTATTATTGTCAAATATGATTGAAATATTAATAAAACTTGGTCAGAAAATTTTACTCAATTTTTCTTTCACAAACATTTATTATATATTTGTACACATTTTAAATAATGCTGCAAACGTTAAAATGACTGATGATATTGAATGAGAAAAGTGAACATATTTTACTTTAATTTCAAATGACTAAGTGGATATTTTGTCTCTATTCTTGAAAAATATGATTCTGCGTTGAATGCTTTTAATGGTTTAATTGACCTCTGCTTGAAATTAATGTAAATTATCGGTATTTTATAATTAAACTGCATTTTCGTTTGCATAACTATACTTCTTACAATCTACATTCTAAATTAAAATTCTATAACTGCACATTCTGCGAAATAAGACATAAGCTTTATGTTTATACAATATCTTTTCTTCAATTTTACATTATCGCGCTTTGAGATCCATACTGTTAGTGACGTCTGACCTTGCACGGAAAAAATCATGAAATAGAAAGCTCCATTTTTTTGTCAAGTAAGCAATTTTTGAGTTTTATTCAGTAGAATCGAACGTGTTATAGTCATAATGTCATTAATTTTTGCAAATGAAAGAAATCGCTTATATTGTTAACTTTCTCGTGCGTCATAAGATGGCGCCAGCGATGCTGTTTTTATGGGGGTTTATCCCACATTTAAATTGAATGAATTGCGTATTAATTATAATAATATATTTGAAATTGTTAATATAATAGTATACACGTCTTTTGGGTTTAAAGGCTCTTGGAGGAATGAACATTCATAAAATTAATTCCAATTTGTTTTAAATATAACAAATGAATAATAAACATAGTTCAATAAAGGTGGCGGTGAGAATAATCTTGACTGATCTTCCTTATCGACATCGGCCGCCACATTTTTCAAACGCATTGCGGTACTTTCAAAACATGGCGGACACAGATGTATCCCAAAGGAAATACTCTACTGTCCCTAAAAGAAATATGAAATGTATCTTCTTTTATGCATAATCTTTTTGTACGAATTATTTTTTGCGATTCTTTTTTGTGATTGACAAAAAAAATAGCATCAAAAAAAAATCGCAATAAACAAGTCACATAAAAACATATCGCATAAAAAAAGACCGCACAAAAACAGGTTTGATTATAGTATGGCACACTATGATTATACATAGTTTCTTTGAATACGATTGTAGTTTGCATTTTAAACTTTCCATTCGATCTTTTGTATAAATAATATAATACTAATATTATTAAAAATGATCTTTAATTGCTTTTGCTGTGCAGCGTTCAACGTATTAGTATTAAATTTGTACACTGTAAAGTCAATTTTTGTTATTCAACAAACGGATTCCATAGTTTAGCATTTTCCTCTCACATCTCACTCCTACAAACAATTTCAGAGAATTGAAACAAATAATTAGTGAAGTTGTAAAAATGATCGTGCTGCCATGATTGATCAAGGTTGCCCACGACAGCAATGAAAATCCTGGGAGAAAGAAACATGCACAGAAATGTCAGCCATTTTACATTCAATAAGTGAAAAACAGTGTTAATCAGCCGAGGGTATATAAAGGGGATGGTTCTGCTATCATTCTCAGTGGAATACGTTCTCTTCGTTGATTGAAGCTGACCATTCAAAAAATTGCAATTCTCTAAAATCATCTTTTTCAGTGCATTGCCCCTTCTGGTAAGTAGATTTATTTATTTAACACGTTAATTTCTGTCATCACTGATCAACAATAGAAGTTTAATATTATCAAATAATTAAAAGAAAAAAAGGTTAAAGAGAATTTTATACGCTATTAATATTGCATTGTTTATACAAGGTAGCAGGGTAGCCATTGTTAAATTTAATACATTGAATGCCATGGGGTTATCGGTGACCAGTACCATCAATTCAATAATAAAATAAAATAATTAAAAGAAGAAAAGTTTTGAATAGCTTAATACCTTGACAGCCGATATTTTGTATTCGTAATGTTGATATTTATTACTATTTTTTATCTTCTCCTTACCTAGTATGACAAATACAAAGTACCATTTAAAAGTAAATAATTTTCCAGTTTATGTAAAATTGAAACAATTAAATATAATTATAACATATTATTAGATACAAAAAGCAATTTAGAATTGCAAAAGTTAAAGATACCACGAAATGTATAATTACTCTTGACATTGTATAACAATTGTGACTAAGTTATGCGAATATTGATTGAACATAATAAAAAGTTATCTAGGGCATATATTAATAGGAATGTGATTTTTAATAGTTTACACGTGCAAATATTATTACAAATATTTAATTTGTAATCATGATTGTGAATCACTCCATTTCATAAACTTCATGTTATTCATCAAAATTTATTAGATAACAGACTAAGCAACAAATTAAAATTATTGCGGAAAAGAATTGATACTTGCTCTTTAATTTTTGCTGTATTTCTTAAAGTAAGATATTTTAAGTTTATTTTTAAGGAATAAGCATCGGATAGCTAATGTTTAATTCAATCGCGAAATAATTATTCAATATTTTCGCGAGTAACATTAGAATAATTTAGAAATTTACGATATCTGTATTTCTAATTTGAGCAATATTTCTTTTTATAAATTAACCATCATACTGAACAGTAAATCAAGAATTGGTAACAACGATTAGTTTTGAAAATTGAATTGGAACATGGAAAATAAATGCATTTCATAAATTTACATTTGCTGTAAATGCTTTTTCCCGTTTCGGATAATTTCCTTGGAAGAAGTGAAGGCCGTTATGCACTACCGCCCTGATTAATGCTCTTCCGGGATTAGTTCAAGGACATTTTTTCTGCATATCATATTTTTACCATTTTTATCGTTTTCGCTCGTTAACTAAAGCAATAATTCATAAATGGATATATTCAAGCATATTTAAATAAGTTCGATATGCTTCTAGTATTTTTAGAGTACCATTTCCTTTATACATGTTGCATATCCACAAGCAGTGATTGCTCTATTGTTTCTTTTTTCACTTAATTTTAAATAACAGTAGAACTGAAAGCTAAGTGAAATTAATAAAAATTTTCAAGGAATATTAACACGTTGACTATCACGAGGATATAAGAGATTCAAGGTAATTCATTGATTAATTAAAAGAAAGGGGAAAGAAAGTTTTTGTATAGTACTATTATTATTTTATACTAATAGCGATAAACTGACGGCATAAATTTGAAAAGTAACTATTTCTATAGTAATTAATACACATAATTTTTTAAAAGCACTGAAATTATTGATTAAACTGAAAAGTAAGAATTATGAAATACAACAAAACAAACAAAATAATAATCAACATTAATGAATCTTCAATGAAATAATTAAACTGGTTAATATGATCAATAATTATTTTTCAATTATTTAACCTAATATGTTTTTCAGTTACGTATATACGTGTATTAATCGTCAATTTGAATAATCAATGTTCTATCGCATAACTTAATTGCATTTATGTAAGTTCTTACATTAACGTTCAATGATAACCTCATAACCGTTTCATTCTTCAACATCTAGACGAACAACTTTGACAAACAATTTCATAAAACTAAAGTTACTGATATTACAAATATCGGTATAAAATCGTCGGTTTCATGGATTAATGGAAGTGGTTGTATGTATCGTAGAAGTTAACCCTAGAGCGGTCTTTGAATTATTTTTGACCCAAAAACCTTAAGTGGATAATAGAATGAAAGAACGTTCTAAGATTAAATGTAAATATCAGTATATTGATAAATATAACAAATGACCTAACCGTCGTAGTCTAACAATGTAAAATAAGGAAAAATTATATATCTTTCCTGTCAATTATTGAATACAAGCTGTCAACACGAAGTTTATTTGACTTTTTGATAAAGTTTTATTTTTCAATCTATCCAGAGATTAAAATTTCTACAGTATTAAATCCCATCAGTGTTTAGATATTATTATTATTTATATCTAATTAAATTTTAAGGGAATTTCATAATAACGTGCGTTTACAAGAGAATCACCCAAAAAAAAACGAAATTTCAACGGAGTCTTTCCCGAAATAGGACCTTTTTCGTTTCCTCCGTGACACAGACAGATTAATTTTGTTTTTTGTATAATTATGGAGAAAGCGAGAGAAAGTTTTCTATGTCTTATGTGTCGGCATTTAACATTATCCGGCGAGGTTCAGAAGCGAACTCACTCCTTCGGGGACCGTTCTCAACACGACACGTGTATCATAGGTTCCGATCGGGTTCGATTGTTTGTCCTTAGATCGTTTCCGTTGAAATTTCGAGCATGTTATAGAACGTTGATATTATAACAAATATCACAAAAGCTTTTTGTGTTTTTTATTTATATCTTAATAATTGTTGTTTTGTTCTAACACATAGGATTAATTAAAAATAAAAAAGTATATTATTGGGAAATTCTGATCGGTAATGGACACAAAAGAGTTTGTTGATTTTGGCAAAGCGGCCATCGATTTCGTGGCTAATTATACGGATAACTTGAGGAACAAGAATGTTCTTCCGGATGTTGAACCTGGATATCTTAGTGAATTGTTGCCGAAAGAAGCGCCACAGAAAGCGGAAACCTGGCAGCAAGTGCTTAAAGATGTCGAGCAGTATATTATACCAGGGGTAAGTCTGTATTTTATTAAATTCTTTCATTTTTTGTTTTGTTTGTTGAAAAAAAAGGTTAAATAAAATTAAATGGTGACGAGTGGAACATCACGCGATGCATATGTTGGTTATTGGTTCCGGATGTGAATGCGTTTTAAGATTTAACTTCGTACCTGACAGCCGGATTAACCTAAGTCCATTTAAAAAAAAAATTGTGTTATACACTATTCACCGATCACAAGAAGTCCCATGAGAATAACGTAAATTGATTGATCGCACCCCACCCCACCTTAGTTCACACGTACTTTCGGTCGTGATGCACGATTGGTCGAAACGGTGACATCTGTTAATTAGGCTCGTGTAAAACTAGGGGGTCAGCGGATATAAGCATAGTATCACCCTTTTGCCCCCGTACCCTCCCGTGAGACTTCTTGTCATCAGTAGACAGTACATTATTTTACTATGCTTTCTTTATAACAGTTACAGAAACATATTCATATTGCATTTTAAATGAAAAAGATGTAATCATAAGGACTACTGTTCTTGTCTTTCTGGTTTACTGGAAAGTCAGGTATAGAATTATTTTTGAACCAATCTTTCAACAAGTTTCATTAAATACTATTATTTTTAACAAATCTGGTTTACCGTATTACTTCGAATTTAAGCCGCACTTTTTATTCACATTTTTAAGTCGTCAAATTATGGTGCGGTTGAAATTCTAAGTGAATATTTGGTAAATATTCGGAAGTGTAACTCCTGTCAGAATCGAGTTGATTTTTTTTTGTGTGGTTTCTTACAGTTAAAAAACATCATATTTAATGTTATTATGGCAGCGCATCAACAAAAACAATGTCAATAAATATTTTTTTAAAGACTTTTATTCGTCGATCTTTCGAACTTTTTTTCAAGGTTTCTAAAAGAAATATTCTGTTTTTTCAAAATACAATAGACATACAAACTATTTTGACAATTCTTCATTATAAAATTGCTGAATAGCATCGAAAATGGCATGTACGCTTTAACTGTGCGGCAATATAACCAGCCATGTGGTAGTCACGTCGTCCAAATTTTGGGATATTACCACAGCAATTCCAGATGTAAACAAAAAACAAAACATCCCCTCGAGTTGAACAGTAACATATTAAATTCGTTTTGCTGACTGGGGGGTTCTGCCCCCCAGACTCCCCTGTATACTACACTAACTAATACCAATACCCACTTTTAATATAAGGAAATAATAAATACAATTTACAAAGCAACATATTTATTGGTATTAGTTAGTCTAGTATATAGGGGGGTCTGGGGGACCGAACCCCCCAGTCAGCCAAACGAATTTAATATGTTACTGTTCAACCGAATATTTTCTATTTCGTCGAGTTTTCACCGCGCACAGTGAACGAGTACATAAAATCTTTAAAAAAATATTTATTGACATTGTTTTTGTTGATGCGCTGCCATAATAATATTAAATATGATGTTTTTTAACTGTAAGAAACCACACAAAAAAAAAAATCAGCTCGATTCTGACAGGAGTTACACTTCCGAATATTTACCGAATATTTTAACATCAGATGTTAAATGTAGATGTCGAAAGTGATAATATATCTAAAGAAGATTTTCAATAAATTGTAAGTAGCTTATTATAGTTATACAGGGTGTTCGACAACAGGTAGGAGACTTTTTAAGAGGTGATTCTAGGTATCAAAATAAGACGAAAATCAAGAATGACGATATAGCGTTTGCGGCTTTATTTTCCAGTAATTAACGTTTAAAAATTCGAGTAAAAAGCGCCTGAAACCTGCAATCTGCCCAGCACCGACGACTGAACGTCAGGTCAGCATGGGTGGGTACAGTCATAACCAAAAATCATTGAATAGTAGGAACTTACCTCGTGCTATTCTGTTTCTCGACGACGCACAGTGGGACAAAACGGCTTTCGGCGATCAAAATTCTGTAACTTCGGTTCTATTGGAAATATTTTAATGAAATTTTGGGAAGTTTTTGTCTACATTATGGTACATAAGTTGTATCAATATGAATCATATTGAACTACAGGGTGTCAAAATATGACAAAATGACAAGACATGTGTTATTATAATATATTTATTTATATTTATTATGATCTATACCAAATCATACGTGAAAACAGTTTTCATTTGTTATGGCATGTTGCAAGGACGAACAATGTGCAAATTGTTAATAGGACACCGATCCGACATTATTACAGAATCTTCAAAAGAAGGTGGAATGGTGCTAATAGGTCGGTATCAAGATTCGAAGCGCAGAATCAGTTGTGGCTTAGTACCCGCATGATTTTAAAAACTGAAGAAACATGTGACACACCGATATATGAAGTTCCATCCACGTTTAATATAGGTAGACCAGTGAAAAGTTTGCAGGATTGTTCAGCAGTGACCAAAAGGCAGAAGTTAAGAGAACATAACGAAAATATATCTACTGATTTGATTAACCAAGGGCTGTGCCAACGTTTATAGAAGGTAATTGATGGCCGATAGGTTAATAAAAAAAGTGGATCAGTTTATGATATGGTGATTGGCACAACTGGTACTTAATAGAATAGTTGGTAGATGTTTGAAGATTATCGCGATCGTTAAATTACAATCACTGTAGAAGGGATCGGCAACTTTTATTGAACCAAAATAAAGTTTTGGATAACGAATATACACGTCGAATGCAGTTAACTGGATAATAATCGTATCTGGTACTGCTTTTCCATCATCGTGCGCTGCGGCCAAGATGAGTGTAATTTACTTCAATCGCCATTTTTTTGAGCAGTGGCAAGTTGGGGCAGCCTTTTTTTCTGATTCTAATAGAGGAAGGTTCACTCTTTCCTGCAGTAATAATTAAACATGTGGCACGTTGTGGCATTTTTTTTAAAATCAAACGCAAAGTTGTGATTTTAGTTAAATGTACTTCGTTTCAATCAGATCCTATTATTTAAAAAGTTAACATTTTAACTTATTTTATGCACTGAATAGAATCTATACTAATCTAGTAAACTTTGTAATTCATTTGAATTTTATCTTTCCGAGTAAAATTCATTAGAATCGTACATTGAAGTTACGGGTAATATTATCAGCGTTTCGTTTTGACGAATTTCTACTGACTTGGAGTGCGAACCACGGCAAAACGGAAGCAAATATGAAAAAACGGATTACACTACGTTAAACTACAGTTCATTCTCTATCGATATATGTAATTAGTTTTTCAATTTTCGAATTCACGAAAATCGAATTTTGATCGCCGAAAGCCGTTTTGTCCCACTGTGCGACGCGACGCGACGCGCGACGTTCAGTCGTCGGTGCTGGGCAGATTGCAGGTTTTAGGCGCTTTAACTCGAGTTTTTAAACATTAATTATTGGAAAACAAAGCCGCAAACGCTATTTCGTAATTCTTGATTTTCATCTTATTTTGATCCCAAGAATCATCCCTTAAAAGATCTCTCATCTGTTGTCGAACACCTTGTATTTCTATCTATTTCATTGAAACAAATTTTTTCTTATTTTTCAATACCTATCATAAAATCACTTTTATTTTTATTATTTTTTCCAATTTTCTAATTTTAAAATCCTACTGCAGCTTAAACTCGAAATAACGCGGTATTATTTTTTCGATATTTCGTTACTCATTTTGTTTATAATTGCAAATAAGTACCTGATACGAATATTTTTAATTAAATAAGTACATGCATTTTAAGCCAATTGTAGGTGAAATATTTTTGAGCCAAATATATGACAGTCAATATGTTAGAGTTCTGATGTCTATTAGGGATAAGTTATCGAAGGGTTAATAAGAAAAGGGTAAATAAGCTTTTAATGGCGTTAGAATTATACTAATAATGTAGGATAATAAACTAAAGGCGTGAATTTAAAAGTGAACCACTCATATTATGTATTAATTATTAATAATTTAGTACATCTTACAACATATAGCCATTTTCACAGTGGTTTGTGCTTATTTACAGGTAACACATTGGAATTCACCGCATTTTCATGCATTTTATCCGACAGCAAATTCCTATCCGGCTCTTGTGGGTGAAATTTTGAGCAGTGGTATCGGTTGTATTGGACTTTCATGGCTTGCTTCACCCGCCTGCACCGAGCTCGAAGTTATTACAATGAACTGGCTCGGAAAATTAATAGGATTACCGGAGGAGTTTCTAAACTGTGGCGAAGGCCCAGGAGGTGGTGTTATACAGGTAGATAACTATTGTTAATCTAAAGAATCATCAATAGAAATTTGATTTCTGTATATAAAACTACAATCCATTTATAACTTGTTGTATAGTCTTTATATATAACATTAAACTTTATTATTGTGTTACAGTTATACATATGCTTTCATAATCGTGTTCTCATGCGCACGCAACAGACACATCTATATATGTATCAACATCTTTCCATAACATAACTCACCTACAAATTAGTATTTATTTCCCATCAGAGTGAGGGTATTTTCATCTTAATTCAATATGGTGAAAATATCTTAAGGAAAAAATCTTTTTTGGAAAGATTGAAATATGCTATAATTTTTTAATAAATTTTACAAATCGTACATTTGATTGCATGATGGCTTTAATGCATTAAGTTTTTGCAACAAAATGAGGTTGCTCGTTGTATCTCTTACAAATTACATTAATTATTTAACAATTTAATAAAATGATCAATTGTGATCCACAAATGCAAATTTGTATTTTTAAAAGATTTCTGTCTCGAAAAATTTAAAGGAGGATGCTTTACAGTTCTCTTGTATTCATCTTACTAATTTAGGGTGTGTGTATACAGGGTGTTTCCTACTTTTCCGGCAAGATTGTAGGAGTATGATTTACAAGTGAAAATAAGAAGAAAATGTTATATGAAGTTTGTTTATAAACGCTTTGTTACGAAATTATAGGCAAATATTGAATGTAGCCTGAATAGGTGCAGAACAGCAGATTTAAAGCTGAATAATACGGAAGGTCAATTGTGCATATTTTGCCTGTACTTACAAGATATTTCTTAACGTATGAGGATCGTTAAGAATTTTTATATCATCATTTCAAAATAACCACCTTCTGCACTGATACAAACTTAACATCGATGTAATATGGAATGTATTACATTTTGAATTTCCTGAGGATTTTGCTGCATCTCAGCAACTGAGGCAAAGTAGAGGCAAAGTAAACACAATCGACCTTCCGTATTATTCAGGTTTAAATCTGCTGTTTCGCACCTATTCAGGTTACATTCAATATTTGCCTATAATTTCGTAACAAAGGGTTAAACAAATTTCATATAACATTTTTTTCTTATTTTCATCATGCTTCTACAATCTTGCCGGAAAAGTAGGAAACACCCTGTGTACTTCAGTGTTAATATTTTTCTAAGAATCCTTTACTTGTAATTGAAACATTTATAGCGGAATTGTTAATATCTATTTTTTAACACATTTTCTATATTTTATAATTAAAATGTAAAAATAAAAAACAATTTTGGGCTCGTCCGGGATTTGAACCCGGGACCTCTCGCACCCTAAGCGAGAATCATACCCCTAGACCAACGAGCCGCTATGTCAATCACTTTTCTTTAACCAATTTAATAATATAAAATTCATTAAGTTTATTATATCATTATTTTTAATGTTATTGTACAAAAATATTACATTCCTTCAATCAGTTTTCTCAATTTATTCTTGTATTCTTGTATTCTTATATTACTGTTTCTTTCGTTATGTTCTAATGTACCTTTTAATGAGAGTTCAATAATTGTTATGTTTAATATGTTTATGATAAATGTTACTAGAAATTAATATTTCTAGAAATTATTAGCTTAAATACACAGGGTGTCTCATTTTAATCTTTACACGCGATCTTCTCGAAAAATATTCATTTTTCGAAAAAAGTGTTTCAATGAAACATGCTCTGTTCGAAAGGGAACATGCAATGGTAGACACTGTTTCATTTCTACATGGAGGTGCCTCCGAGATTTGAAGGTGACCTTTGTTTTTTTAAATGGAATGGGGTACTTCTTTATGCATCAAACGATGTAGCTAGACATTCTTTATAAAAAAGTACTGACCTATGTATGTCGAAAAGCTGGTAGTTTAGGAGATATTTCAGTTTAAATAATTCTAAAATTCGTGCTGATATTAGCGTTTATTTACAAGTATGGTTGAACATAATGATCATTTGCATCACAACATTTTTGAAATCGATGAAGTAAGGACTGGCCTACGTTATTTAATGTAACGGCTGATATTTTGCCACATTTGTCAATAATACGCTGCTTCATATCAGTCACTGTAGTAGAATTATTTAAACTGAAATATCTCCTAAACTACCAGCTTTTCGACATACATAGGTCAGTACTTTTCTATAAAGAATGTCTAGCTAGATCGTTTGATGCATAAAAAAGTACCCCATTCCATTTAAAAAAATAAAGGTCACTTTCAAATCCCGGAGGCGCCTTCATGTAGAAACAAACAGTGTCCACCATTGTATGTCCCCCTTCGAATAGAGTATGTTTTGTCTAAACACTTTTTTCGAACAATGAATATTTTTCGAGGAGATCGCGTGTAAAGATTAAAATGAGACACCCTGTATACATATGTTTAGGGTTAATTGCTGTTTAGCATTTAATGTATTAATTACTTTTACATATATTACGTAGTTTTCTTTATTTAAATAGGGATCAGCAAGTGAGTCTACGTTGGTGTGTTTATTAGTAGCTATAGAACAAACCACACGTCGGATAAAACATCTTCATTCAGACTGGGATGATGCTTATATTAGGTCGAAATTGGTTGCATATACGTCTGGTAACTATTTCATATTATGCCCTTATTTAATTTTATAATTAATATATCTTTAATGTGCTAATTATACATTAAATTTTACATCCAATTTTTGAAATTTATCAGAAAAAATTAATATGAAATTTTGTTAATTTGTAACCTAAACTTCAGTTAGCAATCAACAGAGATAAATGTTACTTAAAGCTCAGAAAATAAATTTGTTTAATCATCAATCGCTTTCTTAAATAGTTTTACAGCAAGATTGATCGTTTTAAGTGTCAATGTTTGTTTCACACAGATCAATCAAATTCCTCTATAGAAAAAGCAGGAATTTTAGCCTCGGTTGCCATGAAACTTTTACCAGCCGACGAGAAATGTGTTTTTCGAGGTGAAACGTTATTGAAAGCGATCAAGGAGGACTTGGAGAAAGGTTTGGTACCATGCTGTGTTATAGCTACTTTGGGTACCACTGGCACGTGTGCCTTTGATAAACTTGAAGAATTGGGACCCATTTGTAAAGAGTACAATGTTTGGTTGCACGTCGATGCTGCATATGCAGGTTAATAAATTTATAACAACTACAATCTTTTGTTTAGAAATGTTTAACAATTAATAATTAATCACTTTGAATTTCGTTACTTTTAGGCCATAAAGTATAACATAGTACACTTTTTAAATATAATTTCAAACTTCTGTAAATTGAGTTATATTGAATTCCGTTCAAATCTTTTAAAACCAAGCAATATGATTTGAATAAATTAAAAATTAATTTTAATTAATCTATGTTCAATAAATCATACAGCGTAAAATAAATAACAAGTAGATAGAAATGAGAAACTTACTTTCTTTCCAAAAAATTAAAAATAGTTATTAACGTTATGTAAACATATATATTTTTGTAGGTGCTGCTTTCGTTTGTCCCGAATATCGGTATTTAATGACTGGCGTTGAATACGTTGACTCCTTCAATATTAATCCACACAAATGGTTACTCGTGAATTTCGATTGTTCTGCACTATGGTGCGTGTATTTTTTTGCAGTTTATACAAATAACAAAATTCTTTACTCTCAAAACGATATAGCTGTATATTTTAAACAATTATAGGGTTAAAGATTCTAAGAGACTCATTGAAGTCTTCAGTGTAGATAGGATTTATTTGGCGCACGATAAAGAAGGAGTTGCTCCAGATTATAGGGTAATTATTTACTTATTCAATAAATTATTTTGTTCATTTTTATGAAAAATTAAAAAATATAAAATTATTTTTCAGAATTGGCAAATTCCGTTGGGACGACGTTTTCGTTCTTTGAAACTTTGGTTTGTCTTACGTCTATACGGAGTGGACGGTTTACAGGAACACATAAGGCGTACCATAAAATTTGCTCAAATATTTGAAGAATATGTTAAATCGGACAGCAGGTTCGAATTAGTGATAGGTAGATCCATGGGTTTAATTTGCTTCAGAATAAAGGTACATATATAAAAATTATAGAACAAAATATACATAATGAAGTAATTAAAATAATCAGAAATTTGAAGAATATTACCTATTTAACTATAGGTCGCAGAAAGCATGATTTCTTGGTTTATCGACCAAACTCCATATACCGTAGGTTTTGTTTATCAAGTTTCTTAGTTCACTGAATCAGCTCCCGTCGATAAGACAAGAACTGTCCAATGTTTGTCGTACCCGAGTGGTTAAAAGTTTTGCGATATAATTTAAAAGTCTGTAACAAGAAAATTGTTTTTAAAAAAATGCCACTTTCAGCTGTTATATACGTGTATACATAACAGAGAAAAGAAGTTCATCATAAAATGAAATATAATTTTATAAACTTTTTAACCTATGATGTTAATTTACGTAAATATTTCAACAAATTATAATTGTAAGACACTAATGTGAATATGAATAATTAATATGAGATTAAATAGATATGTACAATTTTCTACTTTCACATAAAGTGTAATTTCTTTTTTTTTCTAAATTTTATTTTAATCAATTTATTATGATTTTCAGGGTGACAATCAGTTAACTAAAGAACTTCTCAGCCGTTTAACAGCCGAAAAGAAGATTTATGTGGTTGCTGCAACTTTTCGCGAAAAATTGGTTGTTCGATTCGTAATTTGCAGTCGTTTAACTCGAGAAGAAGATGTTATATTTGCTTGGAATGAAATTACAAAACAAGCGACAGAAATCGTGGGACCTAAGACACCTTGTTTGGAAGAAAAAGCACATGAATCATTCGCAAAATCTTCGGCTGATTTAGCGACGAGGATAGAAAGTTTAAATCTCGAGTCAAAAACGCAAACAATATCGTAGAATAAATTTTACGCTATGGAGCAAAAGTAGAAAAATTGTATTTAATTTTCTAAAATTTCTAACTCGATTTCAAAGTTTCAAGTACCTGTTAGAGCTTTCAGTCTTTGTAGGATGATGTTTAGTTTTAAGAAAATAAGATTTTAATGCAAAACTTCGTTCATTCGTTTATAGTTAACGAGAAAAATAGTTGAAATTGGATGTTCAGTTTATGAAAGTAAAATATTGAAAATATCTGTAATAACTATTCGAATCTAAAGTAGCATGTGAGTTGTATGACGAAAGTAAATAATTGCAAAGTTCTTTGCCGGAAAAAATGAAACTTTGTGATTTAATTTAAGCGTAATCATTGTAATGATATTTTTGCTGACATAAATATTTATAGCTCGTATTAATTGTGTTCGTTGATTAATATTTTCATTCATAATTTGTTATTGCAGATTTAAAAAAAGAATATTAATGTAGGATTTGAAAAATAAAGAAATTATGTTGTAACTGTAGGCATTTAGTGGAGGAGGGGAGAAGGTTTCGTCTCCCCAGATGCCTTTTAGTTCGGGCCGGGTATCGCTAGGTAGCGGCGAAAGATCCAGTGACAGTGCTCTCGCAAGCGGTCGCCTGGCAGGCCTAGCATTCGAATTGCGGTATGATAGATGTTTCGGCCAGGGTTCGTCGGTTGTCAGCTCCATTGACGAATTTGACAGACGAAACGCCTTTTTCTCCCCTCTCCTACATAACGATGTTTAAATGAATAGACATTTTGCAAATCATTTTACACAGTCAAGGCCCACATTATATCTGTAAAAGTGGTCTTGGTCAAATTCGGTGTTTATACATGTTGTAATCCGGAAAAACGTACAGGCATATAGATAAAAAATAAAAAATAAAACATAAAATATACGATGGCTTGAAGTTAGCGAAACAATAATTTCAAAAATGCTATTTCTGAATCCGTAAGTTAATATATACATATAGAAAAAAATGTATATATGTATTTTATATATGTATAACGTTATATATATATGTATAACGTATTTGCGTGCGTACATGTAAGTGTCTAAATATAAGTACACACACGTGAGTAGATAATATGTGCGCTAAAAGGTTATCCAGCTATCTCTTTCATGATCTTTCTCCATCATTGCTATTTTTTGTATTCTTATTGTTTACTGTTTTATTATTTTTAGAATATCTTCTTTATTGTTTACGATTTTTATACATGGTGTATGCGCATATGAATATTCCTATTTGTTTTAGATCTATTTATTTTTCATTAATTTTCTTCTATATTAACAGTATGATATATGCACGCATACGCAAACATTACATATACATATACATATATTTCAAACATTTATATGCATATATTAACTTACGTATTCAGAAACACTGTTTTTGAAGTTGTAGTTTTGTTAACTTTAAGCTATCGTATTTTTTATATTTTTGATTATTGATTATTGATTAAGTTTTTCATCGACACCATTTGGATTACAATATATATATGAATTTTACCGAATTTGAACCACTTTCACAGATATAACGTGTGCGAAAACATGAATTTCATCAACTCACACCACTGCCGTATTTCTAATAGATTCAAACATATTCATTATAATACATCATGCATCTCCCCTTTTGAGGGTTGCATTCACCCCTTCAAAATAAATAGCTATTAATAAAAAATTAGTGTGTAATATTTTTGTAAGAACTACATTACAGCAAAGTTTCATTATTTAATTAGATATTATACGTTTGAATATATGTAATTACCAGATATCTTGCATTTTAAAAAATAACTTAAAAATAAAGGATTAATTTGTTACCTAATATTCTTGTTTCATTCAAATGAAATGAATGCCATAATTTATTTTGAATGACGTACATACAATCTTCTATCATTCTATTATGGATACTCCAATTTTAAACGTTCGATTCTTCAGCACGATATTAAAATTGCGGCAAATTCCATGAATACAAGTTTTGCATTGACTGGAAAGATCTATTTTACTAAAACAATTAGTTCATCTAAAGTTTATCTAAAATCCCTAATTTACAAAAGATTGTAGAATAATCCTAAAGTGTTCTAGAAATTATGGACGAAATTTCAATAAAAGGCTACAATTTCACCGGAATCAAAACAGGAAATTGTCATAGTCGGCTATGACTTTAACCCGTGTGCACCGTTCCAATTTTGATTACATCGTTTCATTCTTTTCCACGTATAAGTAAAAAGTAAAATTAATTTATATTTTAATCAATGAATATGTTCTACAATGGCTTTTAATTAGAAAACAGTAAATTTCTTAGGAGTAGAAAATTTGGTTAATAGATGATTAGATATTAGCTTCTGATTTTCGGTCAATTTGACCAGAATAGTGACCATGTACTATATGTAAGTACAATACATACGAGAGTTAAACAATGAAACATCAGGAAGGCAATGGTCGTTTGTTTGCGCGTGTGGCATGCTCTCCTCATAGCAACGTTCACCAATAAAAAACCCCTCCTTGATAACATCTATGTAAATTTTTATCAAGATTAAGCATTATCGTCTTCATGAACAAATTTACTAGTTTCGCAGATTTACGTCCAATGAGATGCTACTTACGAGGTCCAGATTATCGTTTCGAAGGTTCCAAACAATTTTAGTAAAGTAAGTTATTACGGTAATTAGCATTCACATTTTGACGTTAGAATTTCAAATTTAGATTTTATACTCCTGAATTTACATCCTAAGTGTTTTTTTTTTAGGAATAACTTACAATTAACTAACAAATATTTTCATTTTGTTTACAAAACACTGTAGAAATGTGTTTATAGAAAAAAAATTGTAAGGTTGGAATGCAAGTTTGATAACTTCATACACCATTTATGACAGATTGCGTGATTAAAGAGAGAATTATAAATTTTTATTGATTATCAATATTTGAATTTGAAGTATTGCTAAATTAAATTATGCCCTGATTTTTCAGTAATTAGATACAAATTGTTATTTTACAATATTTTGCGTTTGTCGTTAATCATAATTGTATTTTGCGCTAACTTCATAAATAACTTGATTCTTTTGAAAAGTTTTACAAATTTTTATAATTAAACAGTGATAATTATTGGAATTGTACGGATGAAAATATAATGTAATTAATACTGTTCATTGCATGTTTTTTCTTCTACAAATAAATACTCGAAACAGCCTAACAATTACCGTACAGTTTATTTATAAATCACAGAATATTTCATATTTCAAATCAATTATGTAGTTATTTTCTATCAATAATGCATTCGCAAAATTTGTACCCTAGATAATAATCAATTTCAACGAGTTTGTTGAGTTTAATCGTGACTTAAAGTTTCATAAAATGAAAATTCTTTGTCTGATTAGCTACAAATTTCTAAGGAAATAAATATAAAAAAGAAGAAAATGGGAACCGTCATAAGATATATGTTTATGTTGAATATGTCTAGAACCTACTCGTCAAAGAAAGGAGGAGGTGGTAAGGAAATACCGTCATGTACAAAAGTGGCCAGATTCGAGTCATGTCAACTGGATCCTTGCATGTTGGATCCATGCAAACCGGAACCAACAGTGGTGATCATTGGTGCAGGGATGGCCGGACTTTCAGCTGCGCATCGTTTAGCACAATGTGGTCTTCAAAATTTCACAATATTAGAGGCAACGGATAGGTATACCATTTACAGTAACCACGAATCACACTGAAAAATCATCGTATACCTATTACACTCATTAGACTATTCATGGAAATGCAAACTAACAAGGAACACTCCCGAAATCAGAAATCCAAACAATTACGAAACTTTGTAGATACGTAGAGCAGTGTTTCCCAAAGTCTGGTACGCGTACCTCCTGGGGGACAGGAAGAATTTTATGAATGAAATGAATGAATTTTATTTTACGTTTATTATTATTTTGTTTATGTACTAAAAAAGGAAAAAATAAATATATATTGTTATTAAAGTATATGCAATTTTTTTTTTTTTACGAGGGGTACTCAGTGTTACGAAAATGATAGAAGGGGTACATTGATGTCGAAAGTTTGGGAAACACTGACGTAGAGGATGTTCTCCTGATCGAAACGCAATTTTTTTTGCTGTCCGTTTTCAGTCTAAAGGGGTAAAGTCGCCCTCAAAATTTCGGCCGCTTTTAATTTTTTTTTTTCCGAAACCGTTAAAGATATCCAAAAACTTTATAAACGGAAGTTGTTCATCTTAATGTATAGTGCTTTTTATGTTGAAACAAAAAATTGTTTAAGCAATTACAAAAAGTTATAAACAAAAAACTTAGAAACTATTGAAAAATTCTAAACCTTGTCATGAAAATAGAAAGTGGTCTGTTGTTTAAAGTGATATAACGTTTAATTATCATTTGCTATTTTAAGGGAGCAAAAAATATTATTAAATATAATGATATGTTTCGTGTTCATTTTGTTATTTGCAAACGATAACTGATATAAAGCGGTCCTTAGGACAATAATTGTTGTCCTTGTTTACCCTTGTTTACCCTTGTTTAAAAAATCACGATGATTACATATTATGTATCACGTAGGTTTTGTGTTAATCTCTATCGTATTACAGCGTAGCTAGAATATATGTGGTGGGATTACAGAATCTTGTTGAGCAAAAACAAAATCTACTGGGTTTGCAAAATTACTTGGTTTTTCTTCAATCAACTCACTTTTGTACCATGCATATGAAAACATATTGTGATATTTTAGTGGCGATAGCTGATTATGTACTAACGATTGAAGTTTAATAACATTATCTCAAAAATGCAAATTAATGTCATAATTTTTTAATATTACGAGGTCGGAAAATTTTGTGACAAAGTTTTTCAATCAAGATCAACAAGTTGTATCAATCCTGTCGTTTTTCTTGGTATTGTGTAAATTTCCAAATCTTTATTTGACAGCACATTTTCTTTTAATATTTCTGGACAGTGACCATGAGTTTATTAACAAGACACTTTTCGGTCCTATATTGGGTAGATATACATTCATTAATCATTCATTGAATAATTCTTTTGTTAATTTTCCAGATGTTGATGCCACCAAATAAACATTCCACGATTTAAACAATGACCCTGGTACCTTTGGCCCGAAATTACCTCCTTGTTCCTTTAGAATTTAGAACAAGAAAGAGAGGAGAAAGTAGCTTACCCGAAGCTGAAACTGTAAGAAGTATTGTGTAACGATGAGTCGTAGCGGAAGTAGATTGAACAACAATTTCTACAATTTTTGATCCTTGCATTGCTAAAGTACGACCAGAATGTAACTCTAAATCGAATCCACTTTCGTCAATATTTTTTTTAATGTAAGGTTGTACGCGATTAACAAAAGAGGAGGCAATTTCGTCCAATTTAGGAGAATCAATTTCGTATGAACGGGTAATAAATTTGTTTATTTTTCTAGAAACTGTTCTATGAGCCTTTTTGAAACTCCATAACCAGTGTCAAAATGTCTTAAATTCTTCCAGTTTAATTACTTTATTTGCTTCTACAGTCCACATTCGGATATCTAAATCGTGGATAATAACACGATTTTCACTTTTCCAAACTTGATTGAAAACGTATTCTGAAATTTGTAATTATTTTTCTCTTCGAGTTCCCTCTTTATGCAGTGCTTCTTCCCATCTCTGTAAAAACGTAAAAAGATTAACTCATTTTATTCCAAAATGTTATTGTAACAAATGCTATTACAAAAGCAAAATATTTCTTTTTTTAAATGTGCTTTACCTGTACAATTGGTGAATCGATTGAACTTTTCGGAACTTATGCTACACATTTTCTCATAAAAGTCATTTCCTTTTTCCACCTTTCCAATATACAACAGCATTTCCTTTATATTCTAATGTCACAATACCTCCTTCCTGTGTTTCGATTTTATCTTCTACTTGTTCTACAACTTTCTCATCAATAGGTGAAAATATTTCGTCCACAAATTCCACAGAATGTGATCTAAACGGATCAACAAATTTTAATGTATGTTCAGTTTCCATTACAGACAACATATCTTCAACCACTCTAACCAGCAGATCTTTTAATATATCATAAAGTTCTTGTCCACGGTTATTAATTGGTGTTTGATTGTCATTCGTTACGCTGAATGTAATCATAAGCAAACAAATTACATTTACCGGATTTATGGCAAGCATTTTATTAGATGAAATGTTCTCTTAAAAGAGAATTTAAAATTACTAAAATATGGCCATGCAGGGTCACAGATTCCAACCAACTGATGATTTAAACGATTTTTCGCAATTTTTTAAAAGCACAGGAGAACATGTTTTCGTAAAAATTTGGGATAATTATATCTTATATTATTTTCGTTGCACTCTGTGCCCTCTGTTTCTATTTATTATAATAAAAGACTGATACTGGGGCATACAACAACACAACTGGCAAAAAGTTACCCACAATGTATACAGGTAATGGATAATTATTAAAATTATTTGCATTCAAGAGTAACTAATTGTAGTTAATATGAATTATTAATAGATATAAAGGCTGCAATTCGTCTTAGGAGACCGAAAATTGTTGGTTAAAAAATATTAAATCATTGTTTCCGACCTGGAACATTTGAAAATGCAAGTTAAAGTTTATAAAACCACTTGTTTAAAAGATACGATTATGTGAAAAAAGTATATTTAGCGTACTTTGACATTATTGTCCGAAGGACCGTTTTATATCAGTTACCGTTTGCAAATAATAACATAAAAACAAAACATATTATTATTATATTCAGTAATATTTTTTGCACCCTTAAAATAGGAAATGATAATTAAACGTTATATCACTTTAAACAACAGACCATTTTCAATTTTCGCAAGAATTTAGAACTTTTCAATAGCTTCTAAGCTTTTTTGTTTATAACATTTTGTAATTGTTTAAACCATTTTTTGTTTCAACATTAAAAGAAAACACTATATATTAAAATGAACAACTTTCGTTTATGAAGTTTTTGAATATCTCTAATGGTTTCGGAGAAAAAGGAAAAACAACGAAAAACGATCAAAATTTAAAGGCGATTTTCATAGCAAAAAAAATTGCGTTTTAATCAAATGGACTCTGTAGATCCTCTACATATCCACAGAGTTTCATCATTTTTTGAATTTCCGTGTTCGGGATCATTCCTTGTAAGTACTCATGCTGAGTAAAGATAGTTCTAATATTTTTTAAGTATTGAGAATAAAAAAATGATATTTGGAATCATTTAATATTTATTTATTAAATTATATTTAGAATTATTTGTTTTAGATTATATATTTATTAAACAAATCATTGGTGATTGAAATTTAACTTTAGACCTTTTGAGACATTATTTTCCCAATTTACGAAATTTGGTCGTTTTTAAATTTAAGTCCTTCATTTTGATCTAAATTCCTGTGTACATATTTCGTATAGCTGAGTTATTTTACATCCTTATCAAAAGTTGGTCCCATATTTTTGGTAGATTATTAATTACAAGGTGCCGATAACGAATCTTCTTTGCAGACCAGGAGGCCGAATCCATTCATGTTGGTTAGGTGACGTAGTGGCGGAAATGGGCGCCACTTGGATCGAAGGAGGATGCGTAGCGAATCCTGTTTTCACCTTAGCTGCTCAAGAGGGTCTTCTGAAGCCACCTCTGTTCAGACCTGATCCAAGTCGCGGTCTTTTTTGTACAAGCGATGGACGGGCTATCGATCTTCCTGTCAGCATTACTGCATATCATACCTTCCGTCAAATCGAGCAACAGGCAGCAGCTCTTTTCTCCCTAGGTTGTGGCCGCACCCACGGTACGTTGCTGAATTTCATGGGTGTCAGAATTCAGCAGGAGCTCCACAATTTCCCGGAGGAGCAACGGTACAGTTGCCCAGGTCAACTGCAAACTTTATCAGCAGTGATGTAAAAGTAGCTCTAATATTCGTACTGGCGTGATTTAATTTACCGTAGATGGTAGTGAAATTGCTAGAGATAGTTTCAGAATACGAGTTTAATTATTATGTAGTTGTTCAACAATACCCTTCTAGTTTGATAAGATGGTAATATATCGTTAACAACGCTATTTACAGACTTTTCAGAATTTACTTTCAAACTTGCAGACTTTCAGATATTTTTATATATAAAATGAATTTACTTTATAAGATATGGGTAAAACCATGGAAAAAAGCCTTTAACGACGATTTTACTGATAATGAAATCGGGTATTTTTTATATAAGAAAGGGCTTTAAATAAAATGCACTTTCTCAGAGTCTTAGGGCGATCACGATTTGACAGTTATAATAAAAAAAGCTTGTACTTTTTATATTGCATTAAGCCTAATATAAGTGAATTAGGTTAGGTTGGATTGGGGTATAGTAGGCTAAAAGTTTTTGAGTAGATTCAAAAATTCGTATAAATGTTTTGTGTTCAAAGTTCGAACAATTGCACGAAAGTCCGAAGATACACTAAGAACGAATAACAATATCACATTGAAAGTATCAGAAACCAAGTAAAAACAAAGGTTCAAATACTGCGCATATTAATATTAATTTATTTTCACAATTAATATTATTTTTACTCATTTAATTAAACCAGCGAATATCCGTGGCCCCCAGTCCGCAATAAACATATTTAAAAAAATGATCTTTATATGCTAGCAGAATTTTAATATGCTCTACAGTAAATTGTCAATTTTGTGGAAAATTTAAAAAGTTGTAATCACGCACTATTTGTTGAGATCTTGTGACACTTGCATTTTATTAAATTTATTTGCCCTCGTAATTACAATCTTTTAAATGAATGATAACCTGAAATAATTAACGCCTCATATTTAAACCGTCAATTCGTGAATTAAATAATCGAATGTTAAAACACAAGTGTTCAACTAATTAATTCCAGAAATACACCTCCTATCATACAAATAATTATATGAATGAAAATAATTGTTTGGCAATTAGATAGTAAATCAGATCTAGCATGTTACGTTACATCACTGCGTTTTTAACGACACAATATTTCAAAATGTTCCCTCTCGATACCGTTGGCAATTTTACGTCTTCAGATATGACGCAGCCAGAGTGATGTACGGAATGACAAACTGCGTGAGATGTCGGTGCGGTGATGATCTTTCGCTAGTTTCTGCTGATCAATTTGGAAGTTACATCGAGATTCCTGGTGGTAATGTTAGAGTGCCTCTTGGCTACGTCGGTGTACTTGCTCCGCTGCTACGAGATTTGCCAAGCTGTTCTCTCAAGTTAGTTAACTCTTTTGCTACCAATGGTGTTTGCAAAGCGTTTCAAGCAAAACTGATTGATTTTGACCGATTCAAGTTCAAATAGACAACACAGAGACCGGGTATCCGATTACCTGTTGTTCATTTTTCTGGCAACTATACATATTTGTATTCCACTCTGGAATTATTTGATAAAAATATTTACAATTGTCGTTTACTATTTTATATATTCTACATATTAATGGGTTGCAAATTTTTTGGAAATTATTGTTCAGTTTAATGATATTGTATGGATCATTATAATTCACAGTTTCTATACGATAATTTTAATAATTTACATGTTATTTTTAATACTTACTATAAAGGTTAAAACGATTTATACATATGTATATTAATTTGTATAATCAAAGGATATTATTAGGTATTAGAAAATTAATCATAGATATTATTAATTTTGTAATAGTCATTGATGGGACTTTTAGAAGCTTTGAATTAATAATTAATAATTGTAGTTTTTATTCTAGAAGTTAAAATGTCAGATAAAGAATGTATGTACTTCTAAGTTTGACATTTTAACGATAAAATGAATATTTATTACTCTTCACACCAACACTATTAAACAAGAAAAGTTTGCCTACTAATTATTATTAAAGTCATTAAACATACTTTCATTCAAAATATAATTGAATTTATTTATAACATCGTAAATATATGAACTTCATTCTTCGTTACACATTCCTTAGTAGAAGGTTCATAACATTGATTAAACTGCTCATAATTAATCAATCAATCCTTGGACAGTAATGTATTATTGGAATTTTGCATCCAGAATAGATCTCAAATTTACCTAACAAATTTTTAATGTAAAGTACAATGAATGTTCTATGCTAACCAATTCAATCTTAATGATTACTTCAAATTTACCAACAATATCAATATCGAAAGCAATAAATAACTATTCATTTCGCTATAAATAAATGTTATATTTAATGATATCAATGTTAGTTGATTTATTTACAGAAAATGAAATGGGTACATTTGTTCTATTAGATACTGTAAGCCAGTTAGCTGTGTCAGATGGGGTGCCATAAGTGATTCTTGTCCTCGAGCTGTGGTGAAGTGTTGCGATGGCGAAGAATTTCCCGCTGATTACGTTATCGTTACCGTGTCTCTTGGTGTCCTGAAACATCAACACGATAAACTTTTCTGTCCAGCATTGCCTGCTGAGAAAGTCGAGGCTATTTGTAAATTGGGATATGGTTACGTTAATAAAATATTCTTGGAATACGCGAGGCCGTTCTGGGTTTGGAAAGAAGGTGGCATTAAGCTAGCTTGGTCAGCTGATGAACTTGCTGACAGATGCGACTGGGTGAAAGGTCAGATTTTAATATAATAGTTAAAATTTAAAAATAGGAAGAGTATTCGATGTTATTTTTATTACTAAATTTAAAAAGTGAATAATTCCATTTACCATGTTTGTCTATGCTTTAATTAGTTATTCCTATTGTCGTTATATATGCTTGATAACATTATTAACCCTCGTACAACTGATACAGGATCACTTTTCACTCCTGTCAATGGCAACAAATACGTATAATAAAATACGTTTAAAACGTATAACAACCAACAGAGAATTAAATAAAATAATATTTTTAAATACAAACATTATCAGAAAATAGTTTCTATTAAAGATCAAGATCTAAAGTATGAATTATGAAAATTCAGCTGTGAGTAAAAAGTGACCTGATATCGTCGTTTGCAATTGGCCCTTCGAGTGTCAAACAAATATTATTTTTTAAAGTGATTAAATAACATATGCATTAAATCAAATAATTCAGATTTTCTCATATTACAGGAATCTCAAACATAGAAGAGTTATCGACATCACAGCACGTTTTATGTGCATGGATCTGTGGTCGTGAAGCAGCGGATATGGAATTATGTTCCGACGAAGAGGTGGTTGAGTCAATAACAAGAGTCCTTCGACAATTTACCGGTGATCCAACGCTTCCCTATCCAGCAAATCTCCTCAGAAGTAAATGGTGCATGGATCAATACTTTGCTGGTGCATATAGTTATATGGGAATGGACAGCACTGTTGGGCATCAGTGCGATTTGGCCAGTCCTTTGCCAGGTATAGACACTGTTTTTTTGGAGATATGCGAGAACCTAAAAATACCGAGTCGGGTCGGGTCGGGTTAGGTAGGTTTTCGATAGTATAGATGTGCAAGAATTCAAAAATGTCGGGTACTCGCTACCCGGAACGGGTCAAGAATTGTTTTGGTTGCCTTAGTGAATTAAAAACTTTTTTTCGTAAATACTCCCAATTCACGGTCATATTCAACAAAATTCGCCCCGAAACACAGCTCTGCTGTTAATTTTGTATTTTTATCCGACTTCGAAAAGGAGGATGTGTATTTTTTTTTTTTTTTTTTTTTTTTTTTTTTTTAATGTATGTTCGCCGATTACTCCGAGACGGGTGGACCAATTGGAACGAAACCTTTTGCATCTTCTAAAGTATGTGCCCCGATTGGTCCCGTTAAAAAAACATTTTATAGTTTTTCATTCCGAACGCTTTTTATTGCAAAAAAACGTACTATTTCATGTACGTGCGCCGAACGTTCGCCGATTACTCCGAGACAGATGGACGAATCGGAATGAAACTATTTGCATCTTGTAGAGTATTTCTCCCACTTTGTCCTGTCAAAAAGACATTTTGCATTGTTTCATTGCTAACGATTTTTTTGCAATGAACGTAATGCTTGATTTACATTTTTCACCGATTACCGCGAGATGGATGGACCAATCGGATCGAAAATTTTGTATCTTGTAGAGTATATCTCCCGATTGGTCCAGCAAAACAATTTTTGTATTTTTTCATTCCTAACGACTTTTATCGCAAAAAACGTAATACTTCATTTATATCTTCCGGCATTTATGCTGCAGGGAATGTACCGATTGCGATGAAACCTTTCACATTTAGTAGGAGATATATCCGCAATGATCCTACTTGCCAAAATTTATGGAATTTGTTAATAACTACCGTTATAGCAAAAAATCTATTGCTTCATGTTACTCTGCCAGGAATGTATCGTTCGCGATGAAACCTTTCATATTTAGTAGGATATACAGGGTGTCACGCGACTACCTCGACAGCCGAAGCGGGATAATTGCCAAGGTGATTCTAAACAACTTTTTCCTTTGCTAAAATGTTGGTTAAGGCTTGGTTCTCGAGTTAATAACAAAAAACACCGACCAATCCGAGCGCGTATAGCGCGCAATCCCAGGGACTGCAGTGTCGAGTACGAAAACCGGGCCTGACGTAGGTCGCGAATGAACGGCATAGCACCCTGTTGGCATAGCACAATAAAAAAACTGAACTGGTTGAACATTTTTCGTCGTTGTTTAGAATGAATACGGAACCTAATCTCTTGTCGCCTGTCATAATGTAAAAAAGGAAATTCTAAGGATTCTAAGCAACAAATGAAAATATTTGAAGTGAAATAATTAATAAACGTTTGAATTGGAGGCTACGTTAATGATGAAAGATTTGAAAACAATTTAAATGAAACTTACCCATTCGTTTCTAAATTAACTTGCTACGCTGAAAGCAAATAATTCCCGCTAAGTCATTGTGTCGATTCTGAACATTCGAAGAGGAAATACCTCGTCTATTATTCATATCTAAGTGCAATAAATGAGGGCCGTTCACTGGCCGGATCATGAAAAGGGCTGTTCTACCGAACGTGTTTCCTCGTTTCCCAGTGACAATTATCTGCTTTCAGCGTAGCAGGTTAATTTAGGAACGAATGCGAAAGTTTCATTTAAATTGTTTTCAAATTTTTCATCATTAACGTAGCCTCCAATTCAAACGTTTATTAATTATTCAATTTCAATCATTTTTATTTGTTGTTTAGAATGCTTGGAATTTCCTTTTTTACATTATGACAGGCGACAAGAGATTAGGTTCCGTATTCATTTTAAACGACTAAAAATGTTGTACCAGTTCAGTTTTTTTATTGTGCTATGACAACGGGGTGCCGAGCCGTTCGTTCACGTTTTCGTTCACGAGGACATTGCAGTCCCTGAGCCCGCGTGCTGTACGCGCACAGATTGGTCGGTGTTTTTTGTTAATAACTCGAAAACGAACCAACATTTTGGCAAAGGAAAAAAGTTGCTTAGAATCACCTTAGCAATCATCCCTCTTCGGCTGTCGAGGCAGTCGCGTGACACCCTGTATATCCGCGATGATCTCACTCGTAAAAATTTATGAAATCTGTTGTTTATTAACAACTTAAATTTGGGAAATTTTTTTTCGGTTTATGGTTATTAGCTAAGCAACAGAAACCTAAAATCACCTTACACTATCCTACAAATACTACTGGTTCCACTAAAAAGTGTGAAGTAAAATAATTTTTAACAAAAAACAAATCCGACTTCGAAATGTACTAAAAAGTGTAAAATAATTTCTATTTCATTTATACCAATATTCCATAGCTATTAATCGTTAACTAGGATACCAAATACATTTCAAAGTTTTCGGAGGCGGCGCAAAATTAAAAATACCCGAACAAACGATGCTGCCAATAACGATTTAATTGCGGTATGGCAAACTTGGTAATTAATAAGTCGTAAGAGAAAAAGCGGAACGTTATAGGTCCGGCTGAAAACATTTGTAATTTTAACGATTGTATCAGAAATTGGCAGCACTCCTGATATACATACATGCACTATACTACAATTCACGAGAGACCATACTTAACTCGCGCAGCTCACTAGGTCTAGGGACATTTTTAATAACGTGTGTGATTCCCCCCTACAGCTTGCTTCTTATTATATTTTGCGATCATATAAATGGTGGGCAGAAATATATGACGTACGATAACTGATAACCGGTGATGATATTGTAAAGTTTCACGATACAATGAAATTGCTATCATTTTTCGAAAAAAAAATGATGTGAACGCAAAGTAAGAAGCAAGCTGTAAAGGGGAATCACACACGCTATTAAAAATCTCCCTAGACCTAGTGAGCAGCGCGAGTTAATGCGGTCACTCGTGAACTGCAGTAGAGGGTGATCCTCTCGCTAGGGGACACAAAGGAACACTGGCGACAATGGACCCCTTGACCGCACCATAAAGAGGTCCGTATTGTCACGTACCATCAGGAACCTACCCAGGCCGAGACAACTCTGTGTGCCTTCATGGTGCGGTCAAGGGATTCATTTTCGCCAGTTCCTTTGTGTCCCCTAGCGAGAGGATCACCCTGTATAGTTAATTCGCAATGGGTATGTTGATTCCCGTTGAATATTGTTTACTTGAAATTATCAAATGGGTCATTTATCATAGGTTGCCGACGCCCGAGTTAGGATTTTCCTAGTAGAGGAAAAGTTTTTAATTTTGCCGCCTCCGAAAACTTTGAAATGTATTTGGTATCCTAGTTAACGATTAAGTAGATATTATTAATAACTATGGAATATTGGTATAAATGAAATAAAAATTATTTTACACTTTTTAGTGCATTTCGAAGTCGGATTTGTTTTTTGTTAAAAATTATTTTATGTTTATTCTAAGATATTAAACTTTACATCGTAACGCAAAATAAACTTCTTTTTTGTTCTTTGTTCTTCTTTGTTATTGCGAAAAACTACGCTAGACACGGCACGTGACCTCTCCGATTCGGGCGTCGGTATTACAGCAGTTTTTTCGTTGGGCCTGGTGGAGCCACTTGCGTGGTCTGTTACGAACTTGAAAGGTTTAATTCTCAGCTAGCGTGCGCGCAACACGATCTAGGGATGCAACAGCGCCTCAAGCATTTTTACAAAACATTCAAACGCTCATCTCGCCAGAGGCATCGCGACGATCCGCCTGAAGAACGAAAACGAAACATTGGCGCGTGGTTAGAGTGAGATGTAGGGTGATCATGCTATCCTTCTTTCAACCTAAATGATAGAATTGTCCCGCTCCGATAAATTCTGACTGACTGAACGCGTGGATTTTATATAGCGCACCGTAGCACCCCTCGCTGCTGAAAAATATATGCCTACTCTGAAGAACCGAAGGAACGTGCAATCTGAGAAACTTTTTAGAAAAAGTTATTAACTTCTTTAAATAAATGTTTCTTAATTAATAAAAATATACAGGATACGTCATGCAATTTCTGACGGGTTATATCTTGAATTTGATAAGAGATAGGAAAAAGCTGTTTATGTAAAAGTTCAATGGTATGATAATGTCTATTTTTCTGTGATTTCATCTTCTCCGTGAATGCAACGATGCACTCAAAAATGCAAATCCACTTTTTATTTAAATAGAATTGCATTTTTTTTTTACTTGTGTCAACTCCTTGAAACATTCTGCATAAAAAAGTACTATGGTACTATTAGAATTAATAAATGGAGGGACCTCGCGTCTACATATACAGTAAAAGCTGAATATATGCAACAGAGATTGGGAACCAGACGTTGCATACATGTAGCCGAGATGTCGAATCTCGAATTAGATGCGACGACCAGCCAAGCATGAACGTAGAAAGGGACAGACAGTGGAGGAGAGAGAGAGAGAGGTCTAATGATCAAAGGAAAGAGCCGAAACGTATCGGTGTGACTAAACTACAGTAATGCTTCGAAATAAGCAAGTGGTCTCTGCTTCGAAATAAGCAAGTCGCTATCCCCTCTTTTTTGTTTGAAGTCGCCCGCAAAGTGAGAGGTACGAGAAACGAGTGAGAGGTCCATGAAAGCGCGAAGCCGATGTTTAGGGTAATAAATTTCACGCTTGACTGAGCAGTGACATCGGTTAGTAGAAGAAGGATGGAATATATATAATGCTTTCTCAGTCTGGTATATTTGCTTCGAAATAAAGCATAGTGCGAGAATGAGAGGGCATGTTATATTCTATCCTTGTCCAAAAAATAACATCGCTGCTCGGCCGATCACTTTATGATTTGCCGCTACCTCGGATCTCTCACTCATTTCTCGCGTTCTCTATCGTCCCGTTTCGAGAACAAAGTCAAGCCGAATAGCTACCTGCTTCGAAATAAGCAACTGTTCGGTCCCGAGCCACTTGCTTATTTCGAAGCATTACTGTACTTCAATTATAGAACTTTTTTATTTTTGACTTTTTTTACTGAAACTTTGGTTGAACTTCGTTTTTAAAAAACAATTAAACAAACAACAAAAAACAAACAAAACAGTCAAAAACAAGAAAAAAACGGCAAAAAATATAGCGAAAACGTGGCACAGACAACTAAACTCTTCAAACGCATTGGAAATTCTGAAACAATTCTTACCTGTAGGCTGCAAAACAATTGATGTATGTAAAAAGTGTAACATCTGCAAAACAAATGTACTAAAACATTTGACTTTGCCCGCTAAAATGGTCGTCACCCACGTGGTTCTGTCTGCTGCTGGCGACACCGTTCATTGGACAAGAAGCCAATATGGCGTCGCAGTAACGTAGCAAATGCACTAAAACTTTACACGCTCATAACTTTTAAACCGCTGCATTTCGACAGTTAAAACCTGCATTTTTGAATTCTACGCATCGAAAACTATTAGATTGAGAAGAAAAAAGCAGATAATTTTGTGTCCCCTAAAGTATAGTTCAGCCGAAACTTTTACTAGCGCATTAGTGAAATTTTTCTGATTAAAATGATACCAAACACGATATAGTTTGAATGGGGCGAGGTTATGGGGCGCTGTGAAAAATCCAGGCGGGCCGCAGTCAAAACTTACAGCTTGTTAGCGAAAAGGGACAATCTCAACATTCAGAATGAGAGAAGGACAGCATGACTGTAGTGCATCTCTCTCAGCGTTCGGGCGATGTTGCCTTTTTCGCTTGCCTTCGCAGCACAGTTCGAGTGACGTAATCAAGCTAACGCTTGATTCTGACTGCGATTACAACTCGGCAGCCTTTCTACTTAGACGCCACCTTATAACTACTAGCTGAACTAAATTTGTCACGTGACTTGCTCTGTAGTATCCAGATACAGTAAAACCTGGATAAATGCAACGAAAGAATGCTTGGATAAATGCAACATCGCTATCCCCTCCACTTGGGGGGATCCCCCTAGGCGAACCGAGCCGCTCGACGAGGAAACCGTGTAATATGATCCGACCGTAATATCGGTGTGGCTAATACTAACTGAACGATAAAACTTTTTTATTTTTAACTTTTTCTTAATGAAACTTTTACTAATGCATTTGTGAGATTTTTCTTATTAAAATGACACCAAACACAATATAGTTCGAATTATATTTATAAACAATAGTAATAGAATAAACAACATAGAATTGACACCACGACTGAATATAAATGATGTCGGCTGAATACAAAAGATGTGGACGGACACAGAATCGGCATGTCGGCTGAATACAAAACATGTGTACGGACACAGAATCGGCATGTCGGCTGAATACAAAACATGTGTACGGACGCAGAATCGACACCTCGCTTGGATAAATGCAACATTAAATGCCCAGAATCGACACCTCGCTTGGATAAATGCAACATTAAATGCCCAGAATCGACACCTTGCCTGGATAAATGAAACCTTTGAAACCAGAGCCGACACCGCGAGTGGTTTTGATTTCAATCTCTGTTGCTTTTCGCCAACCTTTAACATCAATTTTAGCAAGTAATTATAATTGAAACTATATCGTGTTTGGTACCATTTGAATCAGAAAAATTTCACCAATGCGTTAGTGAAAGTTTTAATAAAAAAAAGTCAAAAATAAAAAAGTTTTATAGTTGAATTAGTATTAGTCACACCGATACATTTCGGCTCTTTCCTTTCATCATCGGACCTCTCTCTTTCCGCCACTGTCTGTCCCTTTCTACGTTCACGCTTGGCTGGTCGTCGCGTGTAACCCGAGATTCGACACCTCGCTTGGATAAATGCAACCACTGGGTCCCAATCTTGGTTGCATTTATCCAGGTTTTACTGTAATGGTGGAACTCGTCTTTGGGAATGCTTTTACAGGAATCGGTTATTCGTCCTTATATGAGAAGATCTTGAGCTGAATAAGGGCTCATTCGAAAGAGGAAGGTTGAATGCAGGGCGGTCAACTCACCGTTTGAGTCACAAAACTCTTTTAGTGACCTAAAAATGCTTCGATTTCGCAACTGCATTTTGTCGATTTTTTCTTCTACTTTCGACACTGATATTATTAAATATCGACATAATCTCATTAAACCATGTGTTGACCGCCCTGCATTGTACCTTCCTCTTTCGAATGAGCCCTCACCCAGCCCTATGTGTTCTCATATAAGGACAAATAACCGATTTCCGTAAACCCATTAATAGGCCCATATTTGCCGGTAATGTCACCTCGCTGCATTACCCGTGTCTACCCCCTTAACGAATATTTTTACTCTAACCGGAGAGAGAGGGGAGGAGGTAGAGTCATCTATATAGTAACAAAAATAAAAGAACCATCTTTTGCTGACTAAAACCTAACATCTCCAAATTTCAAAAATCCCGAATCGACAGAACCCGACTCGAGTATTGGATATCCGACATTTTCGCATATAATTCATTTATCAAATTTAAATTACACAAAACATGTAGATTCAGCTAGTGCAAGAGAATGCAAATCTAAAGTATGTTGGATGAATAATGACGTCCAAATTTATTCTATTAAAGTAGCAATTAAAATAGAATCTTTTTATTTTATGCATGTTATTTTAAAATAGTTTTTCTTTGTAAGTAAGGAGAGGAATTCGTGAATTTAGCTATCTGTTTAATAGCTCTGGCCGTTTTGGAAAAAGTTCTTATCTTTCTTCAGGTACATGTGAGCCAATACCACCAATTCTCCTATTTGCTGGAGAGGCCACAATTCCGGGTCACTATAGCACAGTACACGGTGCTAGATTAAGTGGCATTCGAGAAGCGGAGAGGATAATTCAATTGACAAAACGTTTTGGTGGTCCACCAAAGAAAATTATCGAGAAGAGTTCTTAAAAGTGTAAAAAATTAATATATGTCGAAGTAAATGTACCTGTACCAAGTGTTACGTCCAAAAATAGATCTACTGTCCACGAAAAGCCATTCGTCAGTTCATATTGTTCAGCTGAAAATGAAATTTGTATTAAGTTCCAAATTCTTTGAGGAATGTATTTAATTTGTCATTTGATAATTATATTATTTTTATAATTGTAAATTATACCTTTGCTACAATTTTACATTGCACATAGTCAAGTTCAATAAAAGATATAATTTTTAATTTATCCTTGAAGTTTTAATATATTTTATATTACTGCATTCCATTGTTTGAAAATGTGAAGTCAATTTATACAATAGTACATCACCCTCAAGGCCTCCAAAATATTTTTTCTAAAGTATGAAAAATGGGTACTGTATGTATGAATGTATTTTCAGGGTAGCGAGCTGCTTTTTGTAGGAGCGTGCCCGAACCTGGTACATTTTACATTTGAACATAAGCTTCTCTTAACTTTACATTTGCTAAATTTGCATATTTACACTTGTTGTTGGATATAACCTCCTTTTCTTTTCCTTCTTCATACCCTCTCTTTTTCTTCCCCTAACCTTTGTCCTCCTTTGTTTTCCTTACTTTCCATCTCCCAATACCCATCTCTCTTCCTCTTCGTTCCATCTCCACTCTTCTCCATCGATCCATAGTCTTCTGCTGCTGTATTCTACCCATCTTCCCTTTGCCGTTTCCTCTCTAGCCTTTTCTTTAATTCGCCATTTATTTCTTCTCTCTTCTCTCGATAGGCCCTCATCTATTACCACCTGCCACCTTTCCCACATACCTTTTTTCTTCCACATCATTTCTGTTTTATCATCTTCTTCCTCTAGTCCTCTGTCAGAATGACTTTTCTCCCTCCTGCCCCCAATACTTCTGTCACCTTCCTAATTTCCACCATTTTTTCTCAAATCTTTTCTTACCATCTTCTTGATGCGTACTGTTCTTTCTTCTAGATCTTTTACCTCCACTAAACTTCTCTTCCTTCTTTCTCTTCTCGCCCTTTCCATTCTATTCTCCCATATCTTTATCCATTCCTCTTCTTCTCTCTTCATTCTTCCTGTTTCCTCTCTCCTTCTCCATTCCTTTGCTTCCTCAATTCCTTCCAGATCTCCCTCCGACCTCCTTCTTTGTTTCTCCCTTTTTTCTTCTCGCATCCTCTTTCGTTTGCTCCTCCTTGTATTCCTCCTTTATTTCTCCCTTTATCTTCTGCTTCCTTTCTTTGCTCCTCTTGTCTTTCTCTTTTATACTCTTCTCCTTCATCTCATCCTCTGTATCTTCTCTTTTCTCCTCCGCTTTTTCTCCCCTGCTTTTCGTTTTTCCTTGTTTTTCTCCTTTTCAATCCTGTTTTCTTTTTCTTCCTTCGCCTTTTTTTTCGCTTTCTTTTTCTTCTGCCTTGCTTCCTTTTCCCTTATCCTGCCCCTTTCAAACCTCCAGCTTCTTAATTTCTCCCCCCTAGAAAAATCCCTAGAAATGAGAACACAAATTACGTCGTCATTACGAAACAGAATGCAAAAAAATTTAAGGGACGTGTTCAGGAAGTCGTAAAGAATGGCGCTCTGGTCCTTATATGATCCAAATCGTCAAAAAGTTATAAAATATTAAAATTTATGTCTGTCAACGGTCGAGAAAATGGCGGATCGGACTCACCTGCATTAATTTATTCGTAATATAAACATTTTTGCAAATCGTATGTCCAAATAGAGACCAGAGCGCTATTCTTTGGGTCGAACAGAACAAAACAAGCACTCAAGGGCTGATGTGTGTACAAGTGTCCAGGTCGAAGAAATTTGTATTCTACGATTTTCACTCGCGAAAGACGTCAAAAACGTAAAACAGACCACAAAGGGTATGTATAGCCGGATAAGATGGTCAAAAGCGCCCCCAAACCAAATTCGACTTGCTATGAACCATTCGATAGGTGATAAAAAAAAACTAGTCTGTGTCAAGTTTCAACCCTGTATCTTATCTGGGAGGGTAGTTACGGGTAAAAATGTAATCACGAGGTTTTTGGCCATTTTCTCCTATTTAATGACATTCGAAAATTCTGAAAAAAATCAGAGACATTTCTATGTTAGGGATACCAACAACGCAATCCGCGGCGAGGTTGGTAACGATCGATAATCGATCGTAGATCTTGTTCACTATGTTCATATGATTAAAAGCCCGCGCTAGTGTAATGTAACGCTATGTTTAATAAAGTCATACTTAAAAACGCTATCCTGATCTTTATAGATTATCAGACGGGTCCACCCTTATAATCCTAACATTCTATTTGTGAGGCACATATTATATAAATAGCATTTTGAAGTACTTTCTATTCTATCGTTTCTCTTGTCATGTATTTTGTTAGTTACAGTATTGTTTAATATTTTTCATTATCTTCAACAATTCTGGATAAGTAGTTTGAAAAAACTGGATAAGTTTGTGTTAAACGGAGCAGGTCGGGAAACTCAGGCAACACAATTCCGTTGACACGTTACTTTAATATGGTTTATTGTACGCTTGCTTTTACACGTCTATCACCATATTGCAATCGGGATGCAAGGAGACGAAAGAAAACGCGGTTCGTCACGAGGGCGAACATCCACACGCGTACACACAGAGCGGCGATGAGAACCATAGGTTTCTCAAAGTTTGAAATACTGTACTTCCAAAAAAAAAGATTGAGTCTGAGCGGACTCAAACCTACGAAAAGAAGCTTCCACCGGTTTAGCAGTCAGACACTTTACCGCTGGACCACCGACACCATTGAAAATACCTTTAATCGTTTGAAATATAACGGACATAACGTACTTTTATCAATTAGGTTTTTTTAGTTTAATTCCTATTCTATTCCACTGCATGTAAAAACATTGAACAGTGTATATACCATGTATTTGATAAATAACAGACGAAAATTTGCCGAATAAGTAATTCTAACACGCAAAAAACAGGGAAAAAAACGGATTTTAATTTTGTTAACTGTGGCGCACCTTACCAAAAAATCTGAAAAAAATTGAGGATGATAGTATCAATAATATACACTTATAAAATAGATATGATCGTAGGACCTCATCTTCTTCAATACAAAATCGCAATTTTTCAGCATTTTTTGACATTTTTGATTTTTCACGGCTTCAATTTTCAATCTAAAAATCTGAAAAAATTCTCTAATATGTGCCTCACAAATAGAAATGTCTCTGCTTTTTCTCAGAATTTTCGAATGTCACTAAATAGGAGAAATTGGCCAAAAACCTCGCGATTACATTTTTACCCGTAACTACCTTCCCAGATGAGATACAGGGTTGAAACTTGGCACAGACTAGTTTTATTTGATCACCTATCGAATGGTTCATAGCAAGTCGAATTTGGTTTGGGGGCACTTTTGACCATCTTATCCGGCTATACCCTTTGGAGGATTGGTTGGGAGCAGGTACAGTGCACCGTTCAGATGTTGCGGAGGCTAAGGAATGCGGGTACAATTGGTCAGAGGTTTCTAGTCACGCCTAATGCACACGCATTCTAGACCGTCGCGCGTTATTGGTCGAAACGCTCACACATACTAAGCCCGCTGCTTGCACACCGCAAAGTCAAGTGGTGTGGGTGCGTAACGACGTTGGGACTAAGCGGGACAGACCGAGGAGTCACTCCTTAGCCTCCGCAACATCTCATCGGTGCACTGTAGATGACCCCAAATATAAAATGGTATCTTCGGCTTCCTATTAGTTTCCGAGATATTAATTAAAAACTTTCGTACAATACATAGAATCTTTCCTATACAGACGCAACTATGCAATACAACCGTCTTTGCTGTAGTAGATGTCATCGTTAAGTGTCGAACAGCCGTTGACGCAGCGGGGGTTCCAACCTGACTAACTAAAGGGTGTTCTATTTAAAACTTTGAATATACGACGACGGTTGCAGTGTTGCCGGCCGCCCTCCGGCGGCTAACCTTATTTTTTTTGTTTCGTGGGGGAAATCTTCTACAAGACACCCTCAGCCCCCTGAGGAAGGGCCGGGGGTAGTGCAGGATTCTTACCTGCTAAAACCCCCGCGGTGGCCTGCACTGGGCTTGAGGGCGGGACCCGAGACCTCTGACGAACATTTCGGGACCCCCCCGCCCTTGGCGCGTTTGCGCCCCATCTCGAGGGAGAGTCTAACCTTTGACCCTTCCCCTACCTGCCAACTCCGCCGACGCCGGGGACCACTCCCCCGACGGCGTCTTCTACTGTTGGCACTCTCCCGACCCCGATCCGCCTCCTCCTTCAAGGCGATGACCTCCTCACAGAAGGAGGTCATCGCCCTTCACTGATCCTCGCCGGCGAGAATGTTTCTCACAACGCTCGCCGGCGAGAGATCCACCCCTGACTCACACTGCAGGGCGTGACGGGGCCGCGCGAACACTGGACAAGGCTGCAGTGTGTACTGCGCGGAGTCCTGCCCCGCCCCACAGTGGCATACAGCTGCCGCCTCGCGACCAATCCGGCACAGGAAGTCACGGAAGCAACCATGCCCACTGAGCACCTGTGTGGTCCGGTAGGTGATCCGACCAAAGCCGCGGTCCTGCCATTATTTGCTGACGGGCAGGATCACCTCGATCGTTCGGTGGCCAGCGGTGCCGCTCGCGATGATCTCGCGACGCTATCGGTCCGGGGCATCTTGTCGGGCCTGGTACCTCAATTCCCGTTCGACCGTCGGCTCTGGAGGTACTTGAAGGGTACGAGACCCGCCAGAGTCATCGCCGCCGCGTGGGAGACCGTGCGGTACCCCCTCACGACCCTGATAGCCATTCTCCTCTCCACTCACCGCAACACAACTTGGCTGCGGCGAGACGCCATCAGGGCCTCAGCCCATATGAGCGGCTCATATAGGGCAACGCTCCGCACGATCCCCGTATAAAGGCGACGAACCTTCTTGCTCGACCCGCCCAAGGGCGTTTGCTACCCCGTCTAATCGGGGGGCAAGACGGTCGAAATGCCTTTCGAAGTGCCAGTGGCTGTCCAGGTGGAGGCCAAGATACTTGAACCCTTCACCCACCTGGTGTTACCTACCCGGATCCAAGACTGGGGCAGTGGTGCAACCCCACGCCGAGGCGAGTAAAACCACATCGCCTCGGTCTTGTGGGGCGCTATCTGCAGCCCCAGTCTCCGGACCGCAGCTGCGACGGCAGCCACACCAATCTCCACAAGACGACTGGTCCTGCTCCAGTCCCAGTCGGTGGCAAACACGTACGTGTCAATTGCAAAGCACGTTATGCTGACACCGTCCGGGACTACGACCCGCAAAACTGGGTTGTACCCCACGTTCCACAGTGGGGGCCCCAAACGGGACCCCTGGGGTACACCCTCGTCGACGTCCCTCCGATAGACACGTCCGTCCCGGCCCATATACATGATTGACCTATCCCGCAGGTAAGCCCCGATCATCAGTCTCAGTACTGGGGGTACTTCGTGATCTTCCAGTGTCCCCAGTATCGTCCCGTAGGGCAGAGTGTTAAAGGCGTTCACTATGTCTAACGAAATACCGATCGCCACCCCGCCCCGGGATGTAGCCGAGTCGCATTGGGAGCGCAGCGAATCGATCGCATCAATGGTGCTGCGCCCCCGTCTAAAGCCGTACTGCGACTCGGCCAGATCAGGGCCTACCCGGGATAGGTGCCCGGCGAGGCGGTCAGCTATAACGCTTTCTAAAAGCTTCCCGACCTCGTCGAGCAAAACTATGGGCCGGTACACGGAGGGACTCTCCGCGGGCCGTCCTTCCTTTCTAAGCAGGACTAGTTGTCCAACCTTCCACTCCAAGGGGAATACCCCCTCCTTGAGACAGACGCTGAAGAGGCGACTCAATCGCGGTCCAAGGACGCGGAGAGCCAATACCCAGGGTCGGCCGGGGACGCCGTCGGGGCCCAGAGCGGTGTTCCGAGCCCCCATGCGTTTAATTGCCCCGGCCAGCTCCCCCTCTGTGACCCCCATGTCGTCGGTCCATTCTCCACTTCGACCGGCGGGGGCCAGGAGTGGCTACCGTTGTCACGAGGGAACAACGTGTCCACCACCTGGCCCAAGAACTGGGGGTCGAGGCTCTCCGTCACGGTGGGCGCCCAGGGCCTTAGTTCGTCCATCGCTCACATATAAGGGCGCCCCCACGGATCGGCATTTAGAGAGCCGAGGAGCTCCTGCCATGCACGGGACTTGGCCTCCCTGATGGCCAGCTGTAGGGCTACCACCAATACACGGTACCACCCGTACAGCTCTTCCTCCCCCGCTGGGTCGCGGTTCCTTCTCCGACGGGCCCTTTGCCACTGGCGTCGGGCGACGTTGCAATTCTGTCGAATGTCGGCGATTTCGCCCGACCACCTGTAGGCGGCCCGTCTGGGGAGGCATTTGGCCCGGGGCATGGTGACGTCACAGATCGCCTTCATCGTGCCTCGGAACCATTTAACCTCCTCCCCTATATCCGCGACTGGACCGTCCGGTTGCTCCGGCCAGGTCACAGCGAGAGCTGCGGCCATCAGCGCGTCCCTGTCAAGCCCCTTCAGCGCCCATCTCCGCGGCGGTGGGCCGCTCGGCGGGCGACGGTTGAGGGTGAAGAATCCGAGGCGGATGTAGCGATGATCGCTAAGCGTCTCCGCCCCCTTCACCACCCTCCAACTCTGCACCATGCGTGCGGCCGAGGGAGTTGCGAACGATAGGTCAACTATCCACTTCCTCCAAGCGCGCACGCAGGTGCTGACCGAGTCCCGGTTCAACAGCCGGAGCTCGAATTCCGCCGCCCACTCGAGTACCGCCTCACCCCTCGCGTCAGTCCTCGGGGACCCCCACGATTGGGCATGGGAGTTGAAATCCCCGAGGACGAATGCCGGCCGGGGGTAGCAACGGGAAACCACGTCTCCCACCCGGCCTAAACACTCTTCGAACGTCGCGAGGGGCCAACTGGGCGGGCAATAGACGCCCACCACCGCGGTATCGCACCACAGCACCGCCACAAACCCCCGCCTCCGTTCTATTAGCGAAGGGGGCGGGGCAAGGGCGCTGCCAATCACTGCCACGGAGCCGTCATCGTCCCCGAACCAGTCGTGTCTGTCGGGGACCCTGTACGGCTCCGCGGTCACAGCCAACCCAATTTTCCACTCGGCCAGGTGATGCAGAAGAAGATCTTGCGCCCTGGCCGAGTGGTTCAGGTTGCCCTGAATTATGGGCCCAATGGGCCGCATTACTGCTTGGACGTAGCCGCCTCCGTGGCTTTTCCTCCTTTCGGCGTGGCAGGTCTGCCACCCCTCTTCTTATTGGGCGCAGCAGCCTTGGCTGGTGGCTGCTGCGCCTGTTGGGGGGCTGCTACAACCCCCTGCACGGCGCCCATTTTGCTGTTCGGCCTCCGGGCCTTGGGGGCGCACGACTTCGCTCCCAACCGGTGCCCCGCGGGTCGCCACAAGCCGGTGCATAAGGGGCACCGCGGGGAGGCGCTGCATGTGGCGGCCCTTTGGTCCGACTCGCCGCAAACGTAGCAGCGATCGGACCGGTCCACCTCGCAGGTGCACCTCTGCCTTACATGGCCTTTTTTTCGAGGCAGCGGAAACACTGCAAAGGCCGCACCGGCAGCGCCTCGACCCTGGCGGACGACCAGCCCACCAGGATCCTCCCGGAGGCGGCTATGTTACTCAGCGCAGTCAGGGGGCATTTGGCCCAAACAGTGCCTAGCCTAGCCGGGGAGATTCTTATCTCCCCGACTTCGACGTCGGCTGGGCCACAACCCCCCACAGCGGCCAAAGCTGCCGCAACCTCCACTGGGGACACCGAGTCGTCCAGTCCGGAAAGCCTCATCTCGCCCATTTTCATGGGGCGAGACACCCGGACCTCGGTGCCCCCGAACACCTCCTGAAGGCGGCCAACTAACGCAGCCGCCCTCTCGGTGCGCTCCTCGCCCCGTATTTCGAGCACCAGGCCGCCAGTGACCGCCCGCCGGCGCCGAATCTCGGTGATCCCGATTGTCTTTAGATCGACCTTTTTTCGGGCGGTGGCCATCACCTCGGCATATGTGGCCTTGGCCTCCGGGGCCAAAGTCAAGGTGACGGCCGCTTTTTTTGGCGGCCTGGCAACCCTCTTCTTGCTACTATTGGCCGGGTCACAAAGATGCCGTACGGGGCCTTGCAGTACTGCCCCTGCGGTGACATGTGCCAACCTCTCCTCCTCGTGGTGTGGCCCGGGCACCGGTTTACCGGTGGCAAACGAGGCTCTGGCTGTGGACGTTAAGCGCCTGGTGGGATGAGCTGAGACCATCAGGTAAGCTTGATAAAAGTCAGAGCGTCCTAGAATAAATTCCTTACACGCCGACGATGAGTCAAGTGTTGGGTCTTCCGTACCCGATAACGATGAATTTGAAATAAAAGGAGTTTGACAGTTTTTCCACTCCCCGCCACCTGGGTGGTGGTGGTTGTTGGGGAGTGGGTAGATATGTTTGCATATACCCTAACGGGTGAGGTGGCACATCCGCGCTTGTCCTCGGACGGCCGGATTGAAACTAAACTGCTACTATTGGCCGGGGCTGGGACACTCTTCATGGAGGTAGTCTTAGTTCCCTGCTGCTGCATCACTGGGACCCCGGCCACCTCCTTCTTTTGGGCCCTTTTGGCCTTGCGGCCCATGACCGTGGCTCAAGTTTTCCCCTGGGCGGCGAGACGGGTCTCCTGTTGAATGCCCCGCATCTTCGCTTCCAGGGGCGACTCCCTCTTCGCCTTCTCCATCGGTAGGGGTGGAGCCCTGGTCGCCGGTTGGCCCCAGCCAGCGGGCTTTAGCTTCAGGGCAGTCTTGGCCGCGCCAACAGCCCTGGTTTGGAGCGCGGCCTTGATACCCCCACCACTATTCCTCTGCGTCAGCGGAGCTACCCCGGCCCCCCGAACGCCAAGAAACTCCGCCCTGAGGGAGGAGACCTGCTGCATAAGGACAGCAAGGCAAACCCTTATGCCCCCCCCCCCCCCCAAGGTCGACCGCCTCCACCCGGGAAATCATGGGCACCCCCTTAGATGGAGCGGGGGCAGCCCTCTTGGCCAGGATGGGGACGGGCGGCGCCACTTCCAGCCAGGATGGGCCAGCCACTGGCTCGGGCATGGCCATCTCCTGTTCCGGCCTCCTCTTCTTGGTTCCGCTCCGCCAGGGGAGAGGCCGGTCTAGCCGCCTTCTCGATGCGGGCCGGGGCAGTGAAGATGGGGGCCTCAACCGCCACCAGGCGAGCCCGCACCTCCGTCAGCTCTTTGGTCAGGGTGAGCAGCTGCTCACCCTGCTTGGCGAGTTGCTCCTCCCGCTGGCGGAGCTGAAGCCTCAGCCCTACGACTTCCTCCGCTTCGCTGTCCGGCGCCATTCACTTGGCCATCTCCGCGTTGATGGCCCTAATGCGCCGGGCAGCCGCCAGAGGGACCTCTGGAAGGTCCCTTTGAGCCCCTTGGACACGGAGGCAACCCTCTCCACGTCCGCGGTCAGCTCCAGTGTCCGCGCTGCCAGAGCCGTCGTTGGCTCGTAGCGGAGCTCCAACTCAAGCAGCTCTGGGAGGGGAATGCTGCCTTTGCTTGGGGCGGGTGGGAGCAGAGAGTGGTCAAGGACCCGCTCCTCTTCACTGACCCCCGCCTCATCCCTCGTCGCCAGGAGGAGCTTTTCCTTGGCCTTCCGCGGGCCCCCCCCTCCTTGACGGGCGGTTCAGTGATGCAGCGGACACAAAAGACTCATCCGAGTTCTCCCCACTGTCGATCGAACTCGGAGCTCCTCTCTCCGAAACAGAGGAGCTCCTACCTCCACGGGGTCGCAAGGCCTCTCTTCTAGCCCTCTGGGAGCGGGGAGCAGCGAACAAGTTCGCGTTCCCCTCGGTGCTGGTCAGCACCGCCATACCCTGGTTCATGTCCCGGTCCGTCGCTGTTGTCGTCATAGGTGTAACCCGTCGTGTTTTTTCTGTTTGTATTGAATTATTCCCACGAGTGGGTCGGTCCGTGGGTCCACCCGGGGGGTCGCCAGGTACCCCGGGGTTGGCCATTAGAGACTAATGCACCCATCAGCCACGCCCGGCGCTTACTCCGGCCACGCCCTCCTCACCGCCGACCGCAGCCTGGGGCTAGGGATTTTTACAGAGGTTGTCATCCTCGCGGGCCGGCCGATGAAGGCAAGCCCCCCGTTCCAGCGAGACGTGACCACTGGGTTACGGTATATTTGCTAGGGCACTCCGGGTTCGCTACCCGCACCAGACCGCCACGCAGCCTAGCCCCTGGAGAACTCAACGACGCCGCAACCACCTTTTCGCCTCTCCGACCCAGGCCTTACCGGCAAGGGAGGCCCTGCCAGAATCCGTAGATCCCACCGGCATCGCCCCGGGTCATCTGCGAGGCTACTTCGACAGCAGCAAGCGCCCCCCTTTTAGTCGCCTTGTACGACAGGCAGGGGTTACCGTGTCTGTATTCTGTCCCCCAGTCACAGAGGAGATTTTGATGGGTTCTCCTTCCCTTGGTGTTTTGTTCGCGGGATCTATTTTATTTCACTCCTACCCTCCATGCACTCCGAAAATCCGCCACCTGGGAACGCGCCACGTCGGGGTATCACCTCTCCGCCCAGCCAGTACACTTGGCCAGGTCCGTGGAACCTAACCCTAACCTAACCTGACCCTCGAGAACGGTTTATTTGCCAGTTCTGAAAATGGTCTCATTCGATTTCTCGTCCCTCAATTACTATAAATCCGAAGTTTGGTTGTCCTAGGGTGGGGGGAGGGCCTTTCGGAAGTATACCCAAATTATTTTATTTCACACTTTTTAGTGGAACGTGCAGTATTTGTAGGATATCGTGAGGTGATTTTGAGTTTTTATAACCATAAACCGAAAACAATATATTGACTGAATTTAGATGGTTAATAACCAACAAATTCCATAAAATGCAAGTGAGATCATCGCGGATATATCTCCTACTAAATGTGAAAGTTTTCATCGCGATCGGTACATTCCTTGCAGAGGAAACGCCGAAAAATATAAATGCAGCTTTACGTTTTTTGCAATAAAAATCGTTACGAATGAAAAATGCAAAATGTTTTTTTAACGGGCCCAATCGGGAGACGTACTCAACAAGATGCTACAGGTTCGTTCCGATTGTTCCATCCATCTCGGAGTAATCGGCGAACATTAAAAAAAATAAAATAAAATAAAATAAAAAAAAAACAGAAAAAAAAATACTGATAGAATTGAGTAACCTCCTCCTTTTTCGAAGTCGGTTAAAAGTACACAGGATGATGAGTTACTCTACCTGTAATACTTGATTTTTTAGAAAAGTTAAGACGTAACCCAAATCACTTATAAATAGTCTTATAACATATCATTTTAAATAAGTATACCAAAGAACACGTATGTTTACTAAGGTAGAAACATTAGAATAATTATAACTTATAATTATGTAATGTAAATATTGAACGCGAAATAGCAGGCCCCCGCGGACCCGCAACCACGAGACCGCTAGCTCGCGGATTGATAACACCACCGCCAGATGGCAACCGCGAGAACCGCGAAACTCGCAAGGCAAACGGCCTCGCAAGCATGTATATACCGCGCCGCGAGCCGGGAACAGGAAGATCTGTACTCGGAAGCGAATCCCAGGATGAGCGAGAAAGAGACAAGATTAGCTACATTTTTGGATTCCCACGGCTCTGTCAGTGTTCGACAGACGAGACGCGTACCGCGGTTGTCCGCCGGTAGCTCGACTGTATCCACCAGCCACTGCCGGGACTCTCCCGTGCGGCTTCCCGACCGCCAGACCGGACGTACACGACATCCGAACGTCCACCGGAGCCACGGTCTCCCGATTGTCGGGGTGGGACGAAACGCGCACTGCGATCGTCCGCCCCAGAGACATCTCTACTCGTCTCCCGAGCATCTTGCCACTACCTCCGCCGTATCCCGCCGGGTCACGACCGTACCGCGACCGTACCGCGCACATACTGCCACCGTACCGCGACCGCTGCCTCGTCACTATACGCGGCCGTCTCTCGCCCGCACCGCGACCGTACCGTAGGCTAAGCACCGCGCACCTAGATTTAAGTCCCTTAGACTGTCGTACCCGCAGGGCCGTAGCATTAAGCACTGACATACAGCACTGACATTAAGCACAGAAATACACAACGTTATTCCGCTAACACCGTCTTATTCTTACACGAACCCCGGACTCCCCGACTGAGTCGGCACCCCGGCGGAGTTAACCGTAACAATTAGAACACAGTGGGGTACTCGTATGTGTCCTAGGATATTAATTAAGTCACATGTTTTATATGATTTATTATTGCTATAACGACAATCATTTTGACAGATAATATTAATGTTTATATGTTAAGCTATTGAACGAAAGCTTGAAACACATTTTTTGTATAACAGGTACGTACATACAGTTACATTTCTTTTCATTACTTTCCGTTGGTCCCGTTTAACAGCAATCTGTGTTATTTCACCGAGAAAACGTTCTTATGATTAACAAAATTAATACTTATTCAAATTCATTGCTTTAAATTAATACTCCTATTGATATAAATATTTTCAATATATTTGAATACCTTGAGTATAAAAAAATATATACATTTTAATTATTATATTTAACTATTCTTGAATATCTGTATGTTGCTCATTCTTATAGAAAATCAGTGTGCCAAATCGTAACCAGTGCATATGAAATAGTTATTTAATCATAATTATTTTTAAGAACGTTTGCTCGTTTGATAGACCAAACAGTGCAAAGTAATTCTAGATCTATTTATTGTCCCAGTTGCAGCACTACTTTACATTAAAAATGCCATAAGTGTATTAACAATATGAAAATTCAACAAAAATGTAGATCTTCATTATTTTTAAATTTTAGAATTCAAAAATTTCAAATTTTTAGATTCCCTAGATTTCAGAATTTAAAAATTTCAGTGTTCCAAAATTTAAATACTTCAAAATTCTAAATCCTGAAAGTTTCAAAATTCAAAAATTAAATAATTTTTCAAAAGAGATTTATTGTTAGCCCACCCTAGAAGGTTCAAGTTATGCCAATGGCTACAGTATAATATAAAACAAATCATTCAAGATATTAGTATTACATTCAAAGTGTTACATTAAATCTAACTAATTTGGTTATTAGTTATTTTCAATTATTGATATTGAAATTCAAGTACAATTATGGCAAATGAATATAATATTTGGGAATGATGATAGCTTGTGCGAAAGAGGAAGATTAAGATATCTTACATACATACATGTACTACATATTTATGATTATTATAACTTATTTACAACATAAATATGTTACGTACTCTTTAACAATTAATACACATTAGATGAGTATTTATTTTTAGAACTGCAATATTGAATTGAAAAAAAATATTCTATTAATTAAATAATTTCATTATCATCATTTTATGTAAAAGAAATATGTAATACTTTAATATAATTTAATTTAAATTTAATCAATCAGTTATTCAATATTTTATAGCTCATTATTATGCATATAACTTTGTTTGCTGTTTAATATACAGGCTTATTAAACAATATTTTATACAGTATTGTTTTTCATATACATATTGCATCAGGGAACAATTTTATAATTAGTTAACCTACTTTTAGCTAAACATTTTAACAGAATATTTTGCAAATAATTTAATTTTTATTAAAATGTCGCAAAGTATTAAAGTGACAAATAAAATTATATATTCCTAATTTGTATAATTATCTTTACAAAATATACTGAAAATAAGGAAACTATAGAAACTGCATTTTGTTACAGAAGTAAAAAATACTTTTATTATTATGTTTTCTTTTAAAATATACGAAACTGTTAATGATATATTCACAACTAGTCAATTTAGAGATCCTTTTAACAAAACTATATTTGAGTCTACATTGAGTCTACACGCGGAAATTGCATTCAGCGCACTGCTTACAACGCGATTTAATTCAACAACAGCGTTCATGTTAATTCGTTTCTCGTATTGCACTTGATATCTACACTAACATTATATGTGTTCAACAAGGGTACATTATTGTGATGATATATACAGGGTATCTCAATTTTTTCAGTCATACTATGTCTGTAAATTCAATGAACATAAATAAGAAATGTTACATGCAAATCGATAGTTTTCATAGTTAAAACCTAATATATTTTAGATTTTTCATTTCGGTCACCATACTGTTTAGATTTTATTTTCCAAATGCAAAGAAAAGATTCATATATCTATGTATTATATTAGATGCATTTTATTCGGAGCCTTCCCTTTTTTAAATCGAAGATTCATTTTTTAATAGTTACAGTAATTTCAATTATTGAATTCATCGTTATCTTTATCATATTCTTGGGCCACTATTCAAATTCACAGAAGCGCGGGAAAATATTCAAATTCAAAACGAAGCTAAGAAAATGTAATACCAAAAGCATCGAATTAATTTTGACACCTAACAGTTTATTTAAATTCAGTCAGAAATTGTTTTTGTGTCATTGAACTGTTACAATTTTAACGCTTCGTGTCACATATAATTACTATTCAAGATTTAATAAATTTGTAGTATTTATAAATTGAAATTCTCAAATATAATTCTAGATAGGCACAGTGTCCATTTACGATAAATGTTCTTAACAGCTTCTCGCGCGAGTTTAACTCTCTAGTGCAGCGTTTCCTAACGTGGGGCCCACGCCCCACAAAGGGGCAATTTGATTGTTAACGGGAGCAATTCGAAGATGGATTCATCCAGAGTTTAAGTTAATCGTATGACGACTCTCAGTCGCTACTCATGGTCGGTAAACGTCCATAATTACTAATAATTAATATAATATAGAAAAATCTTTCATTAAAATTATATCCTACTTGAATTTCGGTTCTCCATTGTATGTTTTGAAAATTTACTTACTGTGTTTCCTCAACAATTTCCTAGTGATTTTTTTGTAAAACCTATCATTTAAGTTTCTTCAGTGAATAACTCAATTTTTGAATATTAAAAATGATGTTTACGTTACATAGGGGGTATAAGAATTTTAGAAAGGCTTAAGTGGGGCATGGCACAAAAATGGTTGGGAAACACTGCTGTAGTGGAAATCCGCTCTCATAGAAGCCATAAACGGTGTTACATTTAATACCTTCAATGACCTCAAATAGTACACAGCTGGCATAAACAGATTAAATGTAATGACACCTAAAGTTTCACTTAAAGTGAGTTCGAATCCCAAAATTGCGGGTACCCGAACGAAATGTAAAAATTCCCGACCCGATCTCGATCCGATCCTGACTGGACCCCGATCTTTGAATCTTAAATTTCACCGATTTTTGCTTGTCAAAAAATTTAGTCAAATTTCATACTTAATGATCCAATAACATTTTATTTTCTTCTTTATACTCATAGAATGAACTGACAAATTTTAATCAGAAAAGTGTGGAACACCCTGTATAACACCATGCATTTTTCATAATTTATCAAGCAAATGCAAAAATTATATTGGATTTATATTATTAACTTGTTTAATGTATACAAGATAAGATTCTGTTTCTTTGATAGAAAACCCAACAATATTTTTGCAAGTTGCACGTGTGCCAACAACTATGTAACAGTGTTGCAAAAGATGCACAGTGTATGTGTCGTTCAACGATGGAAGAAAGCGATTTAAAGGATCTGAAGAACGTTGGCTAGCTATCGGAAAAAGTAGCACAAGGTGACAGTAATACTGCATTTACGCGAGTTATGTGCTTCTTTGCGTAAAACGGCATCCGAAGAACGATCTTTGGCATTTTACGTACACACGGGACATGTCCAGCGTATTTCCAAATCTTACTAATTACCTAATAAATAATTTTTATTTGAGAATCTGGTACTGATTAATCCTCAAATAACATATCAGGTCTTTTCCCAGCCAAAGCATAATTTAGAATTTAAATTCGTTTGAAATTTTTACTTTTTAAATGTTATATTATCTTTTTAATTAGCATTTTTCCAATGTTTGAAAGTCTTTCGTTTGAAATGTTTCTAATTCTAATTCACGCATTCTTAGGAATGGATCATGATTGACCTGCTAACCGTCGTTCAAGGGTTAATACATCCATATAAATTAATTTTACAAGCTCTGAAAAATGTTTAGATTTTTCAGTAATCAGATTCTTTAAATAATTCTTTGACACTAACTATATTTGCTATAATGTCGTAGCGCAAAAAAATATTTTTAATAAATTAAAATTTCCTTACCTGTTATAAACATAAAAAGTAAGTAGTGTATAAATTTTGTAATTAATTTAAAATTGTGAAATACGTAAGACAGATCAGCACATTTAAATCATCCACTGGTTCTTCCAGGTCTACTTAAGACAAGAAAAGAACTAAAAGCTAAGATTGATTGCAGGTTGCAGGTGCCAAGGATCTGCAACCACGAGCTATCTGAGCCCGCCATCACTTAGAAACCGATTGCTCCTCGAGGACTTCTTCAGCCCTGAGTTTTATTTCCTTCCAGGAATTCTGAATATCCTTGCTCTCGCTAAATCGCGAGCAAATTGCAAACCGCAGGAAATACGTATCATTTATCTTGGATGGCACAAGATGAATGTTTTTAGTAGCGTTGATTTTCTTCAACAAATTCTCGTTCAGGTCGTTTGATCCCTGTGAATAATTTTCATATAGTTAATATAAAAGATTTCATGCAGCTAGCAAAATAAGATGTTTGGTACTTTAATTCTTTGCAAGCTAAAAATTCTTTTTATCTAATATTTAAGAAAATGCAGACATAAAATACTATTATAATATAAAATAAATTCTTTTCATAATTCATAAGGATAAGAATAGCTAATTTTCAAATTCAAATTTTCAATCTTTTACTTTATGTGCAGATAAAACAACTGAAAGAAAAAGAATTAAAAAAGGATACATAGGTAATTACAATATTATAGTATGTCATACACTTTATGTTATAAATGATAATCTTGAAAATAATTTACCTTCAACCGGAAGCAAACGAGTCCTAATACCACTTCAGCCACAATCTCGAATCGTGGGTCTGAAAGGACCAGTGCCTCGAATTCATGAGCTTGGGCGACGTGAGTCCTGATATATCGTTGGAGATTCTCTACCCCATAAATTCTCAAAACGAACCACAATTTCAACGCTCTGAATCTACGTCCCAATGGAATTTGCCAATGCTATGGAACGAAAACAGATGTTGCTTTTAAGTGCATATTAATAAATTTTTGCCTTTACAGGGAAGGAAGCAAACTACAAAATTAGGTGTATATCTCTCTTTTACAAACTGAAATTTACTTATGTGAATTAAAATTATTTTAAAATAGATATAATTAAAATTTAAGACAGTTAAAAATCCTTAAGGTAATATAATATATTACAAATAAATTTAAATTGTTGTTAATTCAATAGTTTGTGTAATAATACATATATTCTGACTCATTGATCATTATAAAAATGATTAATTATTACAAATGAATGTGCAAATTTACCCTATAATCTGGGGCAGATCCTTGCATGTCATGTTTCAGATACAACGGGTCAACGTTGAATGCATTAATAACATAAGTCGGATCTTTTAACCACATGGTTGAACAATCAAAGTTCACCAACATCCATTTGTGTGGATTAAAATTGAAAGAGTCAGCTAACTCAATACCATTCATTAAATGTCGAAATTCCGGGCAAATAAAAGCGGAACCTAATGAAAAAACCATATAAATATTTCATAGAGAATAGTATAATTTTTTAATAGTTCACCAGCATAAGCAGCATCCACGTGCAACCAAATGTTCTCGCGATTTGCAACAACCCCCATTTCATCGAGGCGATCGAATGCACAGGAGCAAGTTGTCCCTAACGTTGCAACAGCCTATAAAATAATTTTAATAAATACGTAATTATAAGTTATATAAATTATAGCAAGTGAAGTTTTAACACTAGAACAATACGACGTCAGAGATATACCTGTGTTTAAATTAAAAATTAAAAATTAGAAATGAATTACCATATAAAATAATTTTTTATTTTGACATTGATCATTTTTGTAACTTAAAATAAAAAATGTGAAGTTCGTCGTTTTGAAGAAATTTTGGTTGTTTTAGTGTTAATATTTTAAAAGAAAATTTGAAACTTACGTAGAATGGAATTAATCCTTGTTCTCTATCCTTGCGAATCGCTTCTGCAAGTGTTTCACCTCGAAGTTTGTATTTAGAATCAACTTCTAAGGATCGAAATTTCACGCCTCCTAGAAGGCCAGCTCGTTCTACAGAACTGTGAGCCTGACCTGAAAGACAAATTAAAAATAAAATTTTATCTTGTCTGTTACACATATATAGAAATGTATATGAAAAAATTGTTATGTTATCAAAAATATATGTAAGAAAATTTAGTTTAATAAAAACCTTTTTCAATTGTTGAAAATTCAATCGAACAGTTCAAAGTAGTTTATAAATATTTTAAAAATAGGATTTGATTACAATCCCTATGAAAAATCACATTTTAATTTATTCCAATTGTATTTTACTTGAAATTAATCTTTTTGAAATTTTTATTTCAAGGTTTTCATACTATCTACGGTTACAATAACAATATACACACATTTAAAATAATTAACTTAAAAAATAGTTTCATTATTTTTATAAATGAAATGTTTTAATGATTATTCTGTTATACCTATTTCTTGTAATTTGTTATAAACAATAAACACTACTATTTTCATTCGAGTATTAATCAACTGTTGCAAGTTTCATAAAATGACTTACATTTCATTCAACAAAATAAAAGCCTCTTTCAATTTTCAATCTTCACAACACAATAATCAATAAGCTATTATTTCAAGAGGTATTAATCATCGATATAGAAGCATTACAAGTATTCTCATGAGACACCTCATTCCTTTCTTCTTCGAATTGCTAATGCATCCGTCGAGCTACATTAACGATGGAAAATTACGAAATGCTTTTGTGCAGGTAACTTTCTACGATTCGACGTGCCAGCAGAGCGAAGTGGTAACAGGAGCGCAGAGCAATCGAAGGGGTGAGTGTGGGTGGTCGATGATAGAAGGGTTGGAATAACTCGAGTGGTTATTACGGGTTGCCATGGTGACAAAGTGCTGGCTGATGAAGTGCTGCAACCCCGTACTCTGTCCTGTCAACTCACCCTCTTACTCTCATGCCTTTGTCAAATGTTAAAGAGCGCCGGCCAACGTCATCGTTAATCTTGTTTACGAGAAAATCATGATCGAATAGTGGCTAGAATTTTTTATCCACCTAATTTCTAATCCCCTTGACATTCTTATTTTTCGTTGTTCATCCATTCCGGATGAAAGTGATTTTTTAATTTTTGGTATTGTATAAAATAAGAGTAATTTGTTTTCTTTTTTTTTTTTTTTTTTTTTTTTTTATGAACGTCATCATTCAGTGATGTTTAATGATTTCTTTAAATTATTATAACTTACTATACAATTTGTATTAAACCTTTTAAATTTATATGTGTAAGCTACTTATCAAACTTCTTCAACTTTCCAAGTAAGATAAAATTGGAAAAACAGATTAACGTGTGAATACATTTTAAATTCATTTTAACTAATTACTTACAGGAACTATAAGCGACTAGTTTTCCCACTATTTCGTTGTCTGTCCATTCAGGATGTTGTTCCTTGACCTGCCTTATTTTTCTAGCCTTGGCACCGAGAAGTGCTACTAAAGTTGCTTCACTTGCAGTTCCCTATAAAGTGAAATTCAACTGCTATTTTATTGCTGCTATTAGCCGATTTTCCCGAAGTTAAAGCTTAAGATTCATCATGAAGAGTTTAATAGGCGAGCAGCAAGTGACAAATGTATGCTTTTATGATTTCTTAACGATTAAATTAGAAAAGTAAATTTTTCCAATACAAAATGCATTAGGGAACAATATTACTTGATTTATAAGATGAGCTTTAGTAGAATTTATATTAAATTTTAAATAAAATCGGCTTTAATTTCTTAGCATTTATTTCACAGTTGGGTTCGTTAGTATTTAAAATTTTAAGAGTTAAAATTATAGTATAGCACACTATTTAAAATTCTAAGAATTTCATCGTCAGTATAGTATAATCTAGTAACGCATTCAAAATTTTAAGAATTATAACTAAAATACTTCTTCAATATTTTCAAAATATTACCTGTATAACACCACCTCCTTTTCCACCGCTGCAAGCTAGAAATTCGTTAGGTAAATCTAACATTTTTCCCAACCAGTCCAGCATTATCACTTCCAATTCTGTACAAGCAGGGCTCGCGATCTGTACACAAAAATTAATTAATCTTATTTCACATTTAAATTATATTAAAATATAATGAAGCATATCGGCATAGAATAAATGGCACTGACTAATTTGAATTGTGAGAATAGAAGGATAAGAAAATAATTCAAAATTATGTAAACAAATGAATGCACTTATATCTTGGTAAATAAATAATGATAATAATTAAGAAGTGAAGTATCATTGACTCTTACCCAAGTGAATCCAATGCAAGCGATAGCACCGCTGAGCATATCAGCAACAATTGCTGGGTACGATTGAGCCGTAGGAAAATAAGCGTGGAATTTTGGACTATGCCAATGAGTTACCTAAAACCAATTTTTTTTTCTATCAAAATAAAAAAAACAAAAGAAAAGAATAATAATAATAATAGCAGCAAAATTTTTCTTAACTTTGTCGCAAATAATTGCACATTCTAATGTAATCTTTTACTTTTTTTATGGCTCTTTTTAAAATCATATTCATTAACAATATGTGTAAACAATTAATACAATTAATAATATATTTTAATAGTGGAACAATAATAGGTGGCTATATTTTTAGAGCTCATGGAAAGATTAATAATAGGTATTCATTCTTGAAATGATTACTGTGTGGAAGGATTAATAATAAGTTTTCAGATTGGATTACTCACTCCTGGCATGATTACTCTTTCAATGTCTGCCATTATATCTTTCCAACTTTCTGGAGTTTGTGGAGCCTCAGCTGGCAAGAGAGGCTTCATGTAACCTGGTTCCACTGTTGGTAGTACTTTTCTACAAATTAAGATCAATTTGACTTAAAAAAAGTTGCAATTGTTAAAACTTTCATTGTACTATTGCTAGTTATTATGAAACATTAATTAAATGTAAAAAAGTGTAGTGATTGGATTTCTTTTGTGAGCTAATAAAATCTTCAATAAATTCTATAAATTTTTGAAATATTTCTTTTTTAACAATTTTGTACAATTGTAAAATACAGAATGAAAATAAGCGACTTTTTCTACAAGCAATTACAAAATTTTTCTGCTACGAATGTACCTTATTATGATAATAAATATCGAACATTCCGTTGCAGGTATGTGTAACAAAACGCAAAGGACAAATGATACAGGATATAATGTTTAAAGACAATAAAAAACTCACCTGTCCCTGATATTCTCCAGATAATTAACAATGTATTCTGCCATTTCCTTGGCGAAATCCTTGAAACCGTCGGGATCCATGTTACGTTTCCTGCAACATTTCCACATTCTGTTGACTAATATTCAAAACTAACTCACGTTATGAACGACTGATATTTTATGTATTTGTGTGAATAAAAAAGTTGGACTTGATAAATTACGGTTAACAAGGATCGATGTTTATATACAATGTTGTTTTTTTCATCATGACATTTTACAAAATGAAAATAATATAGATATGTTGAGGGTTTTGTAAAGAGGAAGTAAATTGTATAATTAAAACAAAGCATTATTTGTTTAAATACTTCTGTGATTAATACCTAATTACAATAATAAATTTATGCAATCATTTGTTACATATTTAGAGTTACAGTATAAATAATTACTTTAAGTAATTTAATAACAATTAGTTTAGTAACATATGTATATAAAAAAATTGTTCTAATTAAAAAGAAGTTCTAATTCGAATTTAAAAACGAAACAATAAAAATTTGAATTTAACTGTTTCAGTATATGTAAAAGGTAAAGAATGCACCCAAAGTGTGAGATGAACCTGTAAATGGATTTGTGAAGCAATTGAAATTGGTATAGTTTAGTAACAATCATGTAAATTTTATCCGAAAATTCTGGAAACTGAATATGCAATAGCAGTTCCTTATAGACAGTTGTTTGAAAATAGCTTCCCCAGTAATTAACATATCTCTTATAATTTTCATTTGAAAAATCAAACAATAATTTATTTCTTGTAGGTTGCAACTTCATTAATTTTTCGGAATTTTTAAATTAAGTTTTCAAGAAATATAGTTTGAAGATAGTACTATTATCAAATTAAAATGTTTTTCAAAGATTGGGTTTTCAATCGACTTAGGTACACGTAGTCCCTTATGCAATACATACTAGACATATGAGTAAATCTAGAGGACCTTAGTAAATCTAAAAATCTTACAATTAGTTACGCCAATGCAGTTAACTGAATCATAAGCAATTCACGTTATACCCGATGGCAAGATATCACTGAAAGTCGTCGTACCTCGACGTTCAGATCGTGGCAGTGTTCTGTATGTACATATATACGATGCAATAATTGGCGAGACTTGCCTTCTCAATGTGGGTCTTTAGAATCGAGGTAGGAGGTAGAGACACGTGTCTCCTCTTTGGATAGATAGTAAGAGAGGAAAAGAGATTTGATCTGTGCGTAATGATCTACGATTTCCATCGCAAGTAGAGACAAGTTGATTCGTGAGAGAACAATGACCATGACCTATTTTTTTCTTTTTTGAAGCAAGTTTCGTTCGACACCTTTCCCCTTCGTGATTGGTCATAGATTGTTTCCTGACAACCGTATGGAACATGAACGCATAATCGATTTGTCATCAGATTTGTTGGAGCAAAGCGTTTGACAGGAATAAATCATTCATTGTGGAAATTTGAGAACCATCAATACAAATATATGATTAAAATTCAGTGCTTCCTTGATCAGCATATTGTTACATTTTATGCTTCGATTGTTAAAAATATGAATCTATTAATTTTATTTTGTTATTAATTAAAAGAATTTAATGAAATGATTTTAAATTTATGACATTGTGAAGTATAGCTTAATTTAGTTTCATAAATTAATATCGATTTTAAGCAAATAACAACAAGAGCTCTGATAAGATTTAATAAATTTATAAAAAATTATGACGTTTTAAATTCGTATTGATTGTAAAAAACTGTGCAATCAATTAATCCTATTTTGAAGTTATTTTAATACTTGAACAGCGGAGTCTGGGTCAATCGAGACCCAAAACTACAAAATATGTCCAAGGACATTACCCAAAAATTAAATGAATAATTTTTAAACGATAGAGTTTCATATGTTGACAAAATAATTTTTAAAGGAACAATGTAAAATTTATAAATTGAAAATAATATGAGATACAAAAATTAACTTCAAATTGGGGCTCTCTCCATAATCTGCTGTCCGAGGATTAAATGAAAACAAAAGCTATTTCATCAAATTTCATTTAACTTGTGTAGCACATTATGAACAATAATTGTCTAAATCACTCTGCAAGTATACAATTTTACGATTAGACATATCTAAAATTATTAAATAAAATTTTTTTATATTTTGACAAGTATTTTGTCCAATTTGGTTTCAAAATTTAATATATTATGATAGTTGCAATATATTAATAAATTAAATTTTTACCAATAATAACGATTAATAAATAATTTCTACAGATTTCCTATTTCTATTGCGGCAGATAACGTATTAATAACGTTCAGTATTACGTAGAAAAAAGGAAATGACAATTTAACGTAAAACCTCGAACGTCAAAGAAAAAGAAGGAATTCCCTTTGGGAACTCCCGTGATCGCAGCAATGACGTCAAATGACTCTCAGAAGTGGAAATGCAAGCAGAAGTTCATTTAAACACGTTAACCATTTGAGGTCATCGAGCTGTTGATACACAGGTGAACGTATGGTTACTTTCACGTAGGATTAATTTATTTTCGTCTTGGTAAAATGATATCTTTGGAGATGTCCAAATTGCGTAAATACAAGGAAAATATCTCTGTTCTTAGAAGCAGTTGCATAGGCTGTTATAATAACTGTACAGCTGGGATAGGTACGAGATTTTTCATTTGATTGCATCAAGATCCTTAGGTGTTTTAATAAAGAGCTTTTTATTGTTTAATCTATAGTCTTTTCAATGAAAATAATATTCATATAATACGAGGCAAATTCATCAATTTTTCTATTTTAAATTACAGAAATTTTTCTAAAACTTTTAACAAAATCTATGTTAACTTCATCGAAGGTAAGAATAATTATTATACAGGTCAACTTTTTTTCCATCCTTTGCTTATTTACTTTTCCAATTTCATTGTGATATTTTACGCTTTTGTTTAATAACTTCGGATCAAATTATTCTAAATATCATTTATAAATTATACATAAAAATTTCCATTTCCTTACAATCATTTTTGTTAATAGAAATAATACTCAGTTATTGTTTAATTTTGGAAAGCATTATTCAGGAAACGATTATAATATGTAAATTATCTTACATCAAAGAAGGTAAACTGAATTTTAATTTATCACGAAATTTTAAAACATACGAATAAGTAAAAATTAATGTGAACAGATGAAGTGAGTATGCTTTAGTGATTCAAGACATGTCATAATATCTTTGTAATATTTGGATTAAATCGACCATGACCGATCATTCTTTTCTTCAATCTTTACTATGATCAGTCAAGGTCATAATTATTATGTTCTTATATAAAAATCAAGATCTTACGTACTTCTACCAGTTACCCAACAAAAATTACTCAACTCTTCCACCTTTCAAATTCTAATTACTCCGAATTTATTTCATTTAGCCCACGTTCTAGAAACTCAATACGAAAGTCAACTTTCGAAAGATTTCAGCTTTAAAAATCTCTGATTTTACTTAACTGATTAATTCTTAAACAAAAGAAGATCAAACATTACATTGGTCTATACTCTTTAAATATTTAATAAAATATTGGTTCTAGAGATTTTCAGCTCAGCTTGACTGAAAAAAAAGTGATGGCTAAATTATTAAATAAAGATAATTAAAATTTTTTTATTAATAGACATTATTTCAAAGATGAGCAATTTCATTTTCAACTTCATTTCAAATATACGATAAACTTTTTATGCTGATAAAATAATAAGGTACATTAATTGTACGATTTTTTAATGTGTTGAAAATTATGCGAAATACGAACCATTTCTCGATTATCTAATCAAAAAAAAATCTAATCCCATTTTAAATAACTAAAACAGTAAAAGAAATCGATTAAAGGCAAATAAATTCTTCGATTAATCATCTAGACTGTTACAGGAGCGAAAGGACAATCCTATCCTTGGAATGCTTTGCGTTTGCAAAGATAGGAAACGTATTGCAGGCTCGGTAAACTAATGTAAACACGCATAATCGTGCGTACAATTTGATGTAAGCTTCAGCAACGTACTTGTGTATTTCGTAATATCATTTATCTCTAGGTTAATCATATATTTACGTTTTCTAAATTTTCCATGTAGCAGACATTTTCGTTATTTTGATATTTTCTGAACATCTAAACTAGTCTATGCCTAGTGCATGATCCGAACACATGTTTACGTGCTATATGTATTTGTCACGTGTATTTTTTAAAATTCTTTTTCAATCGATTTGAAAAAATATGTAACATGTGTAATCTACTATGTTAAAGTATATTTTAATTGAGTAACTTTTTGATGTGAATTGTTAAAATTGAATCAGACTTGTAGGTATGTTTCATTTAGATTGGGGTACCAGGGGTGGGGGTCCCAGTGTATTCGTAAGAGGTCCCGGAACCCTCCCTGTAGCCCCAGTGCAGGTCCCTCCCTAGGGGGGCTGGAGGTGTCTTCCGAAGATTTCCTCCACGTAAAAGAAAAAAAGAAACAAAAAAACAGGTATGTTTCATTATTTTCCCCCTTTAATCGTATTTTTTTTATACTAAAATCTTTATCATTACTTTACGTAAACATGTTAATCGACACGGAAATGACTTCATTCTTATGCGGAATGTAAGAAGAGTTACAGAACGAGTTGAAATTGTTGATATATCCCTATGATATTTCAGCTCTTTTTATATCAAACTATTCAATTTCAAAAAATGAAGCTTAAACCTTAACAATTCCATCACAATAAAAATTCAAGTCAAAGCTTATCAAATTTAATTACCATTTATCAATTTGATCTTCGACATCCTCAATGATTAACCAACGTCCATTAATCAATTTCAACTATATCTATCAATGATAAAAATCTATTTTTTAAACTTCTCTATTTTGTTCACGTCCTTATTTCTTTTGGCCATCTATTAGTAAGAACTCTTAAAACAAAAATGTCAAAAATATTTTGGAGAATAACAAATTCAATAAATATACTAAAATTCTAATTATCATTATTCACTTTATCATTCACAATTATATAACTTGACCCAAAACAATTACTCTAAAATTGTAATATAAATTTTTAAATGTAGCCTGATAACAAATTTAATAAAAATGGAGAAATTTCAATTGCTCTTTTCCTACCTATCCCCTTATCAACAAACAACACGGCTCAAAATAATTACACTGAATCATAATAAAAAAGAATGTTTTTTAATTCATTTATCTCTTATTAATCCGTTTATCAAAACGTTTATTAAATGTTCATTAAACATACCAAGATTATAGTAGCGATGTTATCGCTTGACAGTTGTGGTATCCACGTGGATCCGGTTGGTGATTGAGCAGCTATGAACGAGTGATGTGCACGAACCGCGAATGTCTGCGTTAAATTGCCGTCTCCTCCGCATCGGCATTCTTTATATACCGCCCCACCCATCGACGACAGTTCGGCTTTCATCGGTTACCATCGAGTGATCGCGAACTGCGCAGTTAGATCCGTTCACATCGTCCCTGAATTCGCGATTCGATCTATCTCGACTCGAAGTCGAAGATCGATAAGCCCGACGGCGTGTTTTATTAAAGTTCACGAAGCGATACGGGAACGAACCTCTGCGATTAATGACTTTGTTAATTGTTTGCTCGTTTCACGTTGCCGTTTTGTTAAGTGTCCTCTGATGGGACTACTTACTATCAAATCTCTAAAGAATTTCTTTACGGTTGTTTACTAAATTCTGATACAGTTTGATTAGGGATTTTAATCGAGTTTATTGATCGAACTCCAGTGTTGCTTGTAGGAAATTACATTTAGCCAAGAGTCAGTTTCAAAATGATTTTGTGATGCTGCTTTAATTTGATTTTACCTTTGGTTGTTGTGAAAGCGTTTGGTTGATGGTGCACTTAAGGGTTCATTATTTGGTTAGGGATAAGTGATGAAGTGATTCCTTATTGAATAGAAATAATTTATTTTTTTATTTTTTTAGAAATTCAAGCTTTATTAATAGTTTGAGTTTTTGAATATTTTTGGACTTGATCTTTGCTAGAGATCTTCTGTTTTTGTTCCATCGAAATTATAATCGAGTAAAACTTAACATAACATAAGACAAGAATATAGTTAAATTAAAAGTCATCTGTTGTATTTAAGAAATATTACTGAAGATCGATTCAAAATAAGTGAGCGTGCTTCATAAAGTCTAACAGCATAATATCGTTTGGCAAATCAAAGCGAGCGATGCTAAGACGAATTGTAATCTGATTTCAAGTTCAAAATCAACGCGCCATTCAGTCAGCTAAGCCGAATTAATGTTTTCAAAGTCTATACCGTTTCCTTGTTGATTCGCGCTCTCTTATAAAACTGTGCCGAGACGGAACTTGTACGTTTGGCTGATCCCTGTTTATTTATTCGTGCAACTAGTTTGGACTTTCACTGTTAACGATTGCAATGTTACACACATAATACTTGAGTCAGTGAACGAACAACGAAGGTCGTATAAAACGGGACGGAACTGCATACTTTTGAAAATTTTCATTTTAATTTTGACTAGGCTTCCTTAAGAATTTATTTAAATATATATAAAAATAGCGGTCCATTTTTTTGAACAGCAGATCTTATTTGTTCAAACTTAGGTTTGAAATATGTAAATTACTGAATACTTTACAAATATTTGCATTATTTTTAAAAAAGTTCATCACTGATTTGAACCATGGACTTTATCGTCACACCTTTATTTTCGAATTTTTTTACTTTTATTTTGGTAAGTATTTAAATCCCCAAATGAAACTTATAATAACACTGAATCATACAAAAATTAATCAAACTAAATAGATTAACTACTGTTCAAAATCTTGCATTGTGGTTAAGCAGGATACATTCATTTAAAAAAATGAATTATTCTAAAACCAGCCGAGATTGTGTAAGAAAGGTCGACGATCAACAAGTTGTCCGAAGAAAAGGAAACCTGTAGCTTCCTAGCATTCGTCGAAATTCCAGCCTCTTATTAAATTGTTTTAACGATCTAGAAATAATTATCAGTGTCATATAATGTTCGTTCTGATTCCGTTAATTAAACAGTAGCAGGCTTCGACTCGGTTAAAATGATATCTGTGTCAAAAGTTTCGAGTCTCGTTCGCTTCAGCCTGTTCACTTTCGTGGTATCACAGAAAAATATCCTGCTAGGGAATCGTGCGTAAAACAACACTGACTCATTCGAACTGAGACGGAAAATCCAAACCAGCAACGAGCGGTTTCGCGATCGTGACGCGAGTACCACTACCTTTGAAACATTTTTAAAAGCGGTGAAAGATGAAAGCGCTTTAAGTTCAGAAAGCAACTTACTCAGTTTTTTATTATGGAAAATTTAAAGAAACAATGATAAAGTAAAATAAGGGTAAGTACCGTAATTACTACCATTCAGATAATTGATTTTTAATGAATGTTACTGAAATTAGTAATCTCTAAACTCTAAACGATGGTGCTGAGTCATTTGTGAGTCAGATCTATAAAACGTAAATAACGATGCTTTGATTAAAATTAAATATTCGAATTTTTAAACAAAAATTCTCATTTTTAAAAGAATGGTAAAGAAATGTTAAAAATTAAATTGAAACTTTTCCAGTGACTCCTCATCCAAATATAATGAATTCATAACTCACTGAATTTACGTAATTATTTACTGAAATTATGTAATCAAAAAATTGAAATCTCTAATATTGCAACGATTACTTTGACAAAGTATTAATTCACTTGGAAAATAATAAAAGTTCAGATCGTAATCCGACTAAAGGCTGAATAATGGTCGGATGCTCCTCAAAGAAGTTATCTGTGCGGTTGAAACAGAAAAAAGGGGTTAAAGTAGCCGAGTTCTCGTCAATTTTTCCACTTCCAAGTAACTTTTACATGGTCGAGCTCTTTTCTGCACCCTCTTCGATTCACCACCCTTATTCAGACGTTGAAAAGCTAAGAAACGAATGTACTTTTCCACGATACACTGTGCCGTCGTCATGACTACCATCGTCTTGGATAATCTTCTGCCTCTAAGGACATGTCCTGTGTTATATCAGGCCATTTTATTTCTCGTTTCCGCGAAAGCGTTCTTCGCTTCCAGTTTAATTCCGAGAGATAGTTAGACATCGTTGATCTATGTTGATACATCATCAGAGAGTCATCGAATATTTCAGTATATGTATAATATAAAAATAGGGTAAAATAGAATGACGTTTAAGATATAACAATGCAAGGAAATAGTCACGAAATTTGTTTAAAGATTTATTATGAAGTAGATAACTCAGAATAGAAAACATTGGTATAATGAACGATAAGATTATTGTCGGGGGTGAGCCTTTCTTAGCTTTATTAATATTTTGCATTTCGCAACATCCTACGAGAGAATTTTAGAATCTTATGAAAAGGGCCAATCCCTCGGGGGGTGGGGAGCACTCCAGCCTCTCTCTATTTCTGCCACTGATAAAAAATAGAAGACTGAAATGTCCGAAAATTAAAATTTGAAAGATTTCGGAGCACAGTAAAAATTTATTAGTATTAAGATTAATGACAATATTTCTATTTTTCAATCTCTTATAGGTAACATACTCATCAAGACCCTTGGTTTTTCCAAAAGGTAATCCTACATTATTCTAAATAATTAAAACTATACTCAATATTTGTTTTACCATCCTATTTCAAATACCTTACAAATATTATAAATAACATAAAATAATAAATGTTGATGTACGAATTTAAATATAAAAACAATGCCAGAAGTTTCGCTTATAACTTACATTTATTTATGTTTTAACTGATTGATTAATATTGTTTCAATCTTTTTGTGCTCTTAAATTTGATTGCGAAGATTCGCATATATTGAGAAAATGTCATTAACAGGGGAAAGGATTCGAGCGTGGAAGGACAATTTCCTGGTGTCTCTTGGTCGGACATTTCCTTTGAGTAAAGTTGTTCGGACATTCTATCTCACAAGATCCTGCTGGCTTTGAATCGCCCAATTCTCTCCCTTTTTGGTAGCTTTGATCACTCTAGTGCTCTTAATACTCCTTTGTAATTAGATAATATTATCTTTTGCACAGTTTAAAAAAATATTTGTAAAAGAATTTGTATTATTTACGTTATTAGGTTGTTACATATCAAATGCCCAATTCTAACTGTTTCCAACCAATTTCCAACCGCTGGACACGTACTGAAATTTATTTTCCCAATTATTACTTTTATACCACAGCAATTTATATTCTTTATTGTTTTTCAAAGTTACATTAACGCGATAACAGTTGAAGTTGGGGGAAAGTTGACGCGAAGGAAGTACTGAATTATTCGTAGCCATTCGTTACTTTTCAGGGTGGAGGGAAGCTATCGGTAAATGTAATGCATTATGTATGAATGCGTGATATTCAAGTAAAACGACTCCGTTTCAGAAAATGAACCTCCCTTAAGGTCCATCGTAACCGAGGGTAATGCTTACAAGTGATTTCTGTTTCATTCTTTCTATTACTGAGGTATCAAAACACCTTGCAAAATTTCTTAAAACTATATAATAACAATAGAATATCACGCCAATGTTAATAAATAAATGCATTTTTATTTGTATTAAGAATTAAAAATATAAAAAAGAAAAATAATTGATCGATTCAAGTTAAGTAATGAAATTTATTAAATTACAGTTTTGTGTTAAAAATTAATAGCAACATTTCATATTCGATATAATATTTTTTCAATAAAATTTTTCTGAATTAAAGTTCTAGTATAATTCATTTACTTTTATTTTTAATGATATATTTTTTTTATTTGTTCATTTTAAATGGTGAAATTAATGGCATAAAACAATAGGAAAGAAAAGAGAAAATAGGAGAAGCAGGTGATGGATTTAGAACTGACCACGAGTTTAAGAAAATTCGAACAAAAGAGTGTTCGATTAACCTGGAATGTAAGATATACTCTGAAGTATTGTTTCTAAAATTGTATAACAATTGAACGACTCAAAAACTAAATTAGTTTCACGATAGAAACTCGCGATGAAATCAGACTTTCGTAGAGGAATTTTAATTTTAACGATACATGTTAATATTAAAAGTAATTTAAAAAACAGTAATATAATTTTTAATCTTTAAATATTATAAAATATAGTATATAAGTGAAAAGCAAATATTGATTTAAATTTTCCCGCGTGGACTTAACATATGTGCAAGCGATGGGGGTCACAGAAGTATCGTGAAAATAACGCAATTTAATTGGTCGCACCGCACCTCAGCTCACACGTACTTTTGGTCGCGACGTATGATTGGTTGAAACAGTTAGACTGGTGTAAAACTAGGGGAGTAATCGATGTGTGCGTAGTACATCCTCTTGCCTCTGTGTCGTCCCGCGAGACTTCTGATGATCGGTGCACAGTACATAGGGAAAAGAGGTGCGTCATGGCCATTGCAGGTGAATTGATCACTTGAAGTTTTAATGGTATAAATAAAATTTTGATTACTTAAAAAAAAAAATAATATGACGTTCTGCCTTCGTTTAAATAGGGTGTTAAAAAATACCCTGAAGACCTCTACACCGCTGGATAGATCATGAAAAATCGAAGTGAAAAGTTTGGTAGCATTTTTCGATGGGATCAGTAATTTAGCCACGTTTCGTTGTTGAAAGTTGAGAAATTGACCAATCAACGCGCAGCTTGAGTGCCAAGACCCGCGGAGTAGGAGACTAGCCCCCTCTGCCGCCGACGAGCCGCGCCGCTGAGCGTCGCGCTTACGCATGCGCCGAGAGTCTAGTGGAGACGGAATGAATTAATTATTTAAATAATTCAAACGATGTTTGCTATTATAAAGATAGCAATTTTATGGTTTTTTGGATATGTACGATATCAATCTTTACTACAGGATACAGACGAAAATTGTACGTGTACAATTTATCAAACCGTTTAATAAATTGAAACAACTGGGTATGACCCACTAATAGATTAAACAAACAAACAAACAAACAAACAAACAAGCAAACAAAGAAATAGACAAATTATTTTCTCTCGGCGCAGGCGTAAGCGCGACGCTCAGCGACGCGACTCGTAGGCGGCAGAGGAGCTTGTCTCCTACTCCGCGGGTCTTGCCACCGAAGCTGCGCGCTGATTAGTGAATTTTTCAATTTTCAACAACGGAATGTAGCTAAACTACTGATCCCATCGAAAAATGCCACAGAACTTTTCACTTCAATTTTTCGTGATCTATCCAGCGGTGTAGAGCTCTTCAGGTGTAGAGTTCTCCACTTTTTCACAAAAGTGCTACCGTTTGTAGTTCCAATTCCAATTATAGTCCGAGGGAGAGAAGGGAATCCGGAACATCACCATTGTTCTTGTCGAAGCCTGATTTGATCTCGAATGTGCAACAAATGGCTACTTTTTAAACGCTAATTATTTATTCACTACCAACGTAATCCGTTAATAATTATGCCTTTCATGTGTTTAAAAATTTTCAGTAGTTAATCTATTAGTACTGGATGTTATATAATACATTATAAATTAGATAATAAAGTAAAAATGATAAATAATATTCAATAATTATATATTTTAAGACAAATTTAAAACAATATTATAATTTACTAATTTATGAATGAGTTTGATCAAAATTTTGTATAGCTATCACTGAAGTAGACATATTTTCTCTTCTACAAAATGTTGGAACTAGCGTGAAATTATCATCATCCGTTCGATGATTGTCATCTCAATAAATTCGAGAAGGCGTCGAATCTCTAAAGTGTAACAAATGTTCTAACCTAGCTTGCGGATGGCAGAAGAAATATAAAAGGATGATAAATCGATAGTTCAAATCAAAATTACCAGCAATTATTGTTTGTTTATCTAATTCCAATAGTGAAAGAGAATTTAATCGAAATTATATATTATTAATGTACAAACCTCTTCTTTCCAAAGGATTACAAATTAGACAGAAGAGCAATTAGAAAAATATTCCTAATGTTAATTTTTTGTTGTAAACGTCGGACTGTGTTTTACCAACGAACGTCTAAATGGTATGTTACATTTTTACGTAATGCATATTTCACTTGCTTTATTCCTAGACTTTGTTCAAGAGCTCAGGTCGTTCACCACTTTTAAGTGTCTTTAAGAACGTTCTTTTTAAGACGTTCCTATTCTTTACTTCTCGTACTTACAGATAATACCGTTTCAAATAATTTTTAAGAAAGATGTTTGATTTAAGAATTTGTTCGATGATTCCGTTTTGAAATGATTTTATATTTGTTAATGAGCAAGTTATAAATTTAAGTGATTTTTAAACAATAATGTCAAAATTATTGCTCTTATATATTCTGTTTCTTGAATTTCTTCTTATTACTAAAGGTCTTATATCTTTTCCTGTGTTATATTAAATTAAATTAAATCAAAACTTAAAGGAAATAATTTGAAATTAATTCAAATGGCTAATGATATCATAACATCATTTAAGCAATAATTAATTGATGTAAAAACATATTTTTGTCCAGGTTCTCCAAAACTTAATTGTTACATAAAAATTACTTAAATCTCATAAGATCCATAATCATCCAATTCATATCTTACCGTTAGTTTAATAGTTTAAAAATATAATTGAACATTTCTGAAAATTACAATCATTCACATATTAACGATAAAAATATTCTATAGCTCTGAATCATTTTTTTAAATTAAATTTGAATTAAACCTTCTATTGCAGTTTATATTTTTGCAAAATAATGTAACATTTACTTCATTCTTATCACATTTCGTGAACTTGAAGTCTCATGACTAAAATTTATTATTTATTGATAGGATATGGAAACAGTGAAGGAATACCTAGCGTTCATCAATCCTCATTGGATAGCGGTGGTCGCTACAGGGATGTATACTCATCTACGTCAAATTTGCATAATTGGTTTGTGTTTTGATGAAGACACCACTCTTCCTTTCGATCCATCTTATGCCTCCGTGATTTTTGTATTTTCTGTCCTCTGTCTTCTTGCTGAATATAGACTTTGGCCTAGAACTCTTAAAGAGCCACCGATTCAACTTCTTTATATTTATGAAGTGAGCACAATAAGTATTTTCGCTTTTAATTATTTAAATTACAAAACAATGATGCGCGAACAATTTTTATGAAGATAACATATAAACAGTTATATAGTTCCTTCCTTTTACTTCTGAAGATGTTAAGAAAAACTTTAGAAATTTATTAAATATTTCTTAACCCTTCCAGCTTTGCTGATGGCAATTGTATCATATTTAGAGCTCTGCGGTACATACTTGCAATAGACGTCGTTGTTGGTGACAATTGCCACGGTAGAAAGTCGTTAAAATTTTGCACCGGAGTTCTTATGGCAATTATATGTAAACACTATTTTACGCCAAAAGAATTTTTGTTGAGTATCAAAAAATCCAAGGCTGAAAGGGTTAAGCATATTTCAATATTTGGGTACAATGTTTTTTCTATTAATTAACGCAACGGTACTATATTTCAATTAAATTTTATGTAGATGTTGGTAGCAGCTTTGATCACGAACTTAACTACACGTGCTATTTGGGTGCCACTTATGCATGCCATCAATTGTTTAACTCAGGAATCAAGCAGATGGGTGAGTTTATTGAAATTATTTCGCTTCCTAGAGTAATTAAAAGCGTATTCAGTATTTATATAAATTCAATATAATATAAATCTAGAAAAAATTTAGAAATCTTAATGAGAATACGTAATAATTAAGTCTTTCACTTTTCCACTTTGGTCGCCAAAATTTTGTACTGTTTCTTCAAATATTAGTTTTTCAATACACAAAACACGTTGAATATCAAGTTTATGTTGCATGAAGAGGGGGTCACATAATTGGACCAAATTGTACCTTAACTTTGGTTACAAATAAAAAAAGGTAGAAAAAGAACGTTAAATAAAAACGCTTATAAATGCATTGTTATAAAGTTACAATAAAAATAAAAAGCAATAACTTCTCGAACATATCTACATTACGGACCTACAGTACATATCTACACTTTGTTGTCCTAGTTATTATGGCTGAATGCAACACTGGGCCTAAGTCATTACTCTTTGCTGACTGATTTTGCTTACTACATGGCAAAAGATTGCGCCGCGATGCACATGGCTTTCTGTATGTCTATACTGTCATTCGTCTGGATGCTGGATGCCACCGAATCATTAGACGCAATTTTGGACACTAGGGCCAAGTAGTGAACCAGTGATGTTTAGTTTTGTAAGACACTTGCATTGTAGAGCAACTAAGTTATAAATCGCAGTTCTTCATTCAAATATTAGCGATGTAATCAATCAATCTAAAATATTTAGGGCACTTGATGGAGGCATATTACATAATCCGAGTAATACAATTAAATAAAATAATCATTTGATATAATTATTTGATTAAATAATTTTATCTTAGATTTTGTATACAGGGTGTCCCGGAACTCGCGTAATTCCCGGAAAAGGGGGGTTGCTGGGGTGATTCTGAACAACTTTTTCCTTTACCAAAATGTTGGTTGAAGTTTCCCTTTTGAGTTATTAACGAAAAACACTGGCCAATCAGAGCGCGCGCTGAACCATGAGAGCGTTGGATTTCAACCGCGCTCGTGGTCACGAACAAACGCATTGGCACATCGTGGGTGTCAAGGGAAGCGTGTAGGGATGTGCGGGTACCTGATATTATGGGCTCGGGTGGGATCGAGCGGGCGTCAGATACATGCGTGAAGTCGGATAGCCCGACTATTTCGGGTTCGGTCAGGTACAGTCGGGCGGCCCGCGGCCCACGACCCAACTCTCATGTATACCGCAGTTCACCAGAGTCCATAACTGCGACGCGCAGGTTGGAAAATGGTGGGGGAACGCAGCGAGCTCTCTGCTAATCGCTTTCCATTTCGTTTGGGAGTATCGCCAATCAGGGCGAAGATGCGTACTGGAGATGCGCGAAGAACGAAAACTGGTCTTTTCGCAGTTATGGACTCTGGTGAACTGCGGTATAAGTACTTGTTAATACTTGCAATAAGCATGTGCAAAATCTGTTTTATATGGAATTTTGGAATAAGATAATTTGGTAGCTCGTTCGAATCTGCCCGATTTTTTCGAATCCGCTCGATGTTTTCCGAACCGACCCGACTAGTCAGGAACCCGACACATTAGTCGGACCGCACATCACTAGAAGCGTGCGATAAATGTTACATCGTCTTAAATTAAGAACATTGTGGAATTATTGGTTGCTCGTGAACAACGAATAAAATAATGAATCGTTCATGTAGAATGAATAAATCGAATTGATCTAACACTTTCATTCGATGTTTTTACATTTGGAAATAGGTTATGGTTCGTGGCCATAAATCTGTTATTCTCGGTAACCGAGAGTAACCGAGAGAGACCCGTGTCGATCCTTTGGATATTGCCGAACGTAGAAAAGGACAAAGAGCGAAACAGACCTCGCAAACGCTCAAGCTAGCAGTCTCATTTGAAGTTGGAAAGGAGGACCGATAACGTCGTGAAAACGTTACGAAGGTGACCGTGTGGTTGAGTGAGTTCAATGATCTAGTCTGGAGATCAGCTGTTCTTCGTAATGTATTCCCTCCTCGAATGTTCAGGATCGACATAATGATCCAGTGACTGCAAACTATTTTCATTGCAGCTTGGTCATTTACAGACGAATGGGTAAGTTTCATTTACATTCAATCCTTTTTTTATTATTTGCAAACTTATTTTTCAAAAACGTGTATTCGTTTTTCTCATTTTTTTCAAAAAGTGACTACAAAGTATTTTTTTTATCCATATCGAACATCGAATAAAAGTGTTGGATCAATTCGATTTATTCATTCTACATGAACGATTCATTATTTTATTCGTTGTTCATGAGCAATCAATAATTCCACATTGTTCTTAATTTAAGACGATGTAACATTTATTGCACGCTTCCCTTGATACCCACGCTGTGCCAATGCGTTTGTTTCATGACCACGAGCGCGGTTGAAAGCCAACGCTCCCGTGGTTCAAGGCGCGCTCTACGCGCGCTCTGATTGGCCAGTGTTTTTCGTTAATAACTCAAAAACGAAGCTTCAATCAACATTTTGGTAAAGGACGAAGTTGTTCAAAATCACCCCATCAACCCCCCTTTTCCGGGAGTTGCGCGAGTTCCGGGATACCCTGTATAGACGAAAGAATCTAATTTCTTACTATACTTCTTGAAATAATTACACTTTGGATTAATTTCATTTAACAGATACACAGAAAAAGAATTTTTTATGATTAAATGTTTAAATTTTTTATATTTCTTTTTTTAAAAAAGGTAATAAAACACTTATTTACCTGTAATATTTTATTTCTTCCTATTACTAAGGCTTAAATAATGAGTAGCTATTCTTACTACAAAATTTTTTAAAGAATGCATTTTATTAATAGTAATAACTTTTTAATTATTTTTTTTAATGATTCAAAGCTTTCGGTTATTTCTTAAGTTATATTTATAATGTTTGTGTATTTCTTTCTCAGAGAACAAAACGGCGGATTTTGGTCAATTTGCACATGCAAAAGGAGAAAGATTAGTTTTGCAAATCCTGAAGTTACAGATTGGTTCGTATATAAATTTATGTGCAGCGCAGATCCTGTGAATGAAAATAAGCAATCAGATTCATAATCCAACGTAATTCATTTTATAATAAGTATTTATATTACATAAGTTGTGCTTTATAATTTGGATGTCTATTCGCGTATTATACATGTTTACTTGTAATAAAGTCCTTTTATGACATATTAACAGATTATTATATTTTGTAAAATTTTTAATAATTTAATTAAGAAACTAAGACTACATTATCAATATTAATGTTGCACTTTATTTAGTTTGTTATTTTACTGTTTGAAATGAAATGAATTTTAAAAAAACTTTAGATATTAACAGAAAATTGAATAATTAGGTTTTAAGACGGTAACCCCTCCCAAGCCGGGTCATTTAAATAAAGGTTGCTAACAAATAATAACAAGAATAACTATTTGCACGTTTATCGACACATTTGTAGTAACAATCGAAACGTTGAAAACAAATTCGAGATATCTCGCATATTTATCTAACAAACGTCCTTTTCAACCAGTCCTATTTAATAATGTCTTTGTAACGTTAATATTAAATAGAAACTCAAAATGATTGAAGTATAATATTCCTGAAAATGGTACAGTTGCTCCACACAATTTGGGCGCTATTGCTAAATGCTTTGGAACTTCCAATTTTTCGAACATGTTTTGCTAACGCTATGGAGGACGAAGATCGTGAATCGTTGCTTTGTGGACCACCATTTAGTTCATTTCTCTTTAGTCTTGGTATTTATATGATTATCATTCATTCCACTCTTTTCCCACGTTCTTTCCGTGAACCAGAAATGGGTTTCTTAGTACTCTATGAGGTTAGTAATGTTTAACTTCCATTCTAATTTTGATTTTTTAACCCTTGTGTGAGCAATTAGGTACCCACGTAGTCATTGAAGCTTCAATATTTAAGATATTTTACATTTTATAAACGTAAGTAAATGTAAGAGCATTCAAAGTAATAGGGATTCAGAGAAGTACGTTGTTGCATGTACACATAAAGATTAAACAATATTCTACAGGATGCTAAAAAAAATATGATATCTTGAAAATTGCAATTTCCTTACTAGAAAAGTATTTGAAAAATTCTGTCCTATTTAAAAATCTGAAGTTTCATATTTGAGATTTAACCGAATAAAATTAGGTTAATATAACTGTATAGTAGGTAGCCTCGGGAAGAATGACGATGCGAGGGAATATAAGTAAATGTCCTACATATAATCTCACCACCACTCCCGTGTCGACATATACGCGGGAAAATTTGAATTGATGCTTATCTGATTACTCTGTCCAACAGTGAATTTGTTTTCCGATTCTCACTGGGTGATTCTCATAGTGTTTTGTACGCTGATTATGAATCTGCATACCGTTTTGCTCCTACACGTACAGTTTTTGAGAAATTTTATTTTGAAAAAAAATCATATTTTTCAGATTTAAACAAATTTTCTACCGTAATTATAAAAGATATTGAAAATCTATTTATACTAAACTATTCTGTAGACTTTTCTGAATACAACGATACCTATCTTTAATGCATTTTAATGTTCAAGTATGTTTAAACGATCATTGAACGCGGAGGGACCCCGATTTGGCACCAATTTTTTAGGATATTTTTCTATTTATCTGAAAAAGTAGAGGTCCAGCGTAAAATCAAATCATACCACGCGATTTTTATCTTGAAAAACCACCTGAAGAAAGTTGCAACATCGATTTTTTTATTAAGCCAGAAAGCGAAATAGCTTTGCGGGAGACGAAGTACCAACAGCGGCGTACCGCGTTAGGACGGTTCCTCGGCGTCCCGCCTAATGCAGTCGCTTTAAGTCCTGACGCGAAGCGCCACTGTCGGTACTTCGTGTCCCGCGAAGCTATTACGCTTTCTGGCTTGATAAAAAAATAGATGTTGCAACTTTCTCTGGGTAGTTTTTCTAGATAAGAATCTGCTCCATCGCGTGGTATAATTTGATTTTACGCTGGACCTTTACTTTTTCAGATAAATTGAAAAATATCCTAAAAAATTGGTGCCAAATCGGGGTCCCTCCGCGTTCAATGATCGTTTAAACATACTTAAACATTTACAATGTATTAAAGATAGGTATCGTTGTATTCAGGAAAGTCTACAGAATTTTTTAATATAAATAGAATTTCAATATCTTTTATAATTACGTCAGAAAATTTGTTTAAATCTGAAAAATATGTTTTTTTTTTCAAAATCAAATTTCTCAAAAGCTATACGTATAGGAGCAAAACGGTTTGCAGATTCATAATCAGTGTACAAAACGCTATAAGAATCACCCAGTGGGAATCGGAAAACAGAAAAAAAGTTAAAATTTGTTGGACAGTGATTATTAATCTTTTTTAGTTATGTATTAAATTTTATAATATTTAACAATTAAAATTTATATTATTGTAGGAAATAATATGACAGAGGGGTCGCAGGGGGTCCGCGACGCGTCCGATCATAAAAAATTGACAATCAGTTGACGACGACCACGTATGTGGAATAGACGTGCCCTGCGACGAATCCGTTTTATTCATTTTATAATTACCGTTTTATAGTTTTACCGTTTATAATTAGTTTAGGCACGTAGAGTTAATAAAACCTATATTATTCTGTTTCTAAATCGTTTTTAATATTAATATCGACAAAATTAATGCTCTGAGAGTTCCTGCTTCCCCTGTAACGCCATTTTTACTATGGAAGCCTATTTTGCTCGATACTGTACTACATGGTTCTTGAAACACCATTGAGCTTATTTTTGTTTGCAGTTTCTGGCCACAGTATTTCTCTTAGAATTTACATTGGCTTGCATCTGGACACCTCTTGACGTGTTAATCTCAACCAGGCTACCCACGACTGTTTGTCACGTAACGTAACAATTTCATTCATTCTATAACATTCCAATAGAAAAGAAAAATGGCATATTAAACTACTTTGTTTTTAAATAAATGCAGTTGCTTCAACAGTTTGGATCCGATGATGCAGTAATCTCATTTCTCACAAGCAAATCTTTGACAGTGATTATAACTTACATGGTTGCAATCACGTTTCTTCTTCTTACACTTTATGTTACAGATTCTGTGGATTATACAATTCTTAGGTATCATTTCGTTTCATGTAATTCCTCTTTAATGACGAAAGGGTTAATTAAAATTAATTTATTTAGAATTAATTTCAAGCACTTTCTCTAGGGATTGTGGTGCAATGCCTTTCGCTATGGATGTGAAAGAAAGACTATGGGACAGATTGCAACGAGAACTTCCATTTTTGAATAAAGAAACAAAAACTTGTCGTTGCAAAGTTCGTAGACGTGGTCGAAGCAAGAGTCATCTCAAATAATAACAGATCATTCTGTAAATTGATATGTAAAGTTTCAAAAAAAAGCCAATGTAAATATTTATGAAGTTATTGGATATATTAATAAAATAATTTCAAACAATTATTTTAATACAAATGTATTTTTTAATGTTGCCCGTTCTGCCGATACCCCTTGGCGTAATTGTTTTTTTCTGGGGTGAGCCAGGTTCCTTAGCTTTATTAACAGTATCAAAGACTTAGGATCTTACATTTTGAAGGATTTTGCGAGAAAATATTGAAATCATATAACTTCAGAACCTTACAATTTTAAAATGTTAGAATTTTGGAAATCTTAGAATTTGAGAATTTAATAATGATAAAATCGGTAAACTTGTAGATGAGCTACTCCCTCTCCGATTTTGATGATTTTTAAATATGTTGTAAAATTCATTTTAAGCAACGTTTTTCCTCTAAGCTATATGTCGGACTCGATTAGTTTGCGAGATATTCGCGAAAGATAATTATATATAATGTTACTAATACAGCGAATTCTGCCTATACGTATGCGCCCGTGGCCATGTGTGCGCCGGCTCTCTTGCCTACCGTTTCTGTAAGCAACAGCATGTGGTCCGCCTCCTAATTATACAACGGGTGAGCTGAAAAATCAAATTATAATATTCGACTCGTGTGGCCGGCCGCCCGAAGGCGGCCGGAATATTAGTATTATCTAACCTAATCTAACCTAACCTACACGTATAAGTAAGAGAAAAATAAAATACTGTTACTTACTTGTCCAGATTAAGTTAGGTTAGGCTATATTAATATTCCGGCCGCCTTTAGGTAAATAATTTCAAATCATTGAAATTAGTTAAATTTAATTTTAAGCTCACCCGTTATATGAATGGTAGTCGGGCCATGTGGTGTTATTGACAGAAACACTAGAGAAGCGAGTGTCGCTTGCCGACGCACACACAGCCGCGGTATACGTACAGGCGAAATTCAATGAATAGTACTCATACTTTTTCGCGAATATCTCGCAAACTAATCGAGTCCGACATATAGCTTAGAGGGAAAAAGTTGCTTATAATATCGAATTTTACAACATATTTAAAAATCATCAAAATCGGAGGGGGAGTAACTCATTTACAAGTTCACCATAAAATCTTAGGGTGAACTTGTAGAAAAGGCGCTCCCCTTCCGATTTCGATGATTTTTGAATAAGTTGCAAAAAAAAAAATGGATTTTACATGGGACACCCTATGCCCTTTAGAAACGGAAGATATCGCTATGGTGTCAACGGCTATTTGACACTTGACGATGACGGTTGCTACAGTGAAGATGGCTGTGTTAGTTACGTCTGTATAGGAAAAATTCTATGTATTATACTGAAAGTTTTTAATTAATATCTTGGAAACTAATAGGAAACCGAAGATACCACTTTATACTTGGGGTCGTCTACTTGCTCCCAACCAACCCTCCAAACTTGTCGATCCGCGACCAGGGACATTCGGAACTTTATCCCTTTTTTCCTTCAACCTGTATGTCGGATTTGCTTAGTTTTCGAGATATTCGCAAATAAATATCGTTACCTCTACAATAAATTCTATTTATTCGTATGCGTTCGTAGCAATGCATACGACCGTCGCGTCGCGTCGCTTGCTTGTACATAATTTCTGTAAACAGCGACATGGAGCCCGGCAAACTCTTATGTAACGGGTGAACTTAAAAATCAAACTTAATTTATTTCAATAATTTTGAATTGCATGGCCGGCCACCTAATGGCAGCTAGTATATTAATTTAATCTAACCCAGGCGTGACATGAAAAGGGCAAGTGCACTCGAGTTACGCCTATCCTAATACCAACGATTTCGTGTATGAGAGTGTGATTTTGCGTTCCTTTTTTTTTGTTTGCATCAACGCACCCTTATTTATTTTATGTTAATTTTAAAGTGAATAATAATTATTACACTTAACAGTTGAATTGGGAAACCATGAAGGAAACTGAAGATTTGATGGGTTATTTCATTCAACACAAAACGCTAACCGAGCACTTTTATTTTTATGAAAAAGAAGGCATTTATTTCATTCGAACTGAAATGCAAAGTACAAATTGGTATAGATAATATAGTGGTAATAATGTAATAATTAATCGTTAATAAATATCAATTCAATTAATAATACAGTGTGTACCAATATAGTGGGGAATATTATATATATGGTAATTGTACTACACGGGATGTGTTCAGTGGCAGCGTTACAATCATTTTGTGTCATTATATTACAGTGATTTTTCCAATCTCGCTGACCGATGATCATTTGTCCTCGATTGTGCTTTCATAGTTTTCACGTTTTACTTTTTAATTCTTCCTTTCTTTTCATGCGCCGCGCCGCGCCGCACTGATTTGTTACATTCGATTCAAAAAAGAAGGACCGGGGCACTGACCATGATACTAGAGAAAAAGATTTTTTGATCGTCTGAAAATACTTTCGGTTGGATACAGTACAACGTTAATTTACTCATAGAGTAAAAATATTATGGAATAAATTTAGAAAGATAATGAAGTATAAATGTAGAAAAATAGTATAATTATAAGTATAAATTTAGTAAAAGAGGAAAAATTACGACCCCTCAAAGTAGAAGAATCAGTAAGCTTCGTTTGTAAAGAGCTAAACGTTAGATATTTTTAGACTTCATGAACCAAGAAATAAATTTAAAATTATTATGTAGGTAAATATTTATAAAATAGACAACATTTTCACGAATTCTTATGGATACAAGTTTGTATCATGGTTTATGTATACATCTTTCCTTCGATATCAGTTGATTAATAGCGTAAAAATAACATTTCGAAGGGTCACTGAAAAGAAAAATACAATATATATTATCAAAAGAAGGATATTCCAACCGAATATTTTCAGCGATACGAATATTTTATTTTTCGATGTACACAATGTCTCGCTCGCTCTTCGTAACACAAGAGTCTTCGTTAGAGATGGGATCAAGTTCGATATGTATTCGCTTCATGGGATTTGAATACTACTACTCGTAAAAAGTAATAATTGAAGAAAGATACTTGTATCATAAAACATGAACTACTTTCGAACCATAAAACGTCACATCGAATATTGAAATATAGAAAATTTGACAAAATTTTATAGTATAAAAGTATTGTGATCCTTCCGATCTGAAATTCCTAATACAAAATGTTAGGTTTTCCATTAAAAGTAGATAAGCAATGTTAATAGTACTTTACGCGCACACGAAACAAAATAATTAATTACACAATTGTATAGTATTGAACACAATAGGCTTCTTTGGGGAAAATAACGTTACAAAGGAAACAGGAATTCTTAAAAACTTAATTTTTACGATCTCAATATTAAAAACGATTAAGAAATAAAATATAATTTTTAATTACTAAACATTATAAAATTTGGTATATAATTAGAAAATATGAATAATAACATAAATATCGATTGAAATTCTCCCGCGTAAACGTCTAACGCAAGTAGCAGGAGATGAGCGTCCTGCATAAAGTACTGTCGAGAGATGGAAAGAACATTAGGAAAAGGAATGCGGATACGATTGGTCGGAGTCGGTACGTCACGCCTCACGCACATGCATTTTGGATTATCACGCGCTACATATTGGCCGATGCGATCACACATTAATCGCTGTACAGTCGAGAGATGGAAAGAACATTAGCGGGACGGCACAGGGGCAAAGGGAGCACTTTGCACGCTCCGCCCTGTCTCCACGTTTGATTCTCACCATTCAAAGTTCGCCGCAACGCTAACTTCGTACCATCTCACTTTCTCACAAAGTTTCATTTTTCTTCTTTGTCAGACGACGCGATTAGTGTGTGATCGCATCGGCCAATAACGCGCGATAATCTAGAATGCATATGCGTGAAGCGTGACGTACCGACTCCGACCAATCGTACCCGCTTTCCTTTTCCTAATATTCTTTCCATCTCTCGACTGTACTTATATATTATATTATATGGGACCCTCTCCTCTACACCGCCACTCTTGCCAGGGCCACCTATAGGGAAGGACGGAAGCCCAGGATATCGCCATCTTCACCGGGGAAGCCCTACATGCTCGTTACCGTAGAAAATGATGAGTAACGTTAGTATTATGCTAATAATGTAAAATATTCATTTAAAAACCCAAATTTTGAAATTAATTAACTGTATCATTCATAACTGCATTAAAGTGCCTTATTATAAATGTCCATTTTTACTGTAAACTTTTAATAGAAAATTTTTACTTAGGTAAAATAGTCGTTAAGAGTCGAATTATAATTATAAAGTACTTATAAAAAATTAGAACCCACTTCATCTAGGTTCGAGCTTATTGCTTCTCTTTCTCCAAATATTCGAACCTATTTTCAGTATACTTAGATCCCACCTCTAATCTTTGTTCGAAAGATGTGAAACGAACAAAGAGAAATTTCGAGCTGGCGAGAAGAATTCTGTCGTTCGACAAATCGGACTAGTGCCGTTGTAAAAGTAATCATCGCTTCATTGAATCGTAATTGTACCGGATGGAGGGTCGAGCCACTCTGCTCGAGCATTTCTCTTTGTGCACGATTAGGCAGTGCTTGGAAAAAGTTTACAGATATGTAGGATGAGCTCGCGTGGCCGCCGTTCTTTTCGTTCGCATTTTCACGGGGCTTCACGTTTTCTCCTTCATTCTTTCTTTTACCATAACCGGAGAACGGACGTCTTTCGGTCATTTATCAATCCAGACAATGAGATCTCTTCGAGAATAAGTACGTTTCGTTCTTTATTTTTATTTTCGTCTGTTCTCCACCATTTTTTAGGTGCATACCAACGTTTTCGGTAAAAAAGTTGAGCCGTGTGTGCTTGAAAGAGATACCTTAAATTAATATTGATCATTCGATGGTAAATTCGTTAAAGAAAGTCGACGGCTGTTAATTGATCGTTTCTAAAATGTTCGTGTATTGCTGAAACGGATATGATCTCTGCTAGAACGAAACGAATATTCATGACGATTAATGTCGACTTGTTACGAATTTCTGTTTTCGTACAAAAAGTAAATTGATCTTCGTGAAATCAGATTAACTCCTACTGTAACGAGTAGGTGAACTTACTATATAATAAATGTATAATGAATTTAAGTTACAGATGACACGGACGTTGCACGATAATTATTACACACACAGAAACAAAACTATTAAATATTCACAAGTAATTATACTACAAAATGTACAAGTTTTACTTCTTTGGATTCATTTCATTGTCACTCGTGAACACACTTTGAACATGCATCATACAAAAGAAATGTTCTATTTAAATATTATTGAATAAAGAAAAATTGTCTTATAATTAAGAAAAAAAAATTTGTAATATCCTAACAGAGTACGACTTTTATTAATGACTAAAAAGAAGCTATTAGCTTCTGATTCTTAAAAATACAGATTCTTTTCGACCAACCACGAGCACGACCGTTATGGAATGAGACTTAAGGAACGCTTTTTGCTGTTAACGGTCTCACTTCTTTTTTTCGATCTTTTATTTTGTTTCATTAGAATTTCGTTTCTTTCCTGTATTGTTTCGATTCCAGGGTAAATACGTTTCATCAGTGGCAAATTAAACCGTAATATATACTTTTCCATGCAAATCGCATTGATTCTATTTTCGCATTCAATAGACGAAGTGTCCCATTAGCTTCGTGAATTAACACCTTACGAACTACTTGCATTTTGGCATTAATCTTCAAATATTTTGCAGAATTATTGAACTTTAATGTAAGTTGAGTTACAAAAAAATTTCTTAGTTGGATTAAATATCCAAAGATTATTTCAAATGCTTTCATATAAACTTAATATTTTGAAATGTTTTATAATTTGTAGAATTTGTGCTAATCTTTTTTCAAGATTTGTATCACTATGTATGTTTAATCCTATTGAGTTGATTTCAGAAATCTCAAATATCAATTAAAATAATCATAAATTTGCCTTTCAATGTAAAAAGAAGTGTAACATCTTACAAATATTGAATAAAAATCGAAAATTGATGTAACTATATTTTAACTAATTTTTTCGGTCACTTATTGCAAATTAGTTCGTAAGGTGTTGCATACTACTGAACATTCTTCAAGTTCTTCGAGGTGCTTAAGTCGCGCGACTGGAGAGAATCTTTTTTATGAGTTACTAAATTGCGCTAGAAATTTGCGCTAGTGCGATAATTAAGTTTCAAAGATTTAATAGAAAAGTATATGGAACTTGGCCTGGCGCACTACCGTGCGCCTAGATCTCATACTGAATATTCTAATATTGTTTCAATGTTTACATTGCCATTTTAATTATGCGGTAACACAACAGAAAGAAAATTAAATTAATATTGAACTGAACCTAATATACATTCTTTATTTATCTTGCAAACTTAATCTCCAAGAAATTGTAAGTTCTCTTAATTTCGTATATTTCGCTGTTATAAGCGTATCGCGGGATAATCGGTTTTGCCACTGTACACTCGTGTGCACGCTCACGCATGCTGTTTAACTCATTATCAGTTAATCAACGATAAACCGTTCGTTCTCCTACAACGCCAGTCCGTCGAATACTGTGTCTGCTTAGAAACTACTTGGCGGGGTGAAATCGACGTTAGGAATGGCCGGAGAAACGAAAGGGTGAACTACGAAGAGGAGAAGGAGGAGGAGGACGGTGAAACGATGAAACATGATCATTTATTGATGCAAATCTACCAACATCGAGAATACTTTTTCATTGCTTGACTTGAAAATCAAATCACTTGTTCTCTTAAAAAAAAAGAAACAAAAAAAGGACGAAAAAAAGAAATAGAACTTGAAAATTTGAAGTTAACAATAAGATTAAAAATGATCTATTTTTACAACTGGCACTGCATACATAATTTAAATAATTAAAGATTATTAATACAAGTACATATCCTATAATTTCAACTCCAGTGTACAATATCAATCATAGTGTCCGTTCGTCTAGTGTATTTTGTAATTTCAAATAAATTCTTGAAATTTTAAATTATTGTATATTCGAAAGCTTTTATCAAATGATTATGTTAATTACTTTAACGCTTTTATTAAATAATTAGATTTATGATATTTGCTGCGGTTAAACTTGGACTCCAAAGTCAGTGCTTTTTCACTAGACGAACGGACACTATGATTGATATTGTACATGTACACCATTCGTAACGAAAGAGTTAAATGAAAGGATAAAGTAAGGTTTGAAAATTTGATATCATCCATCAGTATCAGTATCAGTATTTCGATTAAAGATAAATGATCATAGGGCGTTTCTCAATGGCAGTAGAGGTTACAAAAGGAAACGATACAAACGTCGAATTAACGGGTATAGGAAACGTAATATCACAAACATCACTGGGAAACGATACGACGAATCTTGGTAGGACAATTATACAGAGATGCTCGGTACCGATCGCAAGACGAAGGGAACCGGTACACCGAAATACACGACGTTACTTACAATATTCGTACAAGTGCTTAACACTATGCCCGGACCACACGATCCGACGGAGCTTCCCCTAACCGATAAATTGACTATTAATATTTCCGTAGAGAAATTTTACAAATCAGTCGAGACACACGCGTGGAGATGTTCCGAGGCGACACTATCTTTATCGTCGTGACACTAGGATGTTTCCTTCATCGGAAGCCGCGTTGGGCTCACCCGAGATACGTCGCGCTTGATCAAGCGTCGAAATTACCCAGGCGACCACGAATCAAAGGATTATCACGTCTTTCGATCGTTTTGCTTCATATCTTTTGAAACTCTCGACCGGTTCGACACTGACAGAAAATAAATATTAATACTACGTCGAGAGTTAAATCGTGAGCTTTTCTCGACAACCGTTCTTGGTATTTTTCGCTACGGTTACTCTTCACCCTCTTTTTTTTTGGTTGTTTTTTAAACTTCTCTTTACTTTTCCTCGTCTGTATGTAATTCATCTTCTCATATATATAATATACATATATGTATATATTTATATTTATATTCATTATTTATATCGCTATATAATATTAATCGTAATAATTACATATGCGCGCGGTAACTCTCTTTGTTCTTTCGCGGACTTTCGTGCGCTCCACTTTACTGTACTCTTTTTTATTTTTCCACTTTCTATATATATATATATATTTATATTTATTTATAAATTCATATTTATAATATATATATATATATATATATATTTATCGTAATGTCAATAATAATACTATCAATAATTAATGAGGATGCTGGTGACGGTGACGATGACAACGATGAGGATGGTTTTCGACTCGCGACATCTAAACCCGCCTTTTAATAACCCTAATAACCCTATAACCGTTAGGATCGTTTGTATTACGCGAACGAGGAAGGCGTCACGAATCATTTATCTGAAGATTCTTTTTAAAAACTCGACAACACTTGTCTAGGGTACGTTACATGGAACCAGGTAGCCGGTGCGCTTTCGCGTTGGAAAGGAACCGGGTAAATATTGAAGACGAAGGTCAGAAACGGGTCAAATGAGCAATGCCCTTGAGGTACGACTCGGTCGAAAACGGAAACGATTACGCACACGGCGACGATACTGGCAGCAGTAACGTTTATTATAATGGTACCTTTTCACGTAGCACTAAAAATGTTTCCAAACAGTTTAATGTGATAATTAAAAGTCATAATTTTTGTACTGTCGACTCTTGAAAGACTCATTTTTTCTGAGTTGACTTAACAAGGGGGTCTAATTGGGGAAATAAAATTATTTTCAACAAGTTGGTACTGCAAAATGTCAATGCTGTAAAGTCTGTAAGTTTACTGTCACGTGAAAATGTCCCCTAATTCCAGTCGAACCGATGTTGTCGCGTCGACGATTAATAATTAACCGATCGAATACCGGGACATCGAGGTCAGTGGTACCGATAAATAGTAACTATGACTGTGACTAAAAATAATGAATTGTATATATATATATATATAATATATATATATATATATAGATTTATTTTATCGATAGAAAAGTCTTGCGCGTTGTTAAGACACGCACGAATTCACTACGTATACGCGTAACGTGCTATACAGATAGGTATGCACCCTCGAAGGGTGACGCAACCATAGGGCGCGTTTGTAATGGCCGTGACTTCGACAGACATTTTATTGCAACAACGTTCGTAACGCGACGGGAATCAGAAAGCCCATTTCAATGGGATCACCATCGACGAGCGGATGCGTTTTCATTTATGCTTCTTTCTCATTGCGTAAAATATGCCACGTACCGGAAACGCGGATGTGGCTCGATGATTACTGAACGAAACGGAACGTTCTTGTTGCTCGAGGAAACTTAATACACCACTTCGATTAGATTGCGGGTTTTCTTTCTATTTCCTGCTTCTCTGTTCGTTTCTTCATGGGTATGTTCATCTCGAATTGTTCATACAAATTCGCGTGTTCTATTGGATAGTTTCTTGTTCGTTTTTTCTCTGTTGATTTAAGATAATACGGGCACTATTCTTCCTACAGGTGTATGGATCGTGTGAGCTATGGAGTTTCGTTGAGGATTTCTTTAGTCCTCTTCTTCGCTTTCCTCTGCTGGCCCGTACATGTCAGCCAACTTGTCGAATCTTGGGCCCCAGGCACCTAAGTACTCGTACTCATGCTGCTCGTCGTCTGTTCCTGTTGATTTTAAACGTGTTTCGCGTCCATTCCTCTTTTCTTTATTATCAACTTTTATTTCATCTGATTATTATTAACGAGCAATAATTTTAAAATTGAAATAATAAGGGATGATTATCACCTTCCATACACGAAGGAGATTTATACATCAGTAATAGTTTAAATAATTGTGAAAATTCTAAGAATTTAATTTATTAAGAAGTTACCTATTATATACATTAAAAAGATTGAGAACAATTCAAACTACTGAGCGATAAATTCCAATCTTCCCCTATAATAATCAATTATAATTAATCAGAATACAGTTAATTATAGTTAGTTATTTTGAATTTCAAGATACGGATATAACTAACATGACACTACGAAATTAATTTCGTTAAATAACTGAGAAATAAAAACAGCAGGACAATTATAAATATTATTAAAATTACACTAATAATTTAAAATAATAAATTGAAGTATTATGTTCAAAAATTAAATTTCGTGATTATTTATTAGGATTACTTTTGCTATGGCGGTCAATGAGTTAAAAGAGATTCATACGAACCGGAAGCTAAAGATGATAATGAGCCTGCGATACTTCCGCCACCCTCGTATGCATAATTTCGTAGATCATCGAATGGCGGCGCGTTTGGATCACTATCAGCTCTCTTTTTATGATCTTCTATAAACATACCCACGTTTGGTTCCGGTCCTAGTGGATCTGAAGAGAAATATTTTCAAACACGTTTAGAAATATTTTTTCAACATATTTTTGATAATCAATATGTGATACTTATATACTTATTAAGGTGACTTACAGGCTATTTTACATGGAGGTAGTTTTCCACCCATTTCCGGTATCGGGCCACCAATAGGAATTTGAAGTGGTGTAATATCGAATGCGGTCATGTCATCTTCTCCGCCACCCTCGTCATCGTAATTAATAATATTTTCTCTCACGTCATCGTCAGGACCAGGATACTTAATGTGAGATTCTCTTCTTCTATTGTAGACAACAAATACTAAGACAAGAACTGTAATAAAAGAGAAATATTATTAATATTTTTTAACGTTTGAATATCAATGTTAAAAAATTACGACGTTTGAAACTTTGAATGGTAGACTGTTAATTTACAACCCCCCAATTAGCCTCTTTGGGATCTTAAGGTTGGTTCAGACACGGCTAGTAATTTAGTCGGGTGGCGAGTAGCTACTTACTACTAAACCGTTTAGCGCATAGAAAAGTGTCCGGACTAGTACAGTTGAGCTTTGAAAATCGAGAGTACAAGATATATCGCTTGACTAAAGAAATGCGTCCGGACAGGTCTGTTCGGAAGCCTAGTTAGTGGTGGGGGAAGCCTACTCGACCAGAAAAATCCAATGAAACGGATCTACTCGACTAAATCGTTTTACTAAACTACTCGACTAAACTGTAGTGTTCATACATAGCAAGTTACTAAATTACTCGCCACTCAACTAAATTACTAGCCGTGTCTGAACCAGCCATAATAGATAGTAATAGGAACCTCGTCTCGTTCTACATTTATGACGAATACATAAAATATGTAAAATATAAAAAATAAACTTTTCAACTTGAAAAAAGAAACATTGTGAGATAGTAATAATATTTACATTTTTTTATTTAAATGATTATTTGAAAATTATCATATAAAACTTACCGAGAATAATTAGAAGACAGACAAGAATAGCTGCTAAAGCTCCCATGCCGAGTTTCAGCGTCTGACCCTCTTGAACAAGCTCACAATTTTCTCCCCAATAACCATCGTTACAAATACATCTATACCGGAACCTAGGATCCTGATTGATGCATCTACCACCGTTCAAACAGGGATAATCTATGCATTCATTTTTATCCATACATCCTTTATTATCTGGCGATGGAATTCTTCCTTCACCACACCTAAGCGCATAAATACAAGTACAATTCATCAAATTCTATCTACAGTGGGTCACAAAATTATTCAATCAACGTTTAAAACAGAATACCTCATTTAAAATTGGACCAAATGACTTGAAGTTTCTCGAGAAACTATATAAGTTAATTGGTTAGATTGCAGTTTCCCGGGTAATTGATCTCGACTATTTTATCGGATAAATCAAGGTCGGAAAAGACGATAGGAAGTGTCCTAAGGTCGATATCACGTGGCGTTACAAAGTTATGGCCATTTTAAAAAATGATCGAAAAGAGAGTTTCATCGGATAAAAATAAAATAAATTGAAAATCATTGTGCTCCAGTGTTTAATTATTATTGTTCTCTCCCGATTAACAATTTTTCTTTTATGTATTTGGATCATTTTCGTGATACTTACGTGCAATCGTATTCATTCCAAAGATCAATACACTCGAACGGCTCCGGACAAATGACGTTGGCACAGGGTTTGTTTGATGGACAATTTCTTTCCAGATTTCTGGCCATCGTTGCTTGACCCCATTGTGTCCCATTCATGGCTGGAGGAAGTGGAAGATGCTTGCCTTCTAATCTTATATCGTCGAGACAACCTTTTGGAAACATATTTGAAAAAGCGTTATAATTATATGCAATACAAATTGTATATAACAATATTTGTTATTGTTAAATCTAACGACTTTAGAACAATATATTGTTTGAAAATGTTGTTTTCTTATCATTTTGACATTTTATCATCCTTAACATAGATGAAAAGTGCAGTTATATTAGTAAATATTAGAAATGTACAGTGTACAGGTACTTCGAAGTGAAAAAATATTATTTAATTTAGCTCAAATACAAAGCATTTCATATGCGTATAATTTTAAACTTAGAAGTGTTTCGTTCTCAATGGGTTAAATAATTGAAATAATACTAACTTATCTAAATTACCCAATTAATAATCAAAATTGGGATGTAATGTAATAGTTACATATGAGAAAACATTTAATAAATAATAAACTATATGCAAGTTTAATTTTGGATAGATTAGATTACCTTTTTGATAATCACCGTACACTTCAAAAGTTCGGACACCGGTGTACTCAGCTTTGCCACCCGCATAAACTCCTTCCTGTTTGTCAACCAGCAACCATTGATGCCCTTCAAAGGAAAATGTTTCGTTGAATCTTCTTCCTTCACCACCATCTAGTTCCAAAGTAGCAGCTGATCCGTATCTGGAAACTCTGACCGTATGCCATTGTCCATCGTCGACAGCTATGGCAGTGAGCCAAATATCACGCTCCTCGGTCCTCAGACTGTTCAAATTGTACCGGAAGTGCAGTCTGCTATCCTTGATCTAACAAATTAAAATATATGTCGTAAATTATTAATTCTTCTTTAAAACTTCATGCATATGTTTTTTATTTTTTATTGTGAAGCCATTGTACAGTAGTCATTAAATGTTAATTCTTTTTAAAGAAATGTAATAGAAATATAGAAAGTTTCTTAAATAAATTTTCTTGGTTCCTAATATTTTTATTGCTTATTTTTAAATTCAGATTATACAATTATTTGTAAAATAAAACTCGGTGTTAGGTAAAACTCAACTTAGGATACGTTATTTGTTTTACGGTAATTACCAACACAAGAAACTCAGATCTTAACTTAATAATAAAGTTTAAAAAAACTTAGGTGAGAAAAAAAGTTCTGTATAGTACGAGCGATGTGTTCCTATTCAAGCATTAAAGTTTCTCCACCTCAACTATAATATACTAAATACTAATTCAATAAATCATACAATAAAATAGAAACTCACCTCTAGAATAGCATATTCTCTGTTGTGTTGATCACTGACTCTAAACAGTTCGCCATGAACCTCTCGAGTACGAAACCTCAATTGAACCTGAGTGGAATATTTATCCGGTTCAAAGGACAACGCGTATTTGACATAACTTTGTGGTTTGAACGTTGTTGGTATAGTGGGTGTCATGCATCCAGGACCCGTCCAGCCGGAATTACATTGACATCTAGCTTCGGTAAAGCTTCCCACACAAGTACCATGTTCCCAGCATCGCAAAGTAGATTCTTGGTTGTTGCAGATTTCTTCGGTTTGCGGACATCCGGCTACGCTGTTTCTGGAGAGTCCGGGATGAGCCAGATCATAAAGTTTGCTGTTGTGGAAGAGATTCTTTATGCAACCCTCAAAGCCCTTGCCAACCGGCATGTGTTTCCATTTGTAATGGGTTGGATCGAAATTTTCAACGTATAAACCACCGATTTGAAGTGGCGCGTTTACATTTAGGTATTCATTGAAAGGTGGTATGGTGCCTTGTGCTTGGCAGCTGGTATCGTTAAATTCTGGAGGTGTACCGTCTTCCGGTTCTGAGATGTCTGCAGACTTACAGTAGTCAATGATCAGCTTCACGGTCTGAAAAAATGAGACAGCTTATGTCATTTTCCAGTGTATTAAAGTTATACCTTGTAACGTGGTGACACGAGTGCCCCCCCCCCCATTGCATCACCAAGCTACGCCTGGCTTTATTTTAAGTTACCGCGTCCGTCCTCATACCCCCTTAACCCTATAGAGGTAGCCAATCACAGTTTTCGGGTCGAAAGGGTAAGAGAGAGAATAAAGATCGGAAGATAGAGCAACGACGCTACACAAGGCAAGGAGGAGATCCCGTCCTCAAGGCCGACGAAGACCCACAGGAATACCTCCGCAGATAACGTTCCGCGACCAGCGGTGCCTGGCCCGAGGAAGCCACTAAACGTCCCGGTGGTACCATCTCCACGCCCGGTCCTTGGGCCTCTCACCGAAGAGCTCATCGTCGATCAGTCTCTACATCGACCCATTATCGATCCAGATCCCCTAGTCGTAACGCAACGAACGTCCTCGAACCCTCCACCCTCGAGATTCCCTACCCATGCGTGCTCCCCCGCGAAGCCTGTGACGGCCTGCCACGGTCGAGCCGTGTGTCCCCTATCCGTTGTAACGACCCCAAAAAGTCCCCGTACTTCCCCCTTTTACCTTCGAGTGCCACAAGAGTGGCTGGCGCCCAACATTATTGTAAGAATATTTATTTGGAGATTGTATAGAGTGCACCCCCGCGAAAGGATCACAACCTGTAGGTACGTGTAAAAATGATATTGCTCATAGAATTATCTAATAGAACAAAGCGAAGAAGATTTGTATTTAAGTATTGATAGAAAGTGTTATAGTTCTTTTTATTTGTTTCAATAAATTATTGCGCGATACTTTTCGTAAATAAATAGGAATTGTTAAATAAAAAAAGAAATTCATCAATGATTTCAAAGTATTCCAATAAGCAGACATTATTGAAAATTAAATTAAAACATATAAATTAAATTCATATTAATTACAATAATTAATCGTAAGATGCTGATATAAATTTTGTCAAATGAAATTATGTAAGTTAAAGAAAAACACCAACCTCTGTATTCCAAAAGATGTCCAATCTGTGCCATTCTCCATCATCCAGTGTTCTCTTTGGTTTCACTTTTAGTTCTAGAGTTCCGGATCCAAAATCTATCAATAATCGAGGTATTCCACGTTCCAATTCGACAGATATAAAATCTGCAAATATAAGTATTTATTATATAACAATTATACGGAATTTATTTGGTATTGTATAAGTTATTATTTGGTTAAAAGACTTTCTAGAGAAAAGCAACTCCTGTACTTGGAAATCAGTAAAATTAAGATAACTCAAAACATATGTACTGACATATCATCCATATCTGGGTGTTGTATGAGTTTTACTGAGAATGATCTTATTTTTAACCAATTATAAACAAATTTGTCAAATGTTAAAGTTTATACAATAGAAAGAACTAAATATCATTAAATGTAATAATTTTATTAAATATAAAAATGACAAATTGAAAAAATTGTCTACTATTTTATTTAACGTAGCACTCCAAGTTGTAAATATCATTTGGTTAAGTTATTCCATAGTAACTTACCAGAAACCATAATTTCGTCCGCCTCAGGAGGAACAATAGGCCCGTTATACAAAAGTAAACCATCAGGTTTTTTCGTGATGAATTCGAAACTTAAATGACTGTTATCGCACATTTCTAAAGCAGGATACCAAGCCCAACCATTACCACGGAAACTTCTTGCAGTCTGTTGGCACCTTGGACCATTGTATCCAGCTGGACACTGACATCTAAATATATAATAAAAAGAAACAGTCAGTAACAATTTTTCTTTTTTATTATAATATCTATGTTTCATCTATTTTTATAAATTAAGATACGTACGATAATCCAAATCGTCCTTCCACGCAACGACCACCGTTATAACAAGGGCTACTTCTACAAGATTCGCCTTTACTGAAATTTCGTGCCCCGCATGTACATTCTGCGATTACATCTACCCGTACACCGACCAAAGCAGTCTTGTTTGCGTTTACCATGTAAGGTAAACTGCTGATATCCAGCGTATTTGTGCAACTACCCTCGCATACTTCGTTCTCGTAATAACATTCATCAATGCCGACCATTGTTATGTTAATACCAACTTCCTTCTCGATCTAATTAAATCAAAATAGGGTTTCGATAAAATTTACTTTATTGCATGCTTAATTTACTTTATAATCACTATGTATTTTTTACTTTTCATTGTTTATAGCCGAAAATTATATAAAAAAGACTATCTTAGCACAAGAAAATTTAGGGTGCAGTTACGTTAATTGCTGTGTTTATTTTGGAAATATCAGCTCAACGTATGTACTTCATCTGTTAACAAATTGGGATACAAACGTTTAAATATTTTCATGAGCGACTTTAATTAATATGGATTATAGATTTTGGCAAAACTTTGTTTATTTTGTCGTGATTGGTTATTTGATATGGACACTAGCCTTCGATAAAATATAATTTACTGCATAATTGATTTGTCAATTAATGTAGACTCAGTAAAATTCTATTTATCGTTTGATTCGTTGGTAGTTCTTCACTGTGTATTTGATGAGCTAATTAATATGGGCTATAGATGTCGATCAAATTTAATTCAGCCTGTGCTTGATTAATTGATTAATGTGGATTGTAGGTTTATTGTACAATTGATTTATTAATTAGTATAAACTTCTCATTTTGGTTTATTGCCTTCTTGACTTGCTAATTAATATGAACTATAAATTTTAATAAAATTCAGTTCATTTTGTAATTAATTAAAAAATTAATATGGATTGTAGGTTGCGGTATTAATTTATTCTATTGTGTGTTTAATTTTACTTTACTAAAGGTTTTTCACATTACAACTGAGCCGATTTTGAATCTTTGCTGCCATTATAAATATAATTATCATAAATTATTAACTTACCTCTTCACGGTGCATTAGCACGATTCCATTCAACCTGACAGGTTTGTAATATGGTGAACCATGAGCAGCAAATCTAACGTCCGTTAAAGGTGGATGCATTCTACGTAATTGAACACTGAATACATCAACATATTCTCTGTCAATACTCAACAAATGAGCCAATTTATCTCGAAATAATTCGGCCTTACTACGAGACAAAGTTGACGACTGTAAAATAAAAAATGAAGCAATAAATTAGTAACCAGTTGATTGAAAAGAAAGCAATAGAAAGTATTAATCTCAATTCACCCAATTAATAGCAATTCCGTTACATACAAACTGCCACAATTTTTAAAGTATTTGCAATCTTGAATTGTAATTTATCATTTTATTATAATCCGAGTCAATATTTATTTTCTTTATATACTAATATATTATATGTATACTAATAAACTTAAGTCAGGTCAAAAGGGTTAATAAACAGAATAATTACTTTATAATCCCAAACTCGAATAAAATCTTCATCTGTTATACCGGATATTCGAATTGATCCAGAGTTCAATACAGCTTCATGAGGAATACTTTTTACGGTAACAGTAACGTTTGCTGGGACATCTGTTTGAGTGTGTTTCCGATCGTAGACTTTGAAGCGCAAGTGATATCTACCATCATGAGTGCCTGCTTTCATGTAAATCATACCACTATCCTCGTCCAATTTAAATTGAGTATGTTCTAAACTTTCCCAATAGAATTTCTTGTCTGGTAAATCCCAATCGTCCAAATCATAGACGTATACTCTTCCGATCTCGGTATCTGGTGATTGTCCCTGTAGAAGTAATGATTGTTTCTTGATTAAATTTTATTATATCGATATCGATAATTTCTGAAATTCTTCAAAAATGAAAATTCATTTTAAAACTGCTTTTAGCGTTCAAATAAGTCAGCGATAGAATTTAGTATCTAAGGATGATTGTTGTGATTTTGCAAAATTTGGGAGTGGAATAAATGTATTGTATCATGAATTGAGTTAAAATTCTAAAAGCTTAGAATTTTTTATGTTTTTAACGCTGTTATTTTGATTACATAAGTTCTCCTAAATAAAAATTCAGTTACAACTATAAGTTATCAAAACTTTTCAGCATTCGAACTCCAATTAAATTAATTTCCAATGAATAAAAATTTAATAAACTGACTTCCAGTAGCCTTTTTTTTAAATTTATACTTTAGAAGTTATTACAATTTTTCAGCATTGTTAGTTACATCAGATAAATTCATAATAATTAAAAATCCAATAAACAAATTTGTATTAAAAGAAAAATTATTTAGATCCAAATATCACGATTACTTGTAAAGAGTAAAACCAAATTCCACCATTAACTGTTACAATGGAAATCTGATACGTACTGCATAATTATATACAAAAATGTCCTTCGATCCGGGCTGCATTTTGTTATCATTAATGTCCCCGATAATGACCGTTAAGGTACTGGTCCCAGACATTGAAGGAGTTCCTGCATCCTTGATAACGATCGGTATCAAGTACTCCTTTTGTTGTTCTCTATTAAACGATCTTAATGATGACACAATGGCCATACCATCCCCGTTTGCACCCTCTGAAACGAGACAAAGAGCGATGTTCGTTAGTAAAAGCTATCATGGTTAACAACGTTTACCCCTGGAAAATAATGACTTGGTTCAAGACTTACTGTTATCGCTTTCAACTTTGAAACTGGCTCGAATCACATCATCAGCTTTCGGATCCATTCTGAAAGTGAACGGTGGTCCATTGCTCTTTGATCTATCGTCGTCGTCCGTTGCCAATATTTCTACTACTTTTTTCGTTTGAGAATGTTCCTGAAGTATTGGTCGATAATCCTTCAAGAATCTTGGTGGATTATCGTTTATGTCCTGGACAATTACTGTTAAGGTGGCTGTTGCGGTTTTTGGAGGAATACCGTCGTCGATGGCCAAAATTTTCACCTAAAAAGAAATTTAGAAATTAATTACGAGGACTATTTTTTAACTCTTTGAAGTAGTAGTGTAATAATTAAGACTTTTCTAAAGGGCGGGCCATGTGTCTTAACTTTATTGAAATTGTCTTTAATTTAAATCTAACATCGTTTAATTTTTTTTTATTCAAATTTTACGCAATATGAACATTATTGTATATTTCGGTAATTAAATGATCAATGGTTGACCTGATGTCGTGGTGTTTCCTCACGGTCAAGGCTCCTCTGGATCGAAACTGTTCCGTTTTCGTTAATTGAAAATTGTCTTTTACGATCTGAACTCCTATCAATCGTGTAAAATACTTTGCTCTTGCCACCTTGATCAGGATCAGTGGCTGTGAAGGTCTCAAGACTATTTCCAATATGAGCATTTTCCGGCACCGAAGTCTCGATATTGGCTTTCTCGAATTGTGGTTGATTGTCGTTTATATCTCGAAGCTTAACGACTACCCAAGAGTAGGCGACATGATATTTATCGTTGTCATTGTCTTCACCCTGAAGAAATTTAAAGATAAATAAAAATCTCATTAATATATAAAAATGTAACGTTGTATATTTATTTCTTAATCATGTACCAAATCCTAAACCGATTCATTTGAAAATTAGTACATGGAAATATAATTTCAGTACCAAATTAGAATTTAGACTATTTGTTACTCGACAGTGAATATTGTCATACAGATCGCATATAAACAAATTGGATAAATAGTTAAGATTTTAAATATGAACGTACCTTATCATTGACCTGTATTCTAAACCTAAAACCGTTGCTTTGCATTTGGTCCTCGTAATCTAATGGTTGCACTATTTTTAATGAACCTGTGCCATCGTTGTTTCTCACCATGGTGAATTTGTCAGCACCATAACCACTGCTTTCGATCACCTGTTCATTTATAAGTTAACATTCACTTCGGTTAGAAATATATAAAATAGGGAATAAACTAAATTCATTAGTTTTAATTATATTATCATTAGATACATAATGTTGTTTTCTCAGTTAATCAATAATTACAGAAATATAAATATCGTTTTTTTTGTTATTTTTTTAATTTACAGAACAGTATAGCTTCATCATGTAATTAGAGAGATACTGCACCTTATATTGAAATTTATTAGTTTCATCTTCGTCGTGCACGGTGACCGTAAGAATCGGCATTTCCGGTAAATCTGGACCTTCCGTTTCGTCTACTTCGGTGAACCATTCATCTTTCGTAAATTGCGGGGGCATATCGTTTATATCTTTCACTCGTATAGAAGCTGTCCCCGTCCCTATGTATCAGCAAGAATGAAAAGAAATTATGTATGTGATGAAGTAATTACTTCATTATAGTAGTTACCATGCGATAACTATCTCTTTTGACAAAGGATAGTATAATTTGTAAAAGATGGTACAATTAGTTTTTATACCATAACTTTCAATCAATTTATGAAAGCTTCAAGTCTAATTACTCATTTAATACTAGTTTTTACTAAATTAAATTAGTATTAGTTTAACTAATAGTAAAAGTATAATAAAAAGTGGTGATAAATTTTAAATATCGTTATCTACTATTATATTAATCATGTAACATAGCAATTTGAATGCTTATATTAGAAAATTAGATATAAGCTATTAATTATATTAATTATATTGCTAAAATTTTAACTTACTGATAATCAATATGAATTTTTAATAAACAAAATTTCAGTATAACTGACTCGAAATAAATGAATCAATATATGAAAAATTCGACTAAATTCTACTAAAACTCTACCAAAAATTTCTTATTTATCATTACTTTTTAATTAAGTCGATTATATTTAATCAATAATTTACCTTTTAACCCTCCTCCATCCATTGCTACCACCTGTATAGAATAATCCGGGGTTCGTTCTCTGTCCAAGCAACATACTGCCGTTTTTATCACACCTGTTTCCGATTCAATTTCGAAAATTGGCGAACCAGTTTCCTCTTCGATCACGTTCTTCTCGATAGAGTAAATCAGTTTAGCGTTTGTACTTTCGTTCGGGTCATCGTAATCGACCGCCGTCATAGTCATCACGACCATTCCTGGTGAAATAGTATTCGAGAAAATTAATGGAAAATTAAATTTCTGCAGTATTGGTGGAAGAAAATGTTTCGTCAAAAATATTCTGTCATATAAAAGGTTTACCGAAACCAAATTATGTTAAAAATTGATAAATGGACTATTTGGAATTGTTTCCAAATAGTTATTATTTTTATTCGTTTATATTTTCTTTAAATATAAATTTGGAGAATTAAAATTGTTAGAATTTTATTCAAAAAAATGATATTATAAAGTTTAAGTTTTTTTATAATTCTGTTATTATTAATAACTTCGTCTTATTCGCAATTTTTATTTGAATAACTTTCGAATCAATTATGTGCAACTCTAGTAATGTTAGTGTTTGGTCTATAAAAGTGTTAAACATAAGAAAGCTCGTGTCACCTGTAATAAAAATTACTTTCTACAATATCAAAAGAATTTTTTCAGCTATTATGAAAAAAAAAATAGAAAAGTTGTATTTTCTTCATTTCAAAAGTGGAATGTTACCTGCGGTGCCATTTTCCGTGACATTGCCAAAATAAATTCCTTGAGGGAAGGTTGGTGCATTATCGTTGATATCCTTCAAGTTCACCTGGACATCAGCGTATCCGACTAAACCTTCTCCGCCTTCATCTTGAGCAAACACGGTGAATCGCCACTGAGGTCTTCCATTTGGTTGATCCCTGTCCAGGGGCTGCAGAGAAACGAGTGTTAAATGACGCGAAACAGAGAACAACCGTAACAAATTTTAGAACTAAATGGAGCAGAAAAATTTCTATTCTGGAAGTGATGGGAAACTTGGAAAAAGAATTGTACGAATGTTACAATCTAATCAGCGTCACTTTTGTTTAATTAAAAGGAAAAGGTAGAAAAAATTAAATATGCTATTTTTACTTAAAAAGGCAGTGTTATAAATATCTAATAAAATTAACAATTTATTGTAAAATAGAGTTTTTAACCTTCACTAAATGTTTTATCCGAGACTCTTAGAAGCAAAAAATTATTTAAAAGTTCAGTATTACGATAAAGAAATTTGTTACTCTAGCAGAAAAGAAGAAATAGATAGCGGAAATTTCTTAGATATTTTTAATTAAATTGTATCTACCTTTAATACATAGATTTCTCCGCTCGTGCGATTGATATCGAACTTGCTGTTCGCTGGATTATCAGGATCTATACCCTGTCCAGTTAAGAAATAGACGATGTTCTGTGGTCTGTCTTTGTCGCCATCGGTAGCTGTGACCTACATGAAAAAATATAATGAAGTAATAAATTTATAAGTATTATGTAGATATACCTTGATTAACATAAGTCTATTTAGTTTAATTTCTAAAAAATTATTTAGTTTACTATTTTCTTAAATACTTCATACAAATAATACATATTAATTATAAAAATTTTTTTACAAAATTTGAATGTAATGAAATTAATATTATAGTTGTTATTTTTGAAAAATATGAACCAAGCAATTTGTACTTGGCTAGTAATTCATTTATATTTAATATTGTCATAAATAATTAATGTTCAAACCCGAAGGGTTCTTATAATTTTAAATCTAATTATTTTTCCTCGCTGAAACATTTTCTCAGATTTACATAAAATTTAATAAGCATTCTCAGACTTTTGGACGTAAATGTCTGTACGTAACACGTGCATTTGAAACGGTTAAATATGCTAATTGGAATAATTATAAGGTAATTACAGGACAAGAATAATAATTACCACAAGAACGCGTTTCGGTAGGGTCCTGTCGTCTTCCTCGGTGATCTGCGTCCAGTAATTTGGACGCTCGAAGACAGGCGGATTATCGTTTACATCCTTTACGTGTATCACCACGGTGGTGTAATTTTCTTTCAAGTTATCCGACGCGGTGAGGCGAAGCTCGTACTGTAAGATTAAAGTGAAACAAGTGGATAACAACGTTTACAGCAGTTGAGTTAAGCTGCTTGGCTAACTGTGGCCATTTTCGGCTAAAACGGAAATGGTCTCTTAAGTAACAAGTTACAAATTAACACTTGAACGGGTTGGAAAATGAATGCTTTGAAAGTGATAAGGTAGAGAAATTGAGGGCTATTTTAACCCATAATTAAATATGTGAAGTCATTATAATACGTGAACGCGAAAACTGAATTATATACAAAATTTCAGATCTTTTTATCTGTTTAAATATTATATTTAAGTATAATCAAAAACATATACATAAAAAGAAATAAAGAAACAAATGATATCTCTGTATCAAAAAGAAAATAAATTGTACTTGTATATTTTATGAGTAAAAATGAATTAGTTTGTGAATAATTGCTCTTTGAAACGTTGCACAACTGAAGGATTAATAATAATAAGTGAATGAAATATTTTGTAGATGACTTTTATTGTAATAAAAGAACTCGATATACTTGCTCAAAATTTTAATAAACGAGATTTTAATAAAATTTATTAAATATACAAATTAATTCGGCACCTTTAGCCCTTCTTAATTATTATTTCAAATTCGAATATTTCTGTGTACATATTTGAAAAGTGGCGTATGAATATAATTCTATTATTTCAATAATTGGAATTATTCAAACTTTTTAAAAATAACTCTTTTATTTAAAAAAAACTAAAAGAATGAAACAATTCAAGGAACACGAAAATTCTTCTCCAATTAAACTTTTATCTTTAATGAGTTCTCAGTTGTAATGTGATTAATATTATCCACAGCATGTTTAAAAAAGTAATGTTGTTTGTTACGAGAAATGCGATAAAATTTACAGGAGCTGTTTTTATCGTTGTCATATGAATTACATAAAACTAAGGAAATTAATATTTCCAGCGATTAAACGAATTTACTTTTCAAATATTTTATCAGAGGATATTGCAATACGATATCGAATGATTACAGAGGAACAGTTATCCAATATTTACAATATAAAAAATGAATCATTTGAAACACAATTCGGTATTTTATGATGGTAGGAAATTTGATTAAACCGGCAGTAGATGATCTGATTCCTCAATGAAATTCACAATAATACTATTTCGGTACCATGTCAGTCCGTATAAAAGGAAAGACTTATTAATGCAGCGACAAACGAGTGAGCAGGAAATGTGCAATAACTGCGAAAGTTTTCGCGCTATTTCACGGATTTATTGGGTCGTGAGTAATAAAACGAGGACGACACGGTGGTTAAAAATGGATTAACCATGGACGTATAGAAAGTATTCATTCCATTTCTTTCGTCTCTCATTCACTGTTTTTATTTCATTTCGTTTCTTGACTACTGTCAATGTTTTTTTAATAAAATTGTCGTAATGTACTAAGTACTAACCCTTTTCCTGGTCTCGTAATCCAATGCACCTGCGACGTAAATGGCGCCGGTCATATTCTTCACAGCGAATGCACCGCCTATGTTACCGCTCGTAATCTCGTATCGAATACGCGAGGCTGTAAAATGCAGAGAAAGATCCTTTTAAATAAAATACCACTGGAAATTACAGCTTTTTTATTTCTTGTTTTGCTGCGTGAGCAGAGAAGTGCATTAGCATTGACCGCCACATTGATTGAAGTGGTTGAAATTTTATTTTTAATAAACTTATATTTATATTATTTCTACAATATTTCAGCCTTGCTATATCCATGATTCAAAAAGAAAATAAACAATCTAATTATACAAGTTAGACCAGTAACAATTATTATCTTGAATATCTTTTAATTTGTAGCAGTTAAAGAAAGTAACGTCAAATAAAATTTGCAAAGTAAAAAAGATTCATTCGATGGTGTTAACAATTTCCTTTAAAGTAAAATTACTTTCCAACTTCTATAATTTGAACGATATTCAAGGTGGTAATTTTGATTGGTCCACCATGTATACATACCAGATTACATATCTTTTTGTTTTAATATTAATCACACAGCTTACTCCTTTTTTGAAATTGATGCAATTTATACATTTTTATAGGTACATAGATATGTTACAATTATTGTATCCCAGATGAAGGTTCCCATTAAAAGGCCAAAACGTAGAAAAAAAATAGTGATCGTAATAACACAACTAATTGGAAAATAAAATGAAAATATATACATCATTATTTTTCTATACACTGCACTAATCGTAAGTGTAATTAGATAACTTAAAGAATTTTTAATAATTAGGTAATTTTAATAATTTTAATAATTAATGAAAACTGAAGCGTCACCCAGATATGAAACTGACAACTAACCATTTCATATTAGAAACATTAATGAGAAGCTTGTACAATCATTTTTATTAGGTAAACCTTAGGTTTTGAATTGATACGGTATCAGTGCTGTTTTGTAATACTTTTATGTTATTAAATCATTTAAAACTTTATTTCGATATCTGCTATTCATTAAGTGTACAAATTAATTCTGTGCCTTCGCTTTTTTAACTGACGATTTATTTTAGAAAGTAATGGTAACTTCAATTATTGAAGTAATCATTATTGCTACAGCATAAGTTGGATAAACACCCGAAAATCGGGGCCCGTAATATCGGGTACCCGCACATCCCTATTACCGAACATTTATACAATGGATCTGACTGGGTGCTTATCCAACTTATACTGTATTATATTCTTGCATCACTTTCCAAATATATACGCAGAAGCGCCGAAAACGATTCAAATTAAAAATTGTAATTAAAAAGGCGTATTTTAAAGGCACCGAATTAATTTGTACACCTACTACATAATAATATGCAACAATCTAACGGTATAATCTTAACGGCATCCAAAACTATCCTATTGTTTCGTATATTTCAACAAACTAACGGAACCTATTAAATTATGACCATAAATATTTAGGACTTCAAACCTGATAATAAACTATTAAATATTCTAGTTGATTTTTTGGTGACAATTGATTTACGGTTGATACTTAATTTCAACAGCAAAATTCATCGAATCATCGGTGTTGAAGTTTTCACCCAGTAAATTTCCCAGAGGAGAACGCGTTCGATCATAAATATCACACAGAAATTAACTACTTAATTTTGAGCTTATTTCACCGGTGACTCGAAGCACGACAAACTATATCTTTAAATGTGTTTTACTGCAATTTAATAACTCCGAACGCCGAACTTTCCTAATTGAGGTCCACCGGTTAAATATGTTTCGTGAGTTTGACCGAGCCATCTGGTATGTAAACTTTCGTAAGCAGTTTATGTATTTTCGTAGCAAGTCGCGAAGATGAGGATGGATTTTCGCAAAACTTACGAGCCGAGTTAAAGATACGAAACTTGGAACCCACTATAAAATCATTATCAGGAACAGGGAGAAGATACACGATGAGAAGTTCAGGTGTTTCCGCGTAGCAAATCATTCGCTGAACTGCTGATTATTTTATCTCGGCGACTAAATTTTTGTTTATCGTTTTACTTAATCCTTATAATGTTTTTTGGACAATTTTTTTTATTAGCAATGATATTATTCAACTTCACTGGCGTAACTAGGGATGGGCCAAGGGGCCAGGCCCCTTTAAAAGTCCGAAAATATTAATATTAAAAAATATTACAAAATTCCAAGATTCAAAAATGTTAGAATAACAAAACTTTAAAATTTTAGAATTCCAAAATAATAAATCTTCAAAATTACAAAATTCTGAAATTCTAAAATACTAAAATTTGAAAATATCGAAGGTCCAAAAGTCCAAAATTTTAGAATTTTAAGCTTCCAGGATTCAAAAATTAGGAAATTTTAAACTTTCTAAATTCCAGATCTTAAAGGATCTAAAATTTTGAAATTTCTAAGGGACCTGGCCTTTTAGTATTCAGTAGCTGTTGGCAATGACTGTACGGGCCCCTACTGACACGACATTCAATCGTCGCGTCGCTGCTGTGCAGATTGCCGGTTTTAAAGTTAATAACTCACCGCAATCTTTTAACGTTAATAACTAAAAAATAAATCCGCGAACGCTATTTCGTCGTACTTGATTTTTATCTTATTTTGACCTTCAAAATTATATCTTAAAATTTGTCCCATCTGTTGTAGAACACCTCGTATAATGATCATATTTTTCTTTTTCTTCAAGAAATCAGTACTTCAATAGTGTCATCTGCCTGTATTCTTACGATTAACATGTTTTTTTAATTTTAAAATAATATATTTTTATTTCATCGTCGAATTACGACCACTTAAAATTTTCAATATTTCTCATTTTTTAAATAAAATTATAAGGTGTACATAATCCTAATTTCATAGGCAGTGGCTGTATTACTCTTTTTGCTACCATGCTGTAAGTGTTGAAAATCTGTTTAGATAGAGTTTTTGGTTTTGGCAAATTTTATGTACCTACTGATTTTGCAATATTTCGTTGCAAGCTTTATTAAAACGTGAGTGTTAGATTCCTATGAAAATCTAAGCGTCTCTTGAATATGAACGACACGATAACGAAGGTGTTTTTAAAGAAGAGGACACCTTTATATCATAATAGAACGGTTCTACTTACACTCGTCGTGATCTTTGGCGGTGACAGTGAGGACCGTGTGTTGAATATCCTCATTTTCGTCTACTTCAGCCTCGTAGAGGCCTTTATCGAAGTAAGGTGGATTGTCGTTCTTGTCAGCTATTCCAATACGGATGAATTTCGTTACTGCAACAGATGAAAGAAGAAGGATACGTTAAAAATCTCGTTCCGCTACGGATTTTCATGGTGAGATATGAAAGTCTCGAAATACGGGAAATCCTTCTGAAAAATTCAGTACTCGTATATCCTCGTGATATATCTCTTGAAAATGCAAATTCTATTCTTTGCCTTTTTCTGAATCCTTTGCTCTCTATTGTACAGGATGCATGAGTGAAGAACTCGAGGACAGCTTTTCATTTTATTAAATGGGAACTTCATTGTATCAGACGCATGGAAGAGTGATATCTGTGTTTAAAATCTACAAATGATTGCAACAAAACAGTTCTTTTTGCAAAATGCGCTTCAATATTTATACTCTGCTGGACAGAATTATAAAACACCCTAAAAATCAATATTTAGAGGAAAAAGAGCTCAATATTTATATTATTTATATTATATAGCATTGCACGTGTATAAAGTAGAACCATTTATTTTAATTTAACGTCTTCATAAATTAAATGAATAATACAACAATTTTTTTAATTTAATCACAAGTAATAAAATTCTATTTGGACAAAATTACACACTTGGATATTATTCTTGAAAGTGAAGAAAATGTGTACATTTAAACAAGATTATCATATTTTTATTTATTTCCAACAATGGGTAAAGGTGAGTCAATTACGACCTAAACCTACGAAATGCATGTAATGAAATTTTCACACAAGTTAGATGCAGCAATTTTTAAATAAAAGATATTCATGTATGTATATATTTATTTGAGAATAATACCTAAAAGAGTGGCCTAAAGGTTACAAAATGGAAATAAAGTAGAATCTAAAATTAAATTCCAATTATCGCTCAACGGTCCATCGTTGAACGGTTAAATCATAGTAAAATTTCTATCTTGTCGATTTTCATTTAAGTACGAACAAGATTTCAAAGATTCGCGAGTTGTTCCAGCAATTTGATATTTCACGGTTAATTTATGCGGATAATTTAATGGGAAATTCATGTTCGGTAATTTATTAGCTTCCGTTGCGGCCCGGAGATTTGTGAGCTGAGGAAATCGATCTTCGTGATAAAACGGTTAAACGAAGACAGAAGTTCATTACGAAAGCAGCGAAGGGAATTAATTGATTATAAAATAGTAATTTAGTCGGTGAAGTATATTCTTTTATTCATCTTGAATTCCTAAATTAAGATGAGAAAATATTTTTTATGAAAGTAAAGGACCATTGCAAGCTTGGAATATTGGAAAAATAAAATTTATGTTAACTTTTATAAAAATTAAGTATTACTTATATCAATCTGAATTGAAAAAAATGATATGCGTATATTTTTCAAATACGTATATTATATTATTTTATATTATTCTAGCAGAAATAAAGTAAAAATTTAGTAGTTTTATTTCATTATTACAATCATCTTAATATGTTAGATTAAATTAAGTTTTACACCAAAGTTGAATTTCCAAAGAATAGAAAATATTTAACTTACAAATATTTTCAACATTTCAACAGACTTTATTATCCTGTCATTTCAGATTTGCCATTCACCTAAATTATTCTTTTAACAAAATTACTCTATTGCTATTAAAGAAAACTCGTTCATTCCAGAAGCTCCAAAAAGAACATTTTTCATTCGTTTAAAATTGCATTAAAAATTCTTAATAAACGTGAAAATTACTAATACTAACGATTACAATTCAGATATTAATTCACTTATCCAGGATATGTAAAATATTGATAATAAATTGTATATTTGTACAAACCCCTACAATCTATCAGTTACTAAAATTCCAATAAAAATAGTACATGGAGTCAAAACAAAAGAAATGAGACATCTCGTGCAAATCAATTTACCATAGACAATAATCTTTCTATTTGTAAGCACAACGAGATTTACTGTTTGTGAACGACTTTATGGGCGATGGAATCACGTTTGCCGCGTTTCCATCTCTATTTTCGACATAGTGGAATTCGGGTGTTACCAGCTTGCGCATAATTGCCAAAACGACGTACCAAAATACCTACGTATCTATGCGTCGTTAATTGCTGGATTATTAAGATGAATTCTCGCGTCAATTTGGCGAACGCCAGGATGTACTGCTGCAGGCAATTAGCTCCAGTGCACCACCTATCTTAGGAACACGAGTGGTTTAACTCTGTTGATCCTCCCTTCTCAACAAATATCTGTCTAATTAACCCTTGACGTTGGAATCGCGTCTCTCAGACATTATACTTTTAATGAATCATACTTACTAAGCACGTATTACACACGTGATCTGTTCATAATGATCAGATAATGATATCACTGGATGTAATCCAGGAAGAGTAATATGTACACTCGCGAACAAATCAGATTTCTCTGAGGAGAATAGCGATATAGGGGAAGCAGGGATTCCCAAAATCATAATTTTGATGATATTGATAATTAAAGTAATTTGTTTTTTTTTCTTAAATAATGTAATTTTTAATTCTTATATGTATATTATAAAAGTATATAATTGAAAAGTACAAATAACAAAGTAAATATTAATTCAAATTTTCTGCGTAAACGTTTACATGTAAATTGTGGAGGTTACAAACCTAAATGTATACATATGCAAACATATATAGGGCCCCTTTTGCTAGATTGTCATTTTTCCCCGAGGAAACTTACGTGGCGGTGCGGAAACACCCACTTTTCCGGAAAAGCCTGATTTGATTGCAAGTGTACAGTACCGAGCTCTACTTATTATAATGCTCAAAAGTTACCATGTATTATAAGTAAATCATCCTACATATAAAAATATTAAAAATTTTAATAATTTATGAACGATTAAATGAAAAAATGATAATTCTCAAAATTCTAATTTTGGATATATTAATATTGAAATTTTGGAAAGTATTAAGAAACGTTAAATGTATGAATATTAGATTAGAAAGATATTAATGTTAGCAGTTTCGAAAAAATGAATATAATCTATAATTATTAAATTTTGTGAAATTTAGTATACAATAATTGTACTCAAGAGTTACCATAATTTTGATTAAATCTTTCTATGTATACAACTATTAAACATTTAAATAATACATGAATGATTAAATGAAAAAATAATAATTTTCAATATCCTGATTTTGAAAAATCAAATTTAATACTTGTATAATATAAAACATTAATAATAGAATTTTCCGTAGTGCATATTTAAATCTCTACATTTTTTTACAGAATGTTGGAGAATATACATATTTCATTTTTATTCCTATATCCACTACTGTTGATTTATATTGGTTAACAATTTTATTTTTCCCCGATTCAGCTTACATTGCACGAAGAAAAAAAGTCGATAGCACTTCTACTTAATCCTTGTAATCCGGCTTATTCCTCAATCGAATAGCTGTTATCCCGAAGGATATAACTAGTGGGATTGTAACGAGTGATACTTCTCGATACTTTGTATCGTTGCTTCTTTCACGTCTTTCGGTCGTAAATATCGGTTGAAACTAGTTCACATTGAACAAATTACCTCACAAAGAGAAACAATTTGACAAAAAGGGTAACAATTATTACCCTCTACCCAAATAGAATTGAAAAGACAATCACACTGAGAAACAGCTTTTTAGCTTTTTAGAGAAATCAAAATGGTCAAATAATTGAAACTCGTCTTCTTTTTCGTTGTTTGATCCAATAACTCTTGAATTTGATGTTTTCTTAACTTTATTAAAACGAAAGATTTTATGATATATTCAAATTTTTCAAAGTTTTTTCAAACACAATTATGATATATTCAAATATATTCAAAGTCTTAATAAATCGGAATTTCAAAATATCTTATAATCTTTCAGTAATGCAATTAAATTATTTACCAAGAAATTGTATTTTTTGGATAAAATAAATCATTTTAAACATCGAACCGACTAACTGTGTAACATTGCATATTTTGTGCTTCTGAGGAAAACGATGATCTTGTATTTGGTTCCTGAAAAAGATTAAAGATCTTATGCCTCTATTGAAATGTAAACGATGTAGAGATACAGTGGTCCTGTTTTTAATTAAAAATTTCCATTTGTCTAAGAGCGTGTAGCTTGTTTGGTAGTATCAAGAACGAACTTTTTCATGTATTATGCATTTCGTACTCACAGGATTCATATTGTATTTGATATTTTGAAATAATTGAACGGGTTGCATTCGTTTTGAAAATTGTATTTTTACTTTTTTATAAATACAAATGTTGGTTACCATGTTGTTTGTTCAAAAAATCAAAGCCTGAAGAAGGCCAAAATAAATGATTGAAAGGCTGCGAAGATGATTTCAATTGTATTTTTCCAAAATTCGACACAAATATTTACTATATAGTTAAATAAATAAGAATACTGAATTTTGTCTAATAATTAGTTTATTACAATATATAATGCAGTTTATTACAATATATAACTGCAGTTCCATGAGCAATTATTAAATTTTAGTGAAGCAAAATGGAATTTTATTCATAGAATTAACTTGAACCAAAATAAAAATATACTCTTACAGAAAATATATAGTCGTATTTTGTGAGTGTATCCTCGCAACAACGAGGAAAAATATGATCAAAGAAAAATAAGCTCTTTTCATCTCTATTCTTTGCCTTCTCCATGCAGAAAACAGTCCGCCCTAGTTTTTGAAATCACCTCGTATCATCCTAGCTTCATCCACAAAATGTAATCCATCATATTTCTTTTTCTTTTCAGGAAATCAACAATCACAGCCGCTTGAAGTACGAAAGGAAAGGAAAATTAAAACAAATCATCAGAAACACTTAATACTTTCTAGTAAAGTGTAACGATCACAGAGAAATGAGAAATCTTGAAAGTATCTTCTTCTTTTTTTGTTCACCGATTCGCAACTACCTTTCTCGTTTCTGTGACGTTTTATCAAATTAATTTTTAACGTGATGGGTCGAAAAGCGATAAAAACAACAGAGAAATATGTTCGTGTTTACACAAAGGGAGCCAGTTCTGAAGCTCGACCAAGGAATTAATTATGCTACGAGGCCCCACTACAGC